ATAATATCGATAAAATTCTCTAATAGATTCATTTACAATAGACTACTCTAAAATTTGAAATTTACCTAATATTAGAATTTAAGATTCCTAATCCTCGCATTCGCCCTTAGACCCCCCCTCCCCTTACGCCATGTTAGACTTTAGCGCCATGCTAATATGAAAATAAGATGTATGAGGCGAATCCAAATAATCACGAAAAGAAAAAAATTTAGAATAAAAGATAATATATCTAAAGATTTTACGAGGTTATCGAAATAAATAATTGAAATATTATCATCGCAATATCAAGCCGATTCCAAGCCCCCAAATAACCCCTCAAAATACAAAAGTGCTCAATCCTCAACAACCCCATCACAATCCCTCTCTTCAATAGTTCCTCCCTTCATCAATCCCCCCTTCAATAACCCCTTCCTTTAACAACCCCTCCCCAACCCCTCAACAAGCCCTCCTCAACTCAAGCCCTCAACAAGTCTAGCCCCTCAAATCCCAACCCCTCACCACCCCAAAACCATCCACCCCCCACACAAAAAACAAAACCCCCCAAAAACCCAGCCTTTCAGCCCCAACCCCTCAACCACAACCCCTCAGGCCCAGCCCCTCAACACCCCAAAATCATCCATCCCCCCCACGTCCGACAAAACCCAAACCATTACAACAAAAAACAAAACCCCCCAAAACCCCAACCTTTCAGCCCTTCCACCCCCCGCCACACCCGACAAAATCCAAACCATTACAACAAACCCCCCAAAACCCCAACCTTTCAACCCCAACCCCTCAACCGCAGCCCCTCAAACCCAAACCCCTCAGCCCCCCAAAACCACCCACCCCCGCCGCACCCGACAAAACCATCCCCCACCACGACCGACAAAACCCAAACCATTACAACAACAAACAAAACCCCCCAAAATCCCAACCTTTCAGCCCCAGCCCCTCAACCGCAGCCCCTCAACCCCAACCCCTCAACACCCCAAAACCATCCACCCCCCACCACGCCCGACAAAATCCAAACCATTACAACAAACCCCCCAAAACCCCAGCCTTTCAACCCCAGCCCCTCAACCGCAGACCCTCAAACCCAGCCCCTCAGCCCCCCAAACCACCCACCCCCCACCACACCCCACAAAACCCAAACCATTACAACAAAAAACAAAACCCCCCAAAACCCCAGCCTTTCAGCCCCAACCCCTCAACCGCAACCCCTCAGCCCCAGCCCCTCAGCACCCCCAAAACCATCCATCCCCCACCACGCCCGACAAAACCCAAACCATTACAACAAAAAACAAAAACCCCCACAACTCGACAAAACGCCGGACACAAACCCTATACCATTTCTATTAAACCCCAAAACCTTAACCGAAAAATCACCGGGTCCCGAAAATTCCCGGAATTTTCAAAGGGCACCCATGTCATCATTGTTGTGTTGGAACCTTAAAATCCAACCCGGAAAGCCCAAACCTCAATCCGGACAATTCCTAAAATTCCCGGAATTTTCAGCTCCGGGTAATTCCCAAAATTCCCAGGATTTTTAGACAAAAAGGGTTAAAATTCCCGGAATTTTCAGGATTCCCCTGCAAGGCCCTCACAAGCAGCCAAATGGACCGGAAGAGGAGGCGGGGCATCCGACAGGGCGGCCGCAGAGCGAAAATAGGGGTCGAGCCCGTAGCCTTTTATGGGGATATATTTGGGAATCTTCGAATCTCCTTTCTCTTTCGTCTTTCTTAGATGTCTCGTAATTGGGGATGATGGCAGGCTTTTAAGCACGTCGAGCCGTCTTAGAGTATTCGAAATTCTTTTGTTTATTTGGTTATGGATTCCCTTTCATTTGCTTGGGCGTACATGCCGCTTGGGCGATGGGGTTCACCTCTGGGATCAAAATATCTTGATATTATTTCGGACTTTATTCGGAAGCCTCCCCTAAATGATATTGAAAATTCAGAATCTTAATAAGATTCGGGTCTCGTATAGATTCTTAGATTTGAATTTATACGATCTCGTCATGACATGTCATACTTGCTTTGGATTTGGAAGCCTAAGGAATTGAATCGTCATTCTGAAGGAGAATCGAATTGGTCGTTTTGGAAATATAATCCACATATATATTGACGATGTTTGGATTGTGGGGCCCTCAGGGTGGGACATTCGAGGTCCCCAAAGTGTTGGAGACCCCTTGTACCTGTCCCACTTTGAGAAAGTCTTCGCCCAAATGCTAGCGCATAAGAAAACCTCAGCCACTGTAACTTTTCCAACGTTGATGCATTTCTCTCCGACTGGGTTGGCTAATGGCGTGGATTTGCGGCAGGGTTTCTCCAAGTCATGCGAGCCAGACAGGTTGTGCAGCTTTGAAGAGCAGGACTCGCATCCTGAATGGTTCTTTTTGCTGCTGGCCGACTGCCTGATCAGATACCACGAGCCACGAGGGTGGAGGCATGAACCTCACTGCCCATGGAGAAACAGCAACGTACCCCCAAGTGCCCCCCGCGAGCAATCACTGTCAAGTTGAGTGGCGGTGAAGGCACGGATGGATTCGAGTGCAGGAACAGGAGCCGGAGGAACCGCTGCCTCCAAGCTTCGCGCGTGGTGACAAAGCTGGAACTGAACTACACCAAAATATCTTTCGAGAAGATCCCCTTATCCAACCCTGATGTGGCTACAGGTTGCAATTATATCACGCGGTGCCACAATACAACTCCATTTTCCCGATACTTAAGTTACTTAAGCCTTAAGCTTGAAGGTGGCGCTTGGCTAGGAACGTTCAGCTTCTTCACGCCCAGCCTCTCTGACACTCTTGATTCTCACAATTCTTTGCCGCTTCCTCGGCAGCGCGTCTGAGGTGCTGAGCTGCACTAGTCAACCTCCAGGACTGGACGGCGTCTCATGTCGCCTTGCTGAAGTGCAAAACTCACCAACCCGGTTGGGAATTGGGTTCCTTGGCCTGAAAGTATTTCTTATTTTTGGACCCCACAAGGACCAGACAGATATCCCGAACACCTGCCACCTAGGATGTGTAGGAGGCCTCAAAAACCGCTTTTGAGGGAGCTGACGCGAGCTCTTCCAGCTTGGGTGCAGTCTTCCTCCACATCGAGTTGGGAATGCAATCGAAAATGGCAACACAAAAACAAGGTTCTTTAGTCAGATCGCCGCCCTCCCATTTGGGGCCACCAAACTAAGCCTCCGAATGCGCGACCACCGCAAGTCTTGGCCTGCTTCGAGTAGACGGAGTAGACTTTACCCTAAACCCTAAACCCTAAACCCTAAACCCTAAACCCTAAAGCGGCAAGGACTCTCCGCGGGGCCGAGGCGGTCGACGCGCAGCGTTTACAACTCAAGCTGCCGGGACCGTGTACATACTTGACCAATGTCCAAGCAAAGGATTGACCGTCTGACTCGTGATCATGCGGGGAACCGTCGGAGCAGTACAAGCAGCACCGGGGTGCTGCTTGCTGCCAGGCCAAGTTCTGAACATGCAGTCAAGGGTTGTTGCAACATGATGTAGCGGCATGCCGCTCTGACTAAGGTGCAAGCTCCCTGATGCATTTCAGGTGGGCGACCTTCCGCAGGCGACAAGCCGCGCACACGGTGACATGGTGACCATCCGCAGTGAGAAGACCTACCGAGGCCTTGAAGACCATGAACTGCCCACAGGTATACCAGAAGAGAAACCGGGCCCACTTCAAAGCCACCTCGGCTCTTTAGCTTCTACGTGGCGTTGCAAGCTTGTGCTCGCAGGTAATTTACCCACTCAGGCTGTCACATGAAGCTTCGTCTCCTCCTGCTGCAGTGTGGCGACCCATTTGCGTGTCTGTGTACCGAACCCAATGGTCCGATCCGAGACGACCTCAGAGGATGCAATCACCGGAACAGATGCATTCCTGACAACCAGACATCCATCGAGTGCCAGGCAAGCTTCGCCTCCACACTTGCCTCCCGGGATGCTTGAACTTAGGTGACCCGAAGCTCAAAGTTCTTGAGTGAGAGCTGCTGCCAGGCCAGTTGAGCTCAGTGAGTTCCCCGATGGCACGATTGGCACTTTTGGCACTACGGCCACTACATGCTCCTTTGTGCCCTTCTGCCCGGTGCTCTCCCTCAGATACTGTGGCGAACGCAGGCGTGAAGCCACCTTGGTTCTGCTCTTCTCCCACTGAGCCTCCTTGATGATGGCAACGCGTCGCAGGATTTGGTCTGCCCGAAGGAGCTCCTATAGCAAGCGGCTGCGCAACATATTCTTGCCCACTTCCGCGCCGCCCCGTGGAAGTGGGGTCGAACGTTTGATGGTGTGGAGTTGTTTTGGACAGGCCGGTGTTTGGGAGCAGTGCTTTGTTTGAGAATGGTTGCTTCTTTTGTTCCGGCATGTCTTCCGACAGATTCTAATTGAATTTGTGCATGGCCTACGCTCTGACGCAGACAATGCGATCTACATGCATCCTAGGAGAGGGCATCAAGACTTGCGCGGCTCGGCGTGCGGTCCACATTTGTGGACGCAAGCTGCCGAAAAAAAGTCAGAAGTATAAGCGTGAAAGCACACTCACAAGTGCGGAGAGTAGCCCAACAAAAAGAAAGAGCTGCTTCATGAAGAGCTCCCTTGTCAGCTTCGTGTCTCTGACAATGAAGCCGGCCGAGCTATCAGAAACAAATCGGACTAGGTATTGCCTGTCAACATCGGTACTATGCGTGGTCAGAATCTGATTCACAAATGCCGGGATGCCTTGACACTTCTCAGTCAGTTCTGCACCGTGTGAGCAGACATGCAAGCTGAGCAGAAAAAGCCACACAAGCGGCAACGAGGAAAGGCCTTCGACCAGCAGCAGCACAGGCTGGTGTTCCGAGCGAAACACAAAAGTGACGCCGACCGCCAGGAAGTACACAAAACCGAGACCGGACAGGATCTGAAGTGCCAGGAAGCTTGGCGCCAGCTCTCGTGCGATAGACTTCAGCAAGGCCTGGGTCGCGTTCCAACTCTCCACGCCCAAACCAAAGTCTACGTTGTGGTTGACAATCTGGCAGCACCAGCAATCCAGGCTCTTGTCCAATCCAAGCAAGAGGTCCGTCTGAACAAAGGCCGCCAATATCACAACTGCACTGGAGATGCCATAGCTTACCAGATTTAGTGCCCCAATGATGTATTTCCAGGACTTGTGGATGCCTCCCTTGGTACTGATCCCTTCGTGTTCATCTACCCAGGCTTGGAGCACTTGTGTGGCAGCGAAAGCTGCGACAGTTAGAAGCCAGGCAGCTGTGTATCTCCGCCACTCTCTTCCAGACACTTGGCTCCAACGCTTCTTGAAATCTTCCACCAGAAGCTGCAGACGAGATACTGCAATCTCAAAGTGCGAGGACCGCCAAGCTTTGTCCAACAGTGCCACGGATGCAATGGCAAGCGATGCATAGACAGCAGTCGAAACCGAATTCAGTGACAAGATCGTGCTGTTTGCATAGCCCACAATCGTTAGCCAAGACATGCAAACAAGCTGAAGGAGTCCAGGGACTGACACGCACAGCATGACGCAGCGTGGATATGTTGTCAACATCCTTATGGCCCAACCATCTCCCGAATCCAAGTCCGAGCCTGTGCTGAGAATCTGCGCTTGTGAGTTCCGATCCATGGTCTGCATGTTGCTGCCGTTGCTGCCTCTGCGTCCCCCTGGCATCGGGAAAACCGCTGCTGGCGAGCAAGGCCCCTGCAAATTCTGCAAAGCGCCGTCCTGCACAGCTGCAGGTGCCGGCGCGCATGGCAACCCCATTGGCAGATTTTCTGTTGTGTCCTCTCCCACAGACTGCAGGCTGCGATAGCTGCGTCTTTCGGGCCAGGATTTCGCGGAGAAGGACTTGAAGAGAGAGCAGGAGTCCGTGAGGGCTTTCCGTGTTGCATCTTGCATCTCCTGCATGGAGGGCGCAGGCCCCAGTGAATGATGCTCCCTTCCCAAGGAAGGAGCGCTCTTTCGCATTGTCGAAGGCCCGGTCTCGGACCTCCTCCTTCCCATTCCCTCGATGGCCTTCAATAGTTCCAAGTGCATTTTCCGATGCTCCGTCTGGTTTGCCTCCATCGTTGTGAGAATCGTGTCCAAGGCTTCTGACACTTCCATAACGGACACCATCCTAGTGACCATGCACGCCCCGTTAGCTAGAGCCAGAAGTGCTGAGGCGGCTTGGCGGCTCAGGCACTCGCACACGAAAACATTCTGTCGCTCAGATAGTATCCTGACGGTCTTGACTGATAAGCTTTAAAAAGAACAGTCGTCTCCGCCACACGATGCGCTTCGAAGACATCCAGCCAAACCTGAAAGATGCACCCCGATTGCAAGCATCAGCATGGTCGATGCCAGCGAAATGCAAGAACAGGCAAATACAGGCAATATTAAGACTCCCAAGCATTTGACCCGCGGTGCCGTTTCTGCGTTTCTGCAGCCAGGTCGCCAGTAGCTCTTGTCGCGGAACTTGTCGCACCAGGGCCTGAGCTAAAATGGTTCAGGCTGTTGTTCGAGCAAGATCTACGTTGCTACGATTGGAAGTCGCCTGCTTACAACATGCTTTCGCCCATGCAACAGACTGAAAGGACGACTCCTGACCCACATCACAGTCAGCCTGAGCCTTGTGCCAGGCCGCGCCGCAGATCCTCCTTAGCATAGAGAGCAGGAGACAGATGTTTGCCTGTCCTCGGCAGATCCCTCACATTCTCACGCTACTCTCTTCTCAAGACTTTCTTTCTGGCATGCTTCAGAAGGCTTCTTTCCGCGTCACAGGCCTCCGAATCACCCCGCCCGCGGCCTGTGATCCTGCACCCTTTTCGCCCACAGTGCTTTTAAGATGTTGCGGTCCTTACATACACGTAGTTACCCACGGCCCATGATCCTCTTAGGGTCGCCGAAATGAGGAAGCAACCAGCCGCTGGCTACTCAAGGGTACCGTAACTGAGTCGGTCTGCCCACTGCAGCTGAGTGTCCAGGGGCAGTCCACGGTGGAAGGGCCAATCCGAGAACATGGCAGACACCTGCTCCGAAAGACTGCATTTTCCGAATCCTCCGAATTCCGAGAAGCACCAGAAACGTCGAGTTGCCAGATCTTTTCTTGTGCATGTCGTCAATTGCACAGAGGCTGCTGGCATGGAAGTGAAGAGTTTGTTCTGTGTGACTAAGCAGGCCTTTGATCGGCAGGCTTTCCGCAACTCCTTGCAGGATCCAGTCCGACTGGAAGTTGCTCACCAGACTCACTGGCATCTGAATCTGCAAAATATTCTGAGTCTCGGGCGCTGCTCCCCTCGCAAGAAGCAGGACGGCTCTGACACTTCATGCTGCTTGGGCTACTGTGTGGCACGGTCCCACCTGATCGTGGTCTTCGTCCTCACTGTCTGATGTTGTGTATCCGGTCATTGCGGCGTGGGCGTCTTGTTGAGACTCCACCTGGTGCAGGCAGGCATGATGCTCAGCTTCGCATTCAGCAGAATGATTGAGCCATGGCCAGTGGGGACTTGCATACCCCGTCAACAGAACTGCCTGCATCTTGTTGTCGCCTGACCACAGATTGAGATCCCGCTGCGCATATAAGTCGAACTGGATTCGCATCCCAGACATCAAGCAGACTTTCCGAACGCAGGCATGTGCGCATTTGCAGTAAGGATGTGGCCATCCGACTGGAAGCTTTCCAAGTCCAACCTGGTGACCGATCGGCCTCGTGGACATGACAAGCCATGTCTGCCTGGAATGGAAACCCGAACTGCGCCTTCTGCTTTGATCTGAGCAGCCAGTCGTTGAAAAGCAACATATTCCTCAGAGCAGAGCGAAGATCATGCTGAGATTCTTCCAGCTTGAAGCCGCGCTGCATCGCGTTGCAGATTTGGAGCCCCACTGGCCAGGACGACAACATGCCGGTGTGCCGATGGAGCTCCTGGCTAAGGCGACTTCACGGACATTTCAGCCTGGCCTACTTGGCGTTGTCGCCTCAACCCGAGGGTGTTCAGAGGTCCTGCCGCCCCCCCTTCACTCTTTCTGGGAGTGTTGCGTGGAGAAATACTGTTCCAAACCGCAACATGGCAAACGCAGTGGGCTCTCGAACTACACGGGTGCTCTTTCAGCCAGGCACAAGTCACAAGATACCATTAAAAGTCCATCGAGGCAGCAATCAACGACTCAGCCAACAGGGGTGCTGAAGCAATGATGCCAACATGTTCAAGACCATCTAAAGAGCAAAGCTCCTCAAGAGCCTAAACCCTAAACCCTCTTGCCTCTTTACGGCTAGGACTGCTGCACTGCCTGCCTGCCTGGGACGAACTATGCCAACCCTTTTCACAAGGGACTCGACTGCTGCCCTTTCTGCCCAGCCCGCCCCCACACCACAGTGCCTATGACTGCAGGGCGAGAGTCGCCACTTCGCGGCACCAAGCTTCAGGCACAACTTGATAGGACACTACTCTCTGGAATGCTTTGTATAGCTTGACAGTGACATCATAGAGGGTATGCTCAAAGATCTCAAAAGCAGTATGCGCGAAGATGCCAACCCTAAACCCGAAATCCCAAAACGAAAGGGATGCATGAGCTCATCAGCTCCCCCCAGCACGGGACAAGCAGCTGCTCTTTTGACTTTACCCTCCCCCTCCCCCGGGCTTTCGGAAATTCCGAAACGTCAGCGTGCGCAATGTTTACAATTTTATTGTAAGCGTCCTTGAGTAGATAGGACTTGATTTTCAGGAGGGGGGAATTCTTTCGAAGGCTTGGCTTGGGTGGGGGGATGTGTGCCGAGCGCTTGTGCCTGTACCCACAGCGTGCTTCAGGGCTGGTAGGTGCACTTTTGCTTGCAACTCATGTTCTATCTATGGTTTCCGCCCGAGTGCTGCACCCGACTCGTCCCAGTCCAGCCTACGCAGCTCATGCCTCAATGCCACCATCGTAAGGTCCAAAACCCAATGGTCTATCTATTGGGTCGGATCAATTGTGTGGGTGGAAACTCCTCATAAGTTCACATAAGCCAGACAAGATTTTGCAGCAAGGGCTCCTGTTGGAAAGGCTTTATCGTTGGGTCGGTTCCAGTGTGTGGCCACAGCCTCCTAGCATAAATCCGATTTTACAATAAACGCTCCTGGTGCAAAGCTCTTTGAGGACCGTCGGATTTGTTGAAACCCGAAGGTGAAGCTGGAAGGCAAAAGTCCAAGGTGTTTAGGGTTTAGGGTTTGTTTTTGTGTGTGCTTGGCGTGTTCGGGGATCTTCGGGGTGGGCTTCCTTGCGGATTCGATGCCTCGGACCCATCGATTGTTTCAAATTCTATCTACGGGGTTGGTTGGAGTCATGGTTTCAAAAATTCCTGAAGCTCAAGGATGCCTAAATACTTATAGCTGGTTCACCTTCCTCGTCCATTCTTCACCTGTCTGCGAGCGAAATTTCAAGTGCTCAAGCAGTGAAAGGATTTTGCAGTGGACGCGGAGCGCAAAGCATAACTTCAGACAGTTCTGGGCAACTTCAGCATGAGCAGCTACCGTTTCAGCGCTGGGACAGTAGCTTAAGACGTACTCCATTGATGCCAGTCTTAAACTGGCTGTCCTTGGCCATGTCGATGCTTGCGGCTTTCGAATGAGGCTCCTTGACAATTCTGCTGCTGTTGCTGCGCAACAAGGAGGACGATAACAACAACGTGAACGAAAGCAGCAACAAAAGCAGCAACCGTCCCAACAGCCACACCAGCAAGCAACAGCCATAACAGCCACAACGGCCACCACGGCCACCACAGCAACCACAGCCACCACAGCAACGACAGCAACAACAGCAGCAACAGCAGCAACAGCAGTAGCAGCAACAACAGGGCATGGATGCTGTGGCCACTTGCACGCACTGGTAACACGGACGTCATCCTGGATGCTCTGGCCACTCGCACGCACTGGTAAGACGGACGTAACCATCAAATAAGAGGTTTTCGGCCTCGAACACATGCGGCATGCGAAACATCGCCAAAAACGATGTTTTTGGCCTTGAGCAGACTCGAGCACATGCGAAACATCGCAAAAAAGCGATATGTTTTCTCCACATGCGTGAGAACGTGGCAATCGCACGCGGCGAGAACACTGATGGCAGTGGTGTTGGGGTATGAAAACACTGTAAATACCGATGCGATCGGCACGCGCGTTTTGCGCGTTTGCATTGCCTGGGAGCCAACAGCAAGAACAAGAGCAAGACCAAGAGCAAGACCAATAACAAGAAAAACAAGAAGAGAAGAACAATAACAAGAACAACCACAACCACCACCACAACGACAACGACGACAGCAACCACGGCAACAGCAGCACAACAACAATAACCAACAACAACAGTAACATCCACAGAAGCAGCAACCGTAACCACAGCAACCACAGCAACCATATCAACCTCAGCTGAAAACAGCAACCACCCACAGCAACCGCAGCAACCAGAACAACCAGAACACTTAGTGCCACTACCAACAACAAGAACAACACAGGACGCGGCACAAGCAAAGACACCATGCTGCAGGCACTGTGCGACCGCTACAGAGTGCAGACCTTATCAGAGGCATCTTTGGTGGTCCTTGGCGGCTCCTGGAGCTTCTTCATCACTCCGATCACCTACGAAGCTAAGTTAGCGGTGAGGGATCAACAATAAGCAAAAACAAGATGAAGCAAAACATCGAAATCCAGGGATAAAGAACAAAAGAGATAAGGATGGATGAGCTAGAGGACTTCTTCCGATCCGCAAGCTCCATGCAACAAACGCCGTGCATTGCCGCATTTGGGTCTCAGACTACAAATACCGCAAGTTGCCGCATTTCCATTAATTTACAATGCTCCAAATACGGCAACTTACAACAGTTCCGTCTGTTCGCGGTTGTGCATGGGGCTGCGCCCCAAAGTCAAGCCAGAATTCGCGGCACTTAAAGCCTGTGACTTGGCAGAAATACCAATTGCATCCATCCCGCAGGGAAAGTCGAGGTCTCATCAGCTTCACTCAGCAATTTGGAGCTTGCTTCTTGCTTCCTTCCTTCCCTCCAGTTGGAATGTTCCCTATGCATGTTTTGTTGATCCCGATTCGACTTTTGACTAAGAAATGACATACACAACAGCACGTACTTACTGGACATCATTTGCGCAGTGGCAAGTCTTGCATGCCACACATTGACAAGGCTCTGGCTCGCATCATTCACATCTCGCCTCGGCCATGGAAGAAAGTCTGAGAACCAGCAACCAACGTTGCGTGTCTTACTCTTGCACGAGGTATGCAACCAATGCTTATGCACGCGTTGGGCTTTCCGCACGCTTCCACCGGCCAGTATAGATGTGCAATCTAGCTCCAGTAAAAGTCGCCCCAGTACGACTGAAAGAAGCTCGCCCTGGCACACCCCTTTTAATCTTACTTTAGCTTCGTTCATGTACTTCGGTTACACTTATGAAGCTTCGGCTGCTTGAGCCGAGCTTCATGAGGATAGGGTCGCGGGCAGAGTTTGCTCGCTCCAATGCATGCCTGCAGCGAACAACGTCGGTACCACGGCCCATTAATTGTTGGTGAAGTATTCTCCGAGCCTCGGCACATCCTGTGGCGTCTGCCTGCAAAGGCACAGAAAACGAACGCAGCTAGTACAGCTAGAATGGCTTTGAGTGATGTTGCGTGGCGTGGCCTGTCTTTCCTGACCTTGCGGGAATCCTCGACAAAAAGAACGAAGGCCGCGCGAAGCGCCTGTTGCGAGAACGACCGAGGATGACCTATATCATCCTATGTCCGAGTATATGAAACCAAGCTGAAGAAAAGCACTCACACGATGAGGGCTCTGCAAACTCCACGACGCTGGCGCTGAAGACCGTTTTGGATCCAGGGCCACTGGTTATGTGTTCTACCTCAGCACTGTGGCTCAGAACTGGGAAATTTGGGAAATCTCCAAAACCTCTGTCTATGAAGGTGGCGCGCTCTCAGCCACCAAATGCCGGGACTTCTGCGGTGTACATCAGGTTCTCGTGAAGTAGCAGCCTCGCAAGGCTTTAGTCAAGCCGCCTAGCCGAGCTGTTGCACGCCAAGGCCGCAGTCAAACGCAAGCTACCGGTGACAGCCAGTGGGGAAATGCTGCAGAGCCTCGCTGATGAAGATCGGGTGATATCCTAAACAAGCAGCGCTTGAGGTTCATTTCTTACCTCTGCCATACTTTTTGAGTTGCGCCTTGTGCGTGAAGACTGGCATCGATGACAGCCTGGCTCAAGTGCGGTGACGATCCCACCGATTCCATGCCATAAATGAAGCTTACACTGTTTACACGCTTGACACGCCCATGAACGCACAGCCCTCTTCTACGTGAGCTGCGCAAAGGGAGATTGGAGTCAAAAGAGTTCTTGTGCCCATTGCATTATTCTTTCACTTCTCGGGCCTTGTATGGACTCTGGAGGGGGGGGTCTCAGCCCTCCTTGCAACAAGTACTACTACCACTACTACTACTACTCCTCCTCCTATACGACTTCTTATTGTTGTTTCTGCTACTGTAGGGTGGGGAGAAAATTTATGAGTCTGCCTCAGTCGATACGATGTCCAGTCTGGCATAGTGTCCAAGAGGTCATAGCCTGGAGCTGCAGCCAGTTTCGCAGATGATCGCACCTGCTATAACAATGCCCCCCTGGCTACGAGACAGACGACAACTAGCGGTTTTGAGCAATTTGGGCACGCGCCTCTAGGAAGATAAGGCACCAGTGCCTGTCAGGTTTTGGAGAAGACAAGGAAAGCAAAGTTGAACGAATTTAAGAATTCGTTGGCATTCTGCATAGCTGGGAAAAAGCGACAATCGCTACTCCTCTATGTGTCCATAGTTGATCGGCTAAGCCTATGTGAGACAGATCTGGAGGGGAGATGCAGCACGAAAGTTACTGTAGTCCCTCCCTAAACCCTAAACCCTAAACCCTAAACCCTAAACCCTAAACCCTACACCCCCCCAAACCCTAAACCCTGAAGCTGGTTTGCAGGTATTGAAAAAGGTTTCTCCGGCCTCGACTTGTTCTTCCGAACACTATGCTGGTGCTGGATTTGTCACTCGCGTTGGCATCGCGCGCATTCCCAAGCCAAGGCCCACCCCTCATGGTCATGCGGCAGGTTGAACAATTTGTGCGGCCACTTCGGAAAGGTGCCTGCTGAAGCGGTATCAATCAGTCCCATACTCTACTTCCCAACCCTGGCGGATGCTCATGTGTATGCTCTCTTATCTGGGGCCGGCCCGACTTCTCCCGAGATGCGACCGACGACGAGAGAGAAACACGCATTACTATGTACAACCATAGGCTATTAGTATTCGGTATGCATTGCAATCGTATACATTCTTACATAGTTGCAGGAACTGCTTCGAGATCCAATTAAAAACAGTTGTTGTTTTTGCCTCCCTCTCTCTCTCTCTCTCTGAGATTGTGCTTACGACGACAGAACGAATCGACTGCTGCATGTTTTTGTTGATGTACTGTGCACGCTGCCTCATGCTGGCAAAGCTTCTAGCGCCTGGGTACGAACCTTCTTCAGATAAAGATATTGCATGTGCAGAGCGCCGGGCGGCACCATCATAAGCAACAGGCAAGACTTTAGACCCTGGGCCTCATCGGCGCCACTTCCACTGACCTGGAAGAACCATGTATGTGATGCTTACCTCATGCCATGCCTGCCACAAAACTTCTTCGACATGTCAAGCAGAAGGAAGAAAAGAAGAAGTGTGGAAGCTATGTCAGCTATGTGCAGAACCTGATCGCAACAAGGCTTGGAGGGCTGAGTACCGAGTGTCTCACCGTTACGAAGCCGTGCAAAGCGTGGAAGGCAGCATAGGGTGCGGCATGAGCTCCTAGGCGAGAATCGGCAGTCCCAGCAAAAGAAACCTGAAAATTCGGTGCAGCTTCGGACCTCATTGTTATTATTCTTATTCTTATCATTAGTATTGGTATTATTATTTCTTGTACTCATGCCATCATGCTGCTACTGGCCACCAGCCTGAACTTACTGAATTTGCCTGACAAGCCTAAGCTTCAGGCAGCAGGACAGCCTGAGCCGGGCGCGGGCAGTGGCCCAGTCGCGCGCCATCTCCACAGTGTCACGAAATAAGCCTTTTAATCAGGGCTTGAGGCTTAAGTTGGGATGTTCCCCCTCTGTACTAGCAGTGCTTACTAGGGAAATCATAGGGGTACTATAATCCTTCTTAAGGACTCCAGGACTGCCAGTACAAGGGGGAAAATCCAAGGCTTAAGTTCTAACGCTTGGAAGCCCTGAAGGTACCTTGGTAGCAGAAGAACAATATTCAAAAAACATTCAAAAAACACATAGTACTAATCATAATAATCTCGTTATGATCATCATAGTCATAATCATAATCATAACAGTTATAGCGGTTACTTTTCAAAGAACCTTGGATCCCAACCCGAAGCCGTGAACACAGAAGTAGAAGTTGGCGCGTCGGCTGAAACTCGAACCGGGCAAGCTTGTACAAGCAAAGCTGTTTCAGGGCAATAAACGGTTTTGGGGTTTAGTCGCCTCATCTACATATCATTTGCTTTTGAAGCTTCGGAGGATGAAGGTAACTTAGCACCCACACTCGGCGGCGGCAGTTCCAAGAATCGAGACTTCAAACTTTCAACCTGCTGGGAGGTGTCTTCGTGTTAGCTTGCGTCGCGTGTCCTATTGCAACCCCTTGGTGGCATCTCTGCCCAGATGCTTCCTGGCCAGACACAAAGCTCATGACCGTACCAGAAATAACATGGGTGAAGAGATCTTACGCAGGAGAGATTAAAGGAGGGATCTGCATTGGACCGAGACAAAAGTCACCGGTTCAAGCGGGGCATTCAGCGAATCTTCTTGCTCGATTGGTAATGCTGTAGCCCAGCGGATGATTAAACAGAAGGCTACGTTGCTGCGCTTCACCTACAGGAACTGCCATACCTCGTCGGTTTGGTAGGGGCTGTCGACTCAACCACGAAGCAGCACGCAGCCTCAGCAGTTCATACCACGCAATAAGGTGAGGACCAGGTCGAGCTATGACTCCAGTTCGAAATATCGAAAAACTCATCCTTGCATTTCGTCCAAACGTATTCCCCCTCATAGCCTTGGCGGGGGAGTGCCATGAAGCACTCTCCGTATCCGCCTTAAATGCTGGCAAGTCACGCTGGGTTGAGAAAGAAGGCAAAGCACCAAGCCTTGGCTTTTCAAATTTGCACTGCACTGCGTGACGTGAAGAAGCTTGACGGTAAGGCCTAAGGCTTTAGGGGCCCGGAGCCTTGGTTCCGAACTCTTCTTGCAACTCTTAAAGAAGTGCCTATGTGCAGCAGCAAAGAAGGGGATTCATGCAAGTCATGCAAGGTGGCTTGTGACAAACTAGCGATTTTGCTGGACAACGGTTTTGCAGAAAGGCTGCCTCGGCCTGTTGCAAGCATATTGTTTTGGAATCGCTGCCCTGGAGAAGCACAAGCCTTGCCTCATGGACTCGCTCACCGGAAGCTTCATGCAGCTGGGCCACCAGTACAAAGCCCAGATGGCACAAGAAGCACGTGGCCACCTTGGGCGCAGATTGAGAGAGGTCTTCGCCGCGCCATCCCGAAGCCTATCTCACACCCACATTCTTGCCTCGGCAGTGCTACGGTGCCGGCAACAGACTTTACGACGAGTACGTCAGAAACTCCACATCACCGTGACCCCCCCTGAAGCTGGTTCCCTCTTCGAGTCTTCGACTCGGCTGTCTAGGTTCACGGCCACTCCGGTCCAGTACAAGGGTAGCCTGCAAAAGAACCGAGTGCGACGGCATGCCACCCCTTGCAGAGATTTCGGACAACTCACATCCGAAGAGAAACCCGCGTGAGCATCCGGTGAAAGAATGCGAAAAGCTGCCAACGAAGTCTTGGAATAGCGGCCGGCCTGGACTTGCTAATGCCAGTCGCCTGCATCAGGATCAAACCGCCCAGGGATGGCAGCAAAGCGCACCAAAGCTGAAACCTGGCAATGTCAACTATGCAGTCTGGACAGAGTTCGCTGCGATGAGTCAAAGTAACACGACAGACAAGCCCCCTCTCCCCCCAAATTGAGTTGCGAGCACCTCTCTAGCCGATTCAACACTCCGCTTTGACGGCCATCAAACGGCCTGATGCAAGCTTCATCATTGACATACCGTGCAAGAGGTCCACACTCTGCTCTCAGTAGGCTGAGGTCGTGGCCAGTACACTTCATGCGAGTAAAGCGACAAGATGCAGGTGACAGCGAACAGAAGCGTGCGAGCCCTTAAGGAAGAAACAGCGTGTGCTCTTGTGCTTCATAGAGGTGCACCATCGAGGCAATAGATGTCAATATCACAAAACAATCAAGGCTCTCGCTGCGAGCCCACTGGGAGCACCTGCCGGACAAAATCCAAGATTTGCAGCATGTCCAGTAGCAGTAGTCGTAGCAGTAGTAGCTGTAGTAGCTGTAATAGTGTAGTAGCAGTAGGAGCAGTAGTAGCAGCAGCAGTAGCAGCAGTAGTAGCAGTAGTAGTAGTAGTAGTAGTAGAAGAAGTAGTTGTTGTTGTAGTTGCAGAGTTGAAATAGTTGCAGTAGTTGTAGCACTTGTAGTAGTCGTCGTCGTGGTGGTGGTGGTGGTAATAGTAGAAGTAGTATTAGTAGCCGTAGCAGTATCAGCGGTGGTAGTAAGAGTCATCATCGGAAGTAGAAATGGTGGTAGTATGTCATCCTTCCTCCCTCTTTCCTTTCCATCAATCAGGAAGTGTTTTTGATTGTGAAAACTCTTTCAAAACCTGGTGGGGATAGGCATGTACATATGTACATATATATTATATTGTGTATTTGGTTCTTGAATTTATACGTATGACGCTCTTTATGTTTAGAATGCTTGCAGCACACCCAACTCAACAAGCAGCCCCCTTGCAAGCAGGTCCAACCTCCAGGCCCAGGAAGGCAAACTTGCGAACAAAGATCGCAGCTTCCCACCACCTCAGGCTTCGAAGGGGTTTAGGGGTTTAGGTTTTTTTTGGGGGGGTTTAGGGTTTAGGGTTTAGGGTTTAGGGTTTAGGGTTTAGGGTTTAGGGTTTAGGGTCTACTCGGAGCTGTCTCTGAGTCTGAGCAACTGAGCGCGACTGTGCGCTGTGAAGCCGAGGCTGGGAGTAAGAGCTGGGCCAAACTGTTCGCGCATATCCTCTGATGCCACTTGCTGTCTTGCACAAGAAACAAGGACAGAACCAGGAACATCTGCAGGCAGTTGCAGCATTTGCACCGTCTCGATTCTGTCGCAAAGCCAGCGGGAGCAAACGAGAGCGGCTTACGGCATGTTTGGACGCACATCGAAGCACTGGCACTCTTCCATGTTTGGGACTGCGGCCGTTCACCAAGATCGACCAGCGCTTTAAGACCTGAAGGGCGCAGCGTCAGCATTTTTTAGAACACCCAGGATGCATCTCACATCTCTCAGGTCGCCAACAGAAGGATCAGACAGACGAGGCAAGTCTCGCTTGAGACCCCACCTGAAGACAAAGATCATGGCGAGAAGTTTCGGTACGAAAATGATGTGCCGAAGAACCTCCTTCACCCAAGCACTACGGCCCTTCTCTGTAGTTTTCGCTAAGATCCCCCCCCCCCTCCCACCAAAAAAACCACAAAAAAAACACAGAAAAGCAGAACAAAAGCACCGGGGCTTCCACATGATGGCACAAGGGTAGCCAACTCCCCAGAGCAGCGCCAGCCTGTGGAGAAAGGGTTCCTTTGACTTGGGCGGGAGGATTTTGCTTAAGGTTGTTTAGGGCTTGCCTATGAGGGTTGCGAAGGGTTTTTGAAAGTGGGGGGGAAAGGGCACTGTCTGTACCCATGGCGGATTTTTGAATCTTACTGCCCGCTTTTCTAGGTAAGTGCTTGCTGGTGAGTTTTTGTATGCTGCCTCCCACCTAGCTGAACTGAAGTGAGCCTTGTTAACTGCCCAGGGTTATTGTGATGTTTCTGAGGACTTCTTGACCTCTAAGGGCTTTCTGGGAATTTAGAGGAGGAAGCTTGGGCTTGGGGGTTTTTGAGGCCAGGGAGGGCGGTTGAACTTGCTGGCGCAAGCCCGCCGTGCAGCCGAGCAGCCCGAGAGAAACGATCAGCAATGGGTCTGCGGGACCTGACACACACACACACACTTGTGCCGGCTGTGCTGCAGTAGTCTGCTTTGGGTAGCCCTGCTCGCTGCAATGCCACAGGCAGTTTTCTCCCCAGTACTTGCTAATCTGCAGAGACGCGGAGCTAAGTGGCTTTGTGATTGCGCAAGAACTTTGCAGGCAATCACCTCCTCAGGAGACTGCGGCAAACGTTTTAGCCAGAAAGGGCGTGAATTGCTATTCGCAACCACGAGCCCCTGCTTTGGCAACAAATATCCAAAGACTCCATTGACATCTTGTTCAATCACGACACTACTGTAGTTTTAGGCGCAGGCTGCAAGGACCTCATCATCGCCGGTCTTTCGCGCGAGCTTGCCCATCACGGAATGACTCGTTTGAGGATGCGTAAAGCCCGCAATGGCCAGCCTCATACCGGTAAAGCTTTGGATAAGAGCACCGCATCCCTCTAAGAAGCCAAAACACCCATATGCTTTCATGTGAGGATACACAGGCATTGGCGTGTCTTGCTGCATGTGCATCGACTTTCTGGCCGCAAAAAAACAAACAAGTACGTGCGGTTCAATATATACGATATATATATATATATATACACATATATACATCTGCATGTATAAATAGATAAATTGAGTTAATATAAATACAAATCTAAATATAAATCTAAATATAAATCTAAATATAAATCTAAATATAAATCTAAATATAAATCTAAACATAAATATGAATATAAATATGAATATAAATATAAATATGAATAAATAATTATATATATATGTCTATATACATGTATATATTTGGGTGGCTGTCAATATTCCTTCTTCCAGGAACGGCGGATGCTGAAAAACTCATGGTGCCGCCTTATGCCGAGAAGGAAAACGAAGGTCTGGAACGATGGCTTTGGCAAGTACAGAAGTGTAGTACTAATTCTTGTACCCTATGCAAAAGCCTCGCAAAACACACTAGCGCCTTCATTTCAAGACTCAAGCATCGTCTTCGGAACTACTGGAGCTACTTGAACTCGAGCTAGTAGTGTTAGAGCTATCGCTTAGCGATGTAGCACAAGCGCGTAGCTTTTTTCTTCGGCCTCCTTGCTCAGGATATCCCCTGCCAGCTCTTCCCGGTTGGCCATGCTTCAAATCAGCTGTCTTAGTACTGCCTTATGTCTTGGATGGGCAAGTGGTCGCCGCAGGCAGTTTCCCTTGATATTTGCTAGCGCGATGCTAGCGCCAACCTAGCGCATATTTCGCCTCATGACTTTAGAGTTTTGGCACGCCGGCAGTATGCATCAGGAGCAAACACTGCAGCGATTTACCTCCCACTTAATCCTGAAGCCTGTACTAGAATTGAGGGTTGGGGTCTAGGGTCCCCGCTTTTTCCCTAAACCCAGAAAGCCCCGAACCCTAGACCCTAAACCCCAAGCATGAAACCCCAAAGCCTCTCACATCCCTAAACCCTAAACCCTAAACCCTAAAAGGTTAGCTTTTGGAAAGGAACACCTAGCGCCACGCTAGCGCTATCCTAGCGCCTACTGGGGGAGAGCCGGAAACCTGCATATACGCATGGTGCCGCCTTGCGGCGAAGACATGAAGCAGCAAGAGCGGAGCTTCATATCGCACTTCCATCATATTTTACATACATGGTATTTTGACGTCCGCCCATTTGTATGTGTATGCACATTATGTATTGATATATGTTGTATTATGTTGTGGAGACCGATGAGGCAAGACAGTGCCTTGGCTCAGCGCAGCTATCCCTGTCAAAGTGCCTCGCTCTGGGCCTGGGCAAAGTCTGCCGAGGGGAGTGCAACCGAAATCTGGGGATGCTGGCAATTAGTTTAGGGTTTAGGGTTTAGGGTTTTTTTGCCACCCGCTTAGCTGACCTTTCGGACACTCTGCAGGGAACTAGGCTGTATATGTAGTTTAGGGTTTAGGGTTTATAGTTGTGCTGACATTCTACGAGTCGTGGCAGCTCTGGTTTGTAGGGCAAGGTTACAGCATATCATTGTTTGGGCGCTAACTCCGACATCAGGAAACATGCGCAAGCCAGAGTCGCTTGGCCTAGCTCGATACGTTGATTGGACTGCTTCGGTCAGCTGTGCATGCTACCAGTACTAGGACACCCTTCAAACCCTTAATCCCCTAATCATGGCTGTACAGACAGGACACCAGCGCTGGCACAGAGCGCAGGGCACTCCTTCGGCTCAGAACTCATGGTATGACACTGGGCTGACTGTAGGAAGGCGTTTTGGAAGTCAAAGGGGAGTGCTACCCACCCAGGGCAAGTTCCGAGAAGGCTTTCGTGTGTAAACTCAGAAAGGGTGGACACACAAATCCTGGCGGAGATGTATCGCATGAACGGCGCCACATTCGAAAACGTCATCCAGCCAATACAACACACTTGTCGGTAGCAACTGGTCTCTCAGCAGGGCGGACTGTGTTTTTTGAAAAACACGACTCCAGCAGGCATGATGACCATGTGTCTCCTTCATCTCCAGAGACACGGGAGCTTTGATGACCAGCGGGTATTTGTCTGTGAACTTTGAAGTCCCAAGCGGTCCTGCGCAGAAGTTGCGCAAGTGCTTTTTGACTGCCCTGCAGGATCAGCCGCCACAATCTCTCCTACATTCCGCCCGGTTATCTTGTACTCGAAATAGTTCGCCATGTGGAGCATGAAACTGATCACCTTATCAGGATTGAGGGGTCTGCCCTGCTCGTGTTGGATCCTCATGATATTGCTTCCCAATCAGGAGTTTTGATCGTCTGATACTCGCTGCAACGCATGGGGCATCTCTGATCATCTTTATGATATCACTTGGAGGTTCAGGATGCTTATTAACCAAGTATAATTGCACTTATCACCTACGTAAAAGCCCCTTAAGTGCCCCAATATGCGATAATTTGGGTGATAAGTACAGGTATAATTGGTAAATTTGTACCATGAACCACTTCAAGCAAGCATAAACCGGACTTGCACATGCTGACAGATGCAGGACAGCAACTGAATGAACTCCGTTGCCCTCAAACCTCAGCACAGGCCCCAATGGAACTCTCACTACGAACAGTCTGAGGCTGAGGCCCGATCTCAAACACAATTGTATGCGTATAGTCTGGGATGTTTTCTACCAACAGTCCTTAGCAGGGATGATAGGACCTCGTATTGTAATCCCTATTAAGGACTGTTAGTACAAGGGGGAACATCCCAAACTATAGTGCATTTGGCGATACGGCACCCCTCCCTCTAATATCCTCACCCTGTCTTCTATCCCCGGCTCCTGGGGCACATTGCAAGCACATCGAACACTGAGTCGTAAATCTTGTTGGAAATATATCAAACGGCGTACACATTTCCCATGGAAAACCCGCAACGCCGAAACACACAAGCCATGAATCAACCCCAAAATCCACATATAACCAAAACCTCAGAACCATGAAGGCCCATGGGCAAACTAACACACACACACACACACACCCACGCACGCACGCAAAAGTCTAAACGTATTGGAATATCCGGGACAGTGTGCATCTCGAGGCCTTAGGCCATCAGCGCCGAATCAGCGCCGACGCACAGCGTCTCATCCGCACAAGAGATGAGTTGTTTTTGCCCGCGTTGCACGGACATTGCAAGTGCCGGCTTGCAACAGCAACAGACGCGCCCACACTGGGCCCACACACCCTACACACTTGGCCAACGATTTTCAATCGTCGTAGCTGCCTCTGGCCTAAGCTGGTCTTCACAGAACCAACAAACCGCAAACTTTGCTGCCGGCTGGCTGGAACCAAGTGTGCCCACCTGAGCTGCCAAATTTTATATGCGGGCTGAGCCCACTCAGTTGAGCGAGCATCTCGCAGCAAACGTGAACTTGCAAGCTTGCTCGCTCCTGCAACTGCAAGGGATCGGTCTTTCTGGGACCAAAGGTCTGTGCAGTGGTCTCATAAAGAGGCCAAGAGCCTATTAATTGCGGCTGCGGTGCCTATGTCACCAAGAAGCAGGGTATGCAGGACCTCACCCTGCGGGAGACCATACTGCTGGGCATCACTCCTGAACATGTCGTCTTCCGTAGCGGGGTGATCAGAGAAAGCCAGTCTAAGCGGGTATAAATATTAAAAAAAAAAAACGCCAAGCGCTCTGGCTCAGTGCGGCAGCTCGAGATCTATTTTCATTCCAGCAACCAGACTAGTGCCTAGTGGTTGGCGAGGGCAAGAGACCTGGCAAGATGAGTGGTTTCGGTGTAGTATGTCTAAGTCTTCCGCTCCTGTGGGAGGACTGGCGCTTGTACGCCCCAGGGAACGACCTCACATGTTGAGTCGGGCGGTGGGGGCAGTTGCTGGAAGGCAGCTGTGAGGATGTGATTTTACCCGCACGGATGCAGGCAGGAATCTGGAACAGCTGGTAGGCCGTGAAGTTCTCACCGCCAGGGGTGCTGAGCTCGTCTCGCTGAAGAACGACGTGAGCTCCACAGAGAATCCTACAGTAGAGCTGCTGCAACATGTCGCGACTTAGCAACAAACGGTTGACCAATCAAGAGCGTAAGGCAGTCAGACCGATAGTCTGTTCATTCTTGCATGTCTTTGCACAAGCGCCTACGTAGCCTGGCATGCAGTTCGCAGGAAGCTCAATCATGGTGGATGTGCGATGATGGAGTTGCCGTGACCACTTGCAGCACTGGTCTGATTTTTTGTGTGCGCCAGTTAACGCAGATTCCCAGGTCTGCCTCGTAAAAGTGATCTGCGGACACGAAGAACGACAAGTAGCTGCCAAACGAAGCAGACACTGACCACATGTAGGCAAGCTTCTGACGCATCGTTTCTTGATCCTGCTTGGCGATTTGCATGTACACAAAGCCCATCAACACCTCACAGGCATGATGCTCTGTAGTATCTTGTCGACCTCAGGTCGAACTAGCAAGATGCCTGTCATCTACGAACCCATCTCCATCTACAGTAGCATCGCATGCTCTCGCATCGCATGCCGTGATGCCTGCCTGGCCGCCACCTTTACAGCCTATTGCCCTAATTCCTCCCTACGTCCACATCCGAACGTATCCGAACCTTCTCCGCCAAGGGGGGGTGCAAGTCGAACTCGCGCAAGCCGCTATCAGGAAGCTCCTCTACTGCTGAAGAGGCAGGCGATGTCTGCGGTTTACACCGCGGGCTTAGGGCCTAGATGGGCCTAGAGCCAGAGGGGACTGTAGCTGTAGCTGCCAGGCCCCAAGTCCATTCCAATGCCGTTGAGAGTCGAGGAGGCAAGTGGCAGCTTTCGCATGATGGCAGAATGCAGACTGACCCAGCATGTCGAGCATAGGTTCCAGCAGTCGGCCACGTTCGTGGATGCTGGTGCCTCAGCATCGATACGCAGCTGCCCTGAAGAAGGGCGCATGGCGGCATGGCGGCCCTCACTGACTTCGGCATGCCCCTCCTAGACGCCACTACCAGTATCATGCCCCTAGTTGCCAACTTCAGCTGCCATGGTGCCGACCAGAATGCTGAACGCCAGCACCACGACAAGCACTGAGACACAGGCGACACATCTGCACGACAGATAGGTGCGCCGAGGCTCCTTGATGAACGATAGTTGCCAAGTCTGATGCTGGGCCGCACCAAGCTAGTAGTTGGTGGGGTGTGTGTGTGTGTGTGTGTGTGTTCCTCAAACATGGTGCGTGCGGGCGCGGCAATCACTTGTCCTGTCCACCATTCCCCTAAGGACTGGCTTCAATGCAGGCAAGTAGCCGAAGCCTCCTCCATCCTCTCTTCAGTCACTGCCGTTAGAGCGGACTCCTCTTCAACATCCATCGGTGATGGAGACGCTGGGGAGCCCAGCGTCCTGGCCATCACCGAGGCAAAACGGCCTGCTCCACTTTGCGCCACACTGGAGTGCAGCTCCACGTGGCCTCAGCAAGCTCGAGCTCGAGAGATTCTGGCAAGACCGGTGACTCCGAGCCCTGTCAGTCATGGCCGCGTAGCACAACCACAGAACCTAGAGCATCACAATTGTAAGGCCATCACTGGAGTGCGGCAACTGCTGAGAACGCTAAAGTCTTGAGCTGTGATGCCGCACTGGAAACGGGGCATGGTTCTTGGCGTGGAATCAGGCGGACGAAGGCAACAAGATCAACCGTATGTGAGCAGTTCAAGAACCTTCGAACCACCAAAGATACCTCCGTGATTATTCTTCCTCCGCTTGCGACTCACTCAGTGAATCTGGAACCCAAAGCACCGGGGGAGCCAGGGCAGCCACGGCAGTCCACAGACCCCTGCCGCATCAGCACAGAGATGCCATCATCGCGACTGCCCAGATCCACCTGCCGCAGGCCCTCTCGACTTTTGTAAGCAAAACAAAAATGCAAGGGATGCCGATCATATCTTATCATGTCAAATGGGGCCACGTGGCCATCTGCAAGGCCCCGGCACAGGTCAATACACGCAGGTTTCGTCTCGCGACGGCGAATTGCATCAGATGGATAACCTCATGGCACGCGTTCTCTTGTGGCCTCAAATCTAGTGGTAAGATGATGTTAGATGGCCCTGAGCACCCCACTGCCGCTCGCGCCTGAGACCATGAGACAAAAGACCTCTACCTTCACCTCTGCCTTTCAGTCGGGTGCATATGACTATGCGTGACTATGTGCAACAAGTCCTTCTTTGCAAGAGGGGCCCAAGAACCAATTGGGGGGAAACAAGGAATCGGAGTCCGGAGGCCCCACTCTGTGGAAAGATGGGTGGAGTCAATCATTTGAAGGAGGCGGGGGGCCCGCCTCCCCCAACCCTGTCAACTGATTTTCCTACCACTTGAAGCGTGGTCGCCTGGACCAACCTGCATCACTTCAGAAAGAGAAAGCGAGAGAGAAGAGAGAGAGAGGGAGAGAGCTTGGTAAACGACAACTCCCGCACGCTCCAAGGAGCTAGCTTTCGCGAATATTTAGAAAGCCTTCAACAGAGTCTGGGTAAACTTTGCGAAACATTCTCGACATCGGCACATGTTGCGACTCAGACATGGGCTGGAAGGTGATCTCGCCAGAAATGCTTGAGCGACAGGAAGCGGAGCAAGTGGTGGCCCCTGACAGCGGACATAAGATGATTCAGAAAAAGAATGTACACCAAGCTCAGAACACCTACCGTAACAATCGAACACACTCTTGAAGGCCTGCGTGGTGAGAAGGACGCCATGTAGTGCAAGGGCCAGAAGAGTCCCAACCTTGAACGTCACAAAGCCACTATCAATCAACATCTGCCGGATTTGTCGTAACAGTTGTGCACAATGACCAGGTTTAAGAAACACAGGTTGCTGAGAGAAGAGCAGCCTCTTGCGGTAGATCTGAGTAAAGTGGCGTCGCTGTGCCTGAAATGGTTCACTGTAAGGCTTACACTGTAAGGTCAGTTGAGGGTGTGATAGGTTCCTATGTGTGAGGGCTGCAGCAGTTGGACGGTTCTCACCCTAAGCCGGTTAGTAACTCGAGACAAGAAGGCTCAAGCCCCAGAACAAAACTCAGGCTCCCATAGAACATCGTTCCTTGCTTTTGTGCCCCACTTGAGATTCAATGGATAGTGCCTCCAACTTTTCACTGCACGCCTTTGACTTGGCACCTTCAATGGCTTTCGCAAGCCATGCAGAGATCCTGTGAAGGAGCTTTCTGGGCGCGAAAGGCTTCCTAACCCCCCGGTCCACCCCTCCCATGTGGGACCTGCCCCAGACCGCGTTTGCGGTTTTGGAGCTGAGGCCCCTTCAGACGCCCTCAAACGCCCCCTGGCCCCCACCAAGCGCCCTATGACTTTGGATATTCCTCATTATTTCTCAATTATTCCTTATTATTCCTTGTTACTCCTTAATATTCCCCATTATTCCTTATTATACCTTCCTATTCCTTCTTGTTCCTGATTATTCCTTCGTCTGCAATGCGCAAGCTACACCCCCAATATTGGGCCGGCCCGGCGGCCGAGGCTGCCCGCTCAAGCATTTACAATAAAAGTTCCTTATGACTGGAATCCTAGTGAACCTTGGAAGTCTAGCAGATCAAATATGGTCATAAGTTAAAATCATAACAGGCAAGGACAGAAGAAATGCTAACGACTGCATGCCACTAGCACGTTTGTAGAAAAATAATAGAAAGAAAAGGATATAACAGAAACAAGTACAGAACATCTACTGGACTTCATGTTGTCCGATACTTTTCTTGGTCAGGCACGAAACAAACATCGCGACCTCGCAAACTCGTTTGGTTGAACAGAGGATCCAGGTACTCCAACAAGACATGGCACTCCGCACGATCGCTCTCGGCAAGCCGCCGGGGACTTTCATTCAATTCCTTCACCATAAGGCTCCCGTCCAGAACATGGCGAGCCTCATCCCAAAACGCAGCCACACGGCCACCGAAGCAGCATACCTGCGCAAGTCTACAGTGGTGTGCATCGACAAAGCTTCACATTGTCATGCTGCCTGGCTGTAGAACTCAATGGCATCTGCCCAGGTCTCTGCGCGGGACCTCCCAGGCATGACAGTTCAGCCGCAGGCACTGGCAAATGCCTGCAGGCTCTTGTAGGCATTTCATGGTCCTACCATTGCCTCATGTACCGGTCAAGGTAGCTGTAGCAGAGAATGGCAGAGAACACCACCACCTCAACGAACAGCACGCATAGAGGATGGAACACCTGTGCTTACATGGCCTCCCCCTCTTACGAACACAACGATACATGCTGATGGGATGACGAAGTGAGTCGAACCTGAGGCCGCCACCAGGAAAGGGAGCAGATTCCTGAAAGCTAAAATCTCTGAAGGCTTCTGCCAATCTGCACAGCCCAAAACCAACGATGGTACAGTGAGAACGTGCCCAAAATGCTAAGGACCACTCCAGGTCATGATGACGAAAATCTCATTCAAGCGCTGGAAATTTCGAAGGGCATCTGCCGGAACACGTCTGCAAACAATACGCTGTGGAGTTTCAGCAGAGGTGTTTGCATACAAGTCACCCAACCTTTCCGCGATGCCGTGCATATCCCCATATGATTATTTCCCAAACATAGGGGTACCCCTTTTAATAACCCAGATAGAATAGAATCCCCTAAAAGGGACCCCCAAAAAGAATTACCCCCCCCCCCCCCCCTGTCGGAAAAACCGATATCACTTTACGTCTCCCATGTTCCTGCGCCTTGGGCAGGTCTCAGGCCGTCCAAGTCGAAGTCATGGTGCTGGGCCGAGGCCATCCTCGACATCACAACACATCTGAAGCCTGCAAATCCGGGCCGTCCTCCAAATTGGGGTACCTTCTTTGGATCCCTGTATAACCCTCAACCCTAAACCCTCAACCCTTAAACCCTAAACCCTAAACCCTAACACGGGACAATGTAGGCATTGCCCCTATAAATAGAACTGAGGCGACTCGGGAGCTGGAAGCTGCGGGTGCTGGGAAGTCAGGATGCACATCTCGTCTTTGCAACAGGCTTCTGACCGGTCAAAGAAGGATTCTTGAAAACTTGGTGGTTCATTTTGCCTTTTGCCTGAGGTCCTTTTGACTGCTGACGTCCTCTAGCAAGCTGTTGGACGCATGTTGCAAGGGCACTGAAGGGTTCGCAAGTTGGGTTTCCGGTAGCGAGACATGCAAAATACGAGCAAGATCGAGGTCCAGGCTGATCCATCCTTAGCGAGGCGTTCGTGTCACCGTTTATACCGGATACTGGCAACTCTAGATCTCATGTAGTATTACAGGAAGGTTGGCTTTAACCCCCCCCCTCCCCCCGGTTGTGGAAACAAGTTTTGATTTAAGCTGTCGGCAGGCGGCGCCTTTCAGCTCCCAGATGCGGCTGCCTGAGATTAGGGGATCACGGACTCCCTGGACTTTCACTCGCTTTTCGATCGATTTCCACGATCCAGAGGCGTTGGAAACATCGTGTCCCCGGGCGAACTTTGCCAAGGCACATCAAGCAGGATAAGGAGAACCAGCTTGCTTCGCCCTCAGGCGCCTGGCATGAAACAGGAGCTCAACATGCAGGCAAGCTACAGCAAGCTCAGCTACAGCAAGTCACGGCAATCAACTCTAGTAACTGGTCCAAGGGGTTCACCCCATCTGTGGCCAAAAGGATCTCCAACATGAGCTTGATGGCCACGTTGTCGCTTAGCCTCGGCGTTGTCAAGAACATTCAAAAAGGGTTCCAAGGGAAAAAACGGTGCCTTTGAGAGAGAGCCTTCTTGCTGCAATGGGCCTGAAGCTGAGGCTTGCGCAAGCCCGCCTGGCTTCAACAAACATCGGTGGCTTCCGGCACCTACTACCTTCCCGGCCCCAAACATTCCAGGGCTAATGATTGCAGCTGCCTGGGTGATGTAGCGCTGGATCTGAGAGCCGAGCACGGCCCTGATCCGGCGGTGAAGTATGCTCGTTGAGTTTCTATGGTATGACGTGCAGTGCTGCCAGCTGCTGCCAGGTCTCATGGCAATACAGTGGTTTAGCAAGATCTTGAAGAGAATCATGTGACAGTCCTACACGGAAACAAAGACTCTTCTTGAAGCAGAGAACGCAGTACGTCCACCCGTCTACCACTCAGCAAAAGATACTGTGTGCCAGCCCAATGCAACCATCGAGGCATGCTCCGCTGTCTAACCGACTTGCGTCCTTCTTGCTGGCCAGGTCTACCATTGCCATGAGCAGCTGGATGATAACCACATAGCCAAAGAAATACATCCTCAGGTCCATTGAGTCAGATTCAGAGCCGATTGTGCGAGTCAACGGATAACCAACTCAGCCCGCAACGCAGCGAAAAGGACTCCGTCTGAGCTGGAGGGCAACTGGTACTTGGGAAGTGTCAAAGCGAACTGGCTGAAAGCTGCATCTGCTACTCCAGAGCCAGGCAGCATAGTCGGTCTGGACACCGGCTGCAAGTCCCGCTGCTGATGAAGCCAGGGAGGCAAGAGTAGCCTGGACGAATGGATACTAAAAAGACCCGGATGATTGCCAAGTTGTTCGTCATGAGTGTGGCGCAGTGGCGACCGGCATGCCCTTCTGCACATGCTTCGTGTGTCAAGCATGCCTCTGGCAGTTGATTCTGCAGATGCTCTGCGCGCGAACTCTGCATGCTTGCAGGAGCAAAGCGGCATGCACTTTGCAGAACAAGAAGCCCACCTCTGGCATAGCATCGCATCGCTCAATCAGTGCAGATGGCCTGCTCCCATTGACCTTGACTTGGGCACTGCTCTATTTTCCATCCCAGAAAGTCGTGGCAAGTCTGAAAGCCGTAGAATGCCGCAGAAGGCTGTCAGCCTTCTTCTCCAACAAGGGACCCAAAAGAATCTCCAAGTGCCCAGTGCATGATGCCGCGCCGCATCGCGCCGCTGTAGACACTCTGGCCAGCTATGGCCCCCACACTGAGGTATCGTACCAGGAAATATCCTCACAGGCGGATTGGAGGGGGGGTAGCAGAATTAGTAGCCTAAGCTTCGCAGCAGAAAGTATACATCAGATCCAGAGACCGGCCTTTGGCATTCGAGGGCGTGGCAGTTCCAGGCCTCAGGTGCTCACGAAAAACAGCACTGATCGTGCCACGGCCTGCCTGGCCATGGCATGGTATGTTCACCCTTTATACTAGCAGTCCTTAATAGGGATTATAAGAGGGGGTACTCGAATCCGGGAACATCCCAAACCATTACTTTAACTCATGCTGCGTGCTCGTACGCTCTGGCTCTGGCAATGGACTTGAAGAGCCGGCATGGTCCTGCACAAGTTCGTCTTACCGGCGATATCCCGCACGACAATCCTCTAGTTGAGTGACGATGCTGATACGCTGCAAAACGCAGATGTTGGCACTGGTCAACTCGAATGACAATAGCTGTGCCCCATGCGCCATGAAAAAGACAGCAAGGCTAGCAACCTCCGACACTCGCAGGGCTCGCCCAAAGCGGCCGGTGCCTCGATGCAGGACGATTTGCCGTAGCCTGGCTGATGCCGGCCTGTAGGGCACCTGCCAACTGAGCGCTCTGATTGATCTTGCCGTGACAGATGATCTTCCCCGAGTCCGAGGCCCTGGCAGATCACAACGTGTTGCATCCAGGACACTCATCGACCCTGGTTCACAAGAGTCGCAAGCCTCAGGTGGGAGATGTCCGGGTAAAACCCTTCCATGGACCCTGTTCAGCTTATTCTCAAACCATCCCCACAAAACCCTTGCAATCCTTGCAAATTACTCCTTTGCAGTCGCAGGCAACGCTTGCCCCAGAGTTGTTGGCAATTGTACCACTCGCGCACTTTCGGCACCTGAGCTCCAAGGACATGCCTCGGGCTTCTTTTTCGGTGGCCCAGCGAAAGATCCCCAAGTCATGCTGTGCATGTGTGTAAATTCGTGTAACATATAAGTCGAGATGCTCGGAAGCCCCGAACTTCGCGGAGAAGCGGCCTGAACAGAATCACATGGGCAATTGCAAGTGCTTGGTGGCCCTTGTCTCGGATTAACACGTCTCAGAAAGTCAAGGGCGAGCATGGTGCCTGGAGGACACCGCCGGCACCTCGAGTAGCCGGCCCCATTCGTAAACGTACCTGATGATGACCACCGATGAGATGGGTAAATCCATCTTAACAGGGTTCCTATGCCGAGGCGACTGCCTGGAGCGCATAGTTCGCACTTCGGCCTCTCAACTATATTATGGTATAAACATGACATACAAATAAAACAAAGATATATATATATATACATACACATAGATAGATACATGCCTACTGAATTTGAATGTATAGTACACATATTCTGTATTGATGTTTCAAGGGTGAACGTCCACAGATCCAGGGACCCAGCAGCCCCTCAGCGGGCCCGAAGGTGCCCGCCCAGCACCTCTCGCATTGCGCGAGGCCCCTGGGCATTTTACCCACACGACCGGCTCTCGCTCGCTACTGGTTTAGTACTAACAGTCCTTAATTAGGATTCTAGTACGCCCTACTATCACCCCTCCGCCCAATTATCGACGCATGATGCCATGGCTGGGTTCGGCGCAGCTGGCTGAAGTATCCCAGAGGGCAGGCATGGCATTCATGGGAGGGCATGCCCTGGCAAGCCGAGTCTCTCTTTCCCGATGTTACAACACCTGTAACATTGCCATAGGAGCTCTCGCAAACGAACAGCAGCTATCCGCCCACCCCAGCCGGGGCGGCGTCAGTGAAGACCTCCTGCCCACCCCCCACCCCGCCCCCCCCCTAGCAGTACTGCCACCCCCCCCCCCACCCCCCACCCCCCCCACCCTCTTGCTTGCTGGGGGTCTTCGGTTGACCAACAGAAAGAACAGCAGCTCCGGCTGATCAATGTCAAGGTGAACTTAGATTTGGTGGCCTCTGAGCGGAAGGTGCCATTCGAACACGGGTCGCACGCGCCGGCATTCTCAAAGAAGCCTGCGGCATCATGAGCACTGTCAGCAAAACTTTGGGCCTTTAGCCTCAGCGTAGCCCAAATGATTTCTGATCTTAGCACACTTTGATCCTGAGGAAATGGCCTGGTGAGCAATCAAGTAAGCAAGAGCCTGCCAGGATCGGTGCAAGAGGCACTTGCTTGCAATGGTCTCGGCATGTGCAGTTTGCAAGGAGCGTCAGCTTACAGAACAGGACAGGTTTGGCGCATGGCCTTCCACAGCATTGCGTACCATGAGCACTTTGCCTTACACATGACAGGTGGAAGGAAAACGCATGCACAATTGCATGCACAATTGCATTTTCTGACGCATCCAACAGATTGTTTGGCACTGCCAAGGTGCTAAGCACTCTGAACACATCAGGCCGGTCAATCATTCACAAAACGTCCTCATGCAACCCCCTCAAGTGACCCAAGTGGAGAAGCACGCTGGTTCTTGGTGGCTTCTGGCCAAGGAGAGGACCAACCGGACAATCGCGGCAATGCCTCTGCTGCAGCTCCGTCCTTCAAAGAGCTCGCTCTATTCCTTTAGAGCTGTTGGCAGTAGTTTTGGACACATGAAGTGCAGCCACACTGAGGGGTAAACTCTATAGGACAGTCAAGCCAAACGTGACAAGCGGGCTTCCAGCATGTCACAGCAGCCACAAGATTCGGAATGTATGCATGCAGTACAGTGCTCGCACGAGATGTCCGACTGTGGTTGTTCCGGGACGTGTCATGTAGCAGAAGGGTCCCTGTGTTCCCTCATAGCTGTCGTAACTTTTGAACCTTGGTTTGGTGTTGACGCCTCAAATGTGCTGACAGTTACGAGGATGAAGCACGTGGGGCGCGCCATCCTCGTAACTGGCGTCGTCTTTGGACATTCGTTCGCTGCTGGCGTCTCAAATGCGCAACTACAAGGATGAGGAAGGTGGGGTGCGCTGTTGTCGTCACTTTTAGACCTTCGTTTTGTGTTGTGGGGCGAAAATTTGACGCGACAAGTTTGCTGTTGTCTGGCAGAGAGAGAGAGAGAGCGAGAGAGAGGGGCAGAGAGAGAGAGAGAGAGAGAGAGAGAGAGAAAAAAAAAAAAGAAAAGAGGAAGAGAAAGGAGAAGAGACGCATCGTTTCGGATCTCGTGCCGCGAGACGTATCTGGTATGTTCGCCGTGTGTGTAACGCATGCCTGCATTCGGGTTCGTGGCCCCTATCAGGCTTTTCACATGCCCAGCTGCCCAGCTGGCACTCCAGACCCGCCTAACTGACACCTCTGCCGGGACAAGATTCTTGGGGCGTCTAGGTTCTCAGGGGTTCTACCTGGGTTCTACGGTTTAGTTTAGGGGTTTGAGAGCTGGTTTTGAAAGGGTTAAAAAGGTTTTTGCCACCTCCCCGGGCTTCTTTGGGGCTGAGGGTTCAAGTCTGCAATGCTTGCTACAAGCAACGAGCCTGAAAACAGCTTCCTGGCCATCAGGGCATTGGCTGCACGCTGCGCCGTTGAAGCCCCAACCTTGAAGCACCAGGGCTTCGGACCGTTTCCTATCCGTAGTAGGTTCCGCAAGTGAGCTATGGACCACTTATCTGACTTAAGGTCCCATCTTGGGTCCTGGTGGCTGGAGTTACAACAAGGGCACAAGATGCCTGCAAAGCAAGTGAAGCCCAGCAGCGAGAATTGGCCGGCATTGCTGATGTGCAGTTTCTAACCTGCCACAACGATCTGGTCAGGGTTGAGTGTTTATGTTTATGGCTTATGGTTTAGGGAATCTTCCATGGGTTTGCTGAACTTTTCATGAGCAGTGATGTGGCAACTTGCCAATGCGACGTCCCAACTGGGCGCAGGATATAGCAGATCCCGCTCCTGCAAGGCAGGTGAGGCACTCATTGAAAACAATTTTAAAGGGGCACTTATTTAATACTAGTTTTGGGGGGTTCTTTTTCGCTCTTTTCTCTTGATATATTCTGATTGTGCACGTGCGAACTACATTGACTTCGTGCGCTTGTAACAATGATGTTAACGATAATGGTGGAAAGACCCTGACAGGAGTAAGAAGACGCACGACAACCCCCATGAAAAAACATCATTAACATGTAGCGGCTTTCAGATGGTCACAAAACCCTTGTCGTTGCCACTAAAAGATGGCCTTTATTCAATGTTCCAACACATCAGCACACCCTCTATATGGGTTTGCAGCACAAGGGTTTTGGCCCGGCGGACTGAGACAGCAGAAAAACGACCAAAGTACCGCAGACACGCTTGACGCAGTTCCACTTCCTTGAGAGGTTCCGGGAACACCGCCACCGGCAATGTCCAATCTGCAAGCACCTGGACCTAGTCGGGGCAAGCAGCGGTAGTACTCCACCTACTCTTCACAGATTCATTTCGTCCATAAGATGCTGGACTGCAACTCCCTCATAGTTTTGCCACATCTGTTCTTGTGAGGTTCTCGACTTATGAGGCTAGCAACCCTCCATCGAGGATGCGGCCACCCGGCAGGTGTTGTTCTCCACACCCATGGCAAAATTGAAGTAGCCAACCACCGTTTCCTTGGGATGCATATGGGAGTTTTGCACAAAGGAAAGCCGCACCAACAAACGGAAATGACTGATCGCCCATGATCTCCCAAACCATAATCCTCCACTCATTCACGGTCGTGCAAGATTCTTGGCAACCGTGCTCATGCAACCAAGCGACCACTGCAAGCGACTCCAAAGCAGCCAAGACTGACAGAGCAGTCTGTGAACCGCTTGACAGACATCTTGAAAGATATCTTGAGATTTCCGACATGTCCGCACTTTCATTGGCTTGAAGTGGGAGAAGCTTCTGCGAACTCTTGCGACAGGCACCGCGCTTGTCCCCACCCCGGCCGTCGCCATCTTCGCCCTCCCGAATGATGGCGATTAGTAGCAGCTCCAAGGCAGCCACAGCCTGAGCTCAGAATGCCGTTGCCGCTCTGCGCCACCGTGCTGCTCAATCTCGCCCACTTACCATGCGCAGCACCACACAATCAACCCCTGCGTGGACGATGTGGCCCTGGCCTCCGCAGCCGCCAGGCCGGGCGTGGCCTTGGCGAAGACCCGCATGCAATTGGGTAGTCAGCAGGTTGCCATACATGACATTCTCTCTTCCTGCTCGTGGGCTCTCGTAAAACGCAAAGTCTCTCCATGGAGGTTTGACCTTACTTATTCTACATACTCGCCGATTCGTTGGGATGGCTCTGGCTCCAAGTTTAACAAGCTTGTCCAGAAAGCAAAGCTATGTATGTCGATGTATGTGGCTCGTGGCATTGACCTGGCTCTTTTGTCGGATCATCCACGCAGGATGCAGTCTGTCATTTCCGTCACCCATGGCCTCTACAGTAATTCCTGCTTCTGTACAAGTCGAGCGCGAAGTGGGAAAGACTCCAAAAAAATCGGCGGCTACACTCTGTAGCTCATGTTTGGCGCCCGCGCGCCTTGAACGACAAAACCTCTCAGATTCTCAGATGTCCCTGGGAATGAAGTCGCCGACGGAAGACTGGAACTCTGCCGCCGCCAAGTTCGGCAGCAGCGACGGCCCTTCGCCTGTGGATGCGTTTCGGAGCACCATGAAGAAGAACCCCACCATGGCCAAACGGCAGTGCTTGATCTCCCGCAACTTCATGTTGTTCCACTCCTGCTCAAGAAGCAGCTTTGGAAACCGTCTCTTGGCCTATGGCCCGCCTACCCCAACAACCCCAACAACAGTATGCGTCGCGCGATGGGTGGACATGTCCTCCGGCTGGTACGCGGCGGTGAAGGTCGGCCCGAACCTCATGCGTGGCGACCGTGGCGTGCCATCCAGTGTCAAGAGTAAGGGCTTCTCTGGGCCTGTGATGGGACGCGATGGCGACAAGGCGCCGCACAAGTGCGGGTGCGACACACTCAGGCGCCGGCCACTTGGGGCGTGGGCTGCTCACGGGAGCGGTCGGGTTCCAGCCGAGGTCTCCAGGCTGGACTCCCTGAGAGTACTTGCTAATGACCTGGCGCCAGAGACCACTTTCGAAACCCTTCCACAGCTTTCACACATGCCACGGCATGGTCACACAGGGTGCAGATGCCATGCTGCAGTCTGATCCATCTGCTGCCCAGAAGCGTTCTCGTAGCGCCACAGTTCAGACAGGGCGATCACGACGATGATCTGGAGCCAGCCGATGATGGGCACCTACACCATCCCGCACACAGCGTGATGCAGCTATGCAAAATACAACACCCCTCAGGCTCCAATAGGCTCCAAGCCCGCCTTCTTTTCGAGACATGCTCTTTCACACATCTGTGCACTGGCCTTGCGCCTACGTCGGACCTGCGTACGCCTTCTGCTACAGACTGCCAGCACCCCGCCTGCGTGGCCGCCTTCAGGGGGTCCGCCGAGTCCGTCGGGTAGCGGGTGATGAAGGGCTCGAACTTGGCGCCAGCAGTCTGCACCTCGGAAAGTTGCACATGCAGGAGAGACTGTGAAGCGCCGAAGACATCTACCACGCGATACTTCCTGCAATCGGTGGCAAAGGCACGGTGTAGCCGAGCACTGCCAGCATGCAAACGCGGCCGTGCGCAAGCTCGGCTTCACGATACCAAGGCAGCAGTCGCTGGTTCTTGGCGAAGCCTGGCCCGCAAGAGGAGAGATGATGACAGCACATGATGCACACCGCACGTTGTACCACTCCGAGAACACTCCTATAGCGTTCCTCTCTTACGTTCCGAAATGTTCCGAACCATGCCGGCGCATGCCAACGCATGCCAGGCGCGCCTGCAGGGTCGAAGCCCACGTCGCCCACGTAGACCGGGTTGAAGATGTCGTTGGTGAGGCCCTCTGGGATGGGGTCCCACGGGAGGGCCGTGGACTTGCCTGCGCCGGAGCCGAACTCAGCACGCAGCGCCAGGCGATCCGAGGCCTCGCGCTGAGCATAGCCACCCACGAAGGGGTTCAGATTTCCTGTGGTGAACTGCTCGACAAGGGACTGGCCGGTGGCACCGTTCTGTGCCACAATGGCGGCCATGGCAACCATCGCCAAACGTCCATTGTTGATCTCCGCCAAGAGCTTCTTCTGCTTCTCCTCTGGCTCAAGGGTGTTGATCCGACCCCAGAAGGGAGGATAGCCATAATTCTCTGGGAAGGCCTGGTTCTTGGCTTCGATGGCGCCGGCCAGAGCAAAGATCTGCAACCAGCCGAAGGTCGGGACCTTGTAGATGGCCTCAATCGTGCAGGGGATGTCCGAAAACTTGAGGCCTGCGCTGGGTGAGAGGTAGCCACCAAAACGGCCAAAGAGGTCAGGCACGATCATGCCGATGGTGGCGGCCATGCAGATCCTTCCGTGCTTCAGCTCCAGCTCGCGGTTGCGGCGGAACTTCTCCTCGTCCTGGAACGCCATCATGCCAAAGGGGTCCCAGTAGCCCAGGGGAGGGCAGGCGCCGAGCTCCTGGGAAGGGTCGAAGGCGAAGAAGCCCTGGCCATCGTTGAAGGGCGAGTAGTGGCCAGCCTGCAGCTGCTCGATCGGGGACTGGCCGGTGAGGCCATTCTGGATCAGCATCCCGGCCATGGCAATCATTGCCAGCCGCCCGTTGTTCAGCTCGGTGGTCAGCTTCAGCCGACGCTCGGCTGGGTCCTGGATCTTCCTGCCCCAGTAGCCAGTGCCGAAGTTGCCCGGCTCTGCCCCGTACTTGCCATAGGCAAAGCCTCCGAAGGACTGATCCTTGAAGAGCTGCGTCTCAATGAGCCCCGCCACCAGCAGGACCTGAAGCCATCCCTCCAGCGGAACCTTGCTGACCGCAGCAATTCCTGAGGGCACGTCCGCGAACTTCAAGTTCTGTGATGGCGACAAGTAGCCATCGAACTTGCCGAAGACGTCCGGCCAGAGCATGCCGATCGAGGCGACCATGCAGAGCCTTCCGTGCTTCAGCTCCACTGCGCGGCGGCGGTCGAAGTCCTCCTTTGTGCAGCCGTCCTGGCAGTAGCCGACTGGGTCCCAGAACAGCAGGGGGTCGCATGCACCAATCTCGCCGGAGGCGTCGTAGGCGCAGCGCACGACGCCCGCCCGCACCGCCGGCAGCGCCGGGCGCACCAGGGCCGCAGCCAGGCCCATGGCTCCAAGGCCAAGGCTAACGCCTGCTGCGCTGGTCCCTGCGGCGGACCTCTGCTGAGTGCCTCGGAGCGTTGGCTGCGTCGACTGCCTGGCCGTCTGTGGCGCTACGAAGGCCGTCGCTGCAGTCACCGCAGCTGCTCCTGTGGCAAAGGCCGATATCTTGGACATGGCGACCATCGTGGAGCACGCGAGCTACGCCGAGAACACGAGAGGTGTCCCTGGAAGGAGGCTGTCACCCCTTCTTCAGCCCAAACGATTCGGCGAAGCGACTAACAACTGTTTGATTCCGCCTTACATGTGCTTCCGGGCTGCTTCGGTGGATATGTGACTAACGAAGGAGCAACACGGTGCAGGGATGGCCAGTTCACAGGGACGAGGAGCGAGGTACCGCTGTCGATACTCCGCAACGAACTTGGCGCGGCTGTAATCCGTCCTAGCTCCCACAACACGTGGATACGAGAGCAATGGTCGAGAGAACCATGCTCAACAAAAGGAAGCTCTCGTGGCCTGAGGCTCAGCGGATGCTGCCCGTGCACAGGGCTGGTGTCCCAACAATCCACTCCAACGAGCCAGTTCCTTGCATCACGCAAGGATGGGAGGCATCGGAAGTCCTCTTCAAACGGAACGCAAAGCACCTGGCTCGACTTCTTAGTCCATTTGGAGACAAGCATCGCATCTTCTCCCATTTGTGCCATCAACACCGGAAGCTCTGCAACCGGAAGCAGCACTGCGCTTGGAAACACACCTTCAAAACCGCGGTTTCACGACCACAACAGCCGATGCGCATCCAATTAAAAGGCAAAAAAGGAAGGTTGCTCCGCTCCCAGAAGCAATGAGCCAAGGGTCACATGCACGCATGGCATGAATGCTCGGCCTTGCTGCTTGAGCTGCGCGAGCAGCCTGCGCATCAATCCCCGATCATGTGCTGCAGTTACTATACGGTGCTTCAACCAAGTCCTAGAGAAACAACTGGCTATTCTGCGACGTATATGGTCAAGCCCGGCCTTCCTGCGTTTTCGGTTTCCAGGCATGCCAGAAGAATCGTACCTGCGAAGGCTCTGCATGGCCGCTCTGCCAATAGCGTGCTTCGATCTTCGTATTCCCCCCGTGTGCGCAAGTGAATCTTGCTTTACTTCCCATGTTGAGCAGAGCTCGTGGATGCATGTGTCGGTTGTGAACCTTGGGGGTCTTGGATGCTTCCTAGCGTGGAATACTTTCGCCGGACGGTAAGAACATGCAAAAAAAGTCCACATCCCTCATCATCCGGCCTTCCAAACTGTCGACCAGCTCGGCGCTCACACCATTCAGCTGCCACGTGAATGTCTGCGAAACCTGCAGCGCCCACATGCCACACTACCAGATATTTATCCGATCCAAACCCCTGCGCAAAGGTCCAGCCTGAGAATAGAACTACGACAAAGAAAGCGGTGCTCGAAACATGTATTGGCCTACCTTGTGCAACTTACTGCAAGCAGGTAGCGGCAAATCCCAAGTCGCCCAGGATTCCTGGTGCCACCAAACAACGCCTCGACAAGGCACAGTGCACAGTCGCGACACGTCAAGTACTAAAGCTTAGGCCGGTACTGCTCATAACCAGTTTCTGCAAGCAGCGTCAGGGCAAAGCCGCCAAGGCCATGCAGACTCCGCAGCAGCATTTCCTTGCCAAGATTTAGGCTGCTCTCTTCTGACAGCTCCTAAACTAAACATCCCCTCACACGCCTCCTACCTTCACTCTTCGGCTGCCAAGGCTCCATGTGACGTTCAGTCAAATTTCTCCGAAAGCTGAAGGCCTGACTTGAGTCAAGGTTGTCTCTTAACCTCTTCATGACGGGCTCTAAACCTAAGGTCGTGAAGCACGGATGAACATTTCGGGACCACTCAAATCTTTGCATCGCTCTGCCGCACCTGCGGCACTTCAGCATGGGCCTCCATAGAGGTCACAATGACCTGTCAAGCAACATGCAAAAAGCTGTCCTACGTGGTACGCTGATGACGGGGTTTATGGCGAGCACTGATGGCACCTTGCCTCTGGAAGATAATGGCTTGAGTTAACAACCTCAGTCCATGCCCAAGCAGATGGGTACATGGGTTTCCTGTTTGTCAACAACGGAGGCAGCACCGTCCGTAACTGGCAATCAGCAACAACCACCACCACAGTGCTGAATGGCATCATGAATCATAAGGCATCCGTGAGTCCAAGATGCAAAGGAATGCACATTGTCATTCCCGGATGACCCTTGGTGTTCAGTTCGCCGCTTTGAGGAAGGTACAGGATTCAAATTCCCCAGAGACTCTCGTGTAAAACAGCGAAGTTAATTTCTGCAAACAGAACATGGCCTGCATCATAATCATTACTATATGAAAACATTCATATCACTTTGTGCATATGCTAATATATCAATCAATATTACTCATATGTTACTATAACAACGTAACAACAGAATCAGCCAATCATCCGATCCTTCCTGCGTGGAGGGTTTGTTGTTCTTCCGCTAGGAGATAGGATCAGGGGGACCTTTGGGGAAAAAGACCCTCTGAATCATGTCCCTGCTTTAGAGAGCCAGAAGAAGGTTAAGAAGGGTTCCCTTTTAAGGGTCCCTAAACTCTAAACCCTAAACCCTAAACCCTTTTTGCACTGAGCCTCGTGCGCCAGCAGCTCGGTTACAGGCACTCTGAGAGGCATTGCTTCAAGCAGCCCTAACAGAGCCCGCAAAACTCGGTGGGGGACTAACTGAAACGTAACAATCCTGTCGTACTCAGCAAAAACTCGTAAATGGAAACTCCACAACTCAGAAATACACTGATGATACACCCAGTCTTCCATGTGAACCTCCAAGCTCAAACCGCTGAACTCAAATTGCAGGTACTGTAGCCACAGAATGAGGACTGACAAGACATCGCCTTCCCTGACAAAGCGTTGCATTCCCTCCTCTTCATGCAGCCAACCTAGGGTAACTGTAGGTGAGGACTCCATATACGCCCCAGGGGCCACGTGCAGCATGACCCCCTCCTGAAACTGCGCCTTTCTGTGCATACCGACCCCACGGATCTGTCGAAGACATAGCAGGCAAAGGTGAGGTTGTGGGAACTCGAACCCCCGAAGGTGCTGCAGGTCGCTGCCAGGGATCCTCATTACCTGTTGGCCATTTGTCCTCTCTCGGCGGTGGCACTGCCCTGAAGCTGGGGCTGATGGGCTTCAGGTTGTTGCTGATGGTAGTCTCCAGGTCATCAAGCCGCTTGCTTATTGACTGCATATCTTGTTTTCGCTCGTTGGACTCGATTGCTATCTCTCCCTGCAAAGTGTTAACCCTCTCGTTGATATGGCCAAGTTGAGTGGCTAGCTGATTGGTTATTGCAGAGGAAACATTAGCAACCAGCGAATCCTTCAAGCTCTGAACCCAAGGTGGTTCCTCGCCCGTTTTGGCCAGCTCTCTGCCCCGCTTTCTCCTCGGTGCTGCATCGCCATCAGCCATCTCAGCCCCTGAACCCAGCTCATCATCTGAAGCAGACCCGGTACCATCCATGAGCCCTCTACGAGCCCTCCTAGCCTTAACAGGCGAAAGCCTTCAGCCGAAACCTTGAGCCATAGCCATTTACCCTAAACCCTAAACCCTCCTTCTCCTACCTAGGATCAGCTGACAAGTTGCTCCAGGGCCCGAGGAGGAAGCGAACGCTGGCAGAAGCCATCTGCCAATCCTGTCGATGGCTTCTGCCATCGAATAATGTAACGTTTAATATCGGATCGAATAGACTACCACAATATCATATGATACAATAAACTATAATATATTAATATAATAGAAGATAATACCATCATACAATGTCATGATCGAACTTAAGTAACAACGTTGTGAGATATGCTGTAGACCCGCATCCTTCTCGTCGGCCAAGAGCAGCTCCAGCAGATACTTTGCTCCTTGCAGCGTGCTTCGTAGTGTCGACGCTGCAGAATTTGGCTCTGTCTTGCAATGTCTTGACCAAGAAGCCTGCTGGAAACTGACCCAATGTTGAGGGTCCAAGCGTGGAACAAGGCAACCATTATCTGGCTTCGATGCATTTCTCCGCGTCTTCAGACTAAGCTGGAATAGAAGCCAAGGCTCTGCCAATTTGAATTCCGCCGCGACCATTTAGCCACTCCTGAAGCAAAGGGAGAAAAATGCAGTCAACATGCTTCAAGGCAGTCCCTCGGTGAAGCTCAAGGGCAGCACGGCGAAAAGGAGCCAGGCATTAACCATTTGCTGGCCTTCGCCTCATCAACACGGAAATGGTTCAACAGTTCCCCCCCCCCCCCCCCCCAAAAAAAAAAATGGCTCTAACATGTGCACGTCACAAGCAGGCTCCGGGAATCTACTAAGTGGCCGCGGAAATTCACACACCATGGCCGGCCGCTGCCATTTTTGCACGAATGAGTCTGGCTGAGCTGTACATTGCAATGACACATGGTAGTAGCAGCGCAGCAGATTCGAAATATGTAGCAATAGAGTATAGAAGCAGCAGCAGGACCTCCCAGAAGTGATGTTACAGATGCGTCTGAGTGGTCTGAGTTGGGGATCCCGAGATCACCTGCCTCGCCTGAAGGACAAGGTGGAGCTGTACCGAGGAAGGACAACCAATGGCAAGATGTGGCAGCAGAGATTCGTCCAGGCACATCACTGTGTGGCGTTAACGGGACCTAGTCTTTGCAGAATCTCCCAGACCTCCATAAGCCCCAGGCGGCCAGGCATGGTCAGCCCCGCAATGCGCAAGTGCTGCGCCGCGTTGAGCTGATCCACCCTGGCAACCGCATGCTTGCAACCTGATCTTCCCTAGGTCTGGTTGCCAGTTTCTGAGGGCGTGACACCAAAGCAAACCTGTCGAATACAGGCAGAAAGGCTTCAGAATTGTGCTCAAGTGTCTGAGATGAGCCGTCTGCCCTGTGGTAGTTGACGTTGTGAAGCAACTCCGCGAACTCAGCTTCTTTTCGGGATTGAGACACGTGACACCATCTGGCAACATGATTGAAAAAAGCAACCCAAGTCAAGTAGCATGAGCGTGTAGTTCCCCTGTGGGAGAGCCGTAAAGTTGCACACATCTGTCCACAAATCGCAATCGCTGCCTAAGCCGCAGTTGAGGAGTCATGCCACAGTTCATGAACTTTACAGGGGATGTCCTAGAAGAAAACATGACACAGGACGAGGTGCCGTCGTGTGAAATCCCGAAGCATGTCGCGAGCTTCAGGCACTCTGCTTGGCAGATCTGCCTGCTGACATCTGCGCGGACGTCAGACGGCTCAGCATAGCGACCTGCCCCAAAAAGGGTGCAGCAAAGACATGCAAAGACCCTGTAAAGCTTCAGCCACTCAGAGGCCTTAAGAGCCTTAAGAGGCCTAAGCCAAGGAACGACAATAGTCCATGTCAGACTGGGAATCGCATCGCCAAGCACTTTGGTTGGCGGCGCCTGGGAATCTTCTTCTTTGCAAGCTAGGCAGGTAGACAATCTCAATTGTACACAACTTCCAAGCACGAAGCCATCGGCACTTTCGAGAAGAAGAAGAAGAAGGAGCAGCACATGCCTCGAGAAATATGCCAGGTCTTCTTCCGGAAAAGGAGGGGGGCAGGGTGTGGCAATGGGGGGAGCAAAGGATGGCGCAGGCTTCTGGTGGTACCTGTGACAACCAAGCTGTGGTGGGAGAGCCCTTGGCCATGGGTGTGCACCTGCAGATGTGATGAAAACGTAGCGCTGTCCGCTGGTACGCCCCCGCTGTTGCGCAGCCCCAAACATGCAAAAGACAGATGAGTTTCGAGTTTGCGTTCATGTACATGTGTGCCACGTACCGAGGCTTGTGGATTAGCGCCGTTGTTCCGTTCTAGACGGCAGCCCTGTCATCACAGGGACGATTCGACACTCCATTACGTGATTCGACCTCTGATGCTGATGCACCGATGCTGATCAGTTACGGTTTTGAGCGTTTTCAGCGGGACGGGTGCTTCGCAACCGCTCATGATGGCACTTGGAGCTGACATGAGATCTAGAACTCGTGTATCCTCTGTCTCCCTCTTCGACGAGGGCATACGCAAGAATTTTACATCATTGAGCTAAGAAGTGTAGTCGCACCTCAGTGCCACAGGACTATATTGAACTGCCCTGTCGTGTCAACGCCGTTTCACCCAGTATCTGAAGCAGCTGGCAGCAAAGATCCCGAGAAACTTCGTATTGAGAACCTCCGCGGCCAGCCTGCCCGTTGCCTGTGCACAGACCTGCTATGTGAACACCGCTGTGAGGAGATTCGACGACATTTGGACACAAAATTTTCTGAGAAGGAAATTCTTGGTGATGGTGCTTTCAGGGCTTGTCATCTTTTCGCGGTCTTGCCGGATTCGACTTGAGGACCTTTTGACAACCCCTGTGAGGGCTTCGTGTGTGTGTGTGGACCCTTCGTTTCCAGAAGTTTTTCAGCATTAGCAGATTAGCTGTGGCTTCAAAATCTCACATTCCGGATGCTGTTTATGCGAAGGTTTGGGGCATGCACTCTAAACTGAAAACCGTGCTGAGATGCATCGGAACTCGATCTCCAAGTTTAGTGCCTCAATTTGTGCCGGCTTGAACTTAAGGGGTGTTAGCTTAAGCGACGCTGTGGTCGGATCCTTAGTCGAATACGTGTGCCAGGATAAGTGGTGTTGGGGTGCTAAACGGACAGCTGAAAAGTGCCTATGGTTTGCTGTGATGCTTGAATATGTATTATATTCACGTATGGGTTCCAAAGACGCTTCTTCATCCGATCTATGTCGCTAGGCGTACTTGTTCGCCGGTTTCGGGATGCCTTCCTTCACGTATTGAAGCATCACGGCGTTGACTGTCCAACTCTTCAGGCGATACGCCATCTGAGGTCCTTCGGATTTGGTAACCAAAGTGGTATAGCTGCTAGTAGAGAGTTTGTTCATGGTGATGAGATTTTAGCAGTGTGTTTGAGAATAGCAGAGCATGTTCCCCAACTCGATCTTCAAAGAAGAGGCAAGCCTTTTGCCAAACTCTCTCTTTTACTCACGGATGACACGGACCCCCCCTTGCATGACGTCGTGAATGTGTTTCTCTCTCTCTCTCTCTCACCGAGATCATTGATATCGTTCGGAGGCTCGCGAGGCTTACAACGAAGGTGGGCAAAAATATAGCGGCTTAAAACCAGAGACAATCAATCATGTCGACAAACCGAAAAGAGGCTGCTGCCACGTGACTTGTGTGTGTGCGAGCCACCGCACCGAACGGCCTTCTTTTCTTTTGCTGGGGGTCAAAGGCTTGCGGTGGTACCTGTACCAACGAAGCTATCCACCAGGGACCACCGATTCCAAGACACCGTGGCACCTGCGCATACCGCAAACTTGCACATGTGATGAAAACGCAGCAAGTCGGCAGCATCACTACTGTGCGCTGGTGCACGTGCAGTGGTGCTGCCCAAAAATGCAAAGTGCACGAGTTTCGAATTTGCCGGACGCGTTCTTCATTATATCTGTCAAAGATGCTGGTGTACATTGCACAAGTTATGAAGCCGTGTCGCCGAAGCGATTTCATTCTCCTTGGATGCAAGTGGAAAGATACGGAAAGGCCATACCAAGTTTTAACCCAAGGCCATCTCTTGAGAGATGCCGGTGCACTGCTTGCAGGTCTGCTTCGGTCTCGAAGATTGCCACCAGTGCCCATTCCATCTGCCGACTTTCGCATGGCTTCCAGCACTCGCATGTTGGCTTGCTTTGCTGATCTTTGCTGCCCTATGCCTGGCCTTGCTTGCATGGAGTCATATAAACAATCCTGAAGGCCCAGCTGAACGGCTTGAGCGGAGCACACATCGGCAAATGAGAAACTAACATGCCCTCAGCGGGCCTCCATCAAACGGGTAAGAATGGCTTTAATGCAGGGGCATTTGTCATGTCCGATGCCCTGTCTACAGTCATGACAAATCAGTTTGCTGGTATGCCACAATGCTGTCAAGTAGTGTTCCGCTTACTTTTTGCTTGCACAGCAGGTCGCCCGTCCGCGCGTGGCGACGACTAGTGACTCGTGAGGCCTAAGGGCACATGTGCAGGGTCTGTGGATGGCAGCAGCCTAGTGCCTGAGCACCTTGCCTGTCGACTCTCGGACAGCTTCCGACCAAGATTTTCTAAGGGAAAAAGAATGCCCCACTCCCGCGGATGGTGGGCATTGGCCGGAGCTTCGTCGACCGCTTCCACAGACATCGAAAGACGTACTTCGCTATCTATTCCTACACCAGATTTTAAATACAATTGGACAGGCTTCAAGGCTGCCGGTTTTTTTTGCACTGCAGCAGGCAGAAGAGTGCCGAAAGTGGGAGGGGGGAGTCAATTCCTAAGCTAGAAATCGTCGAAATCGTCCACCCAGCCCCTCAACGAAACGACCATAGTAAGCTTACAGTTTGGGTTTTCTTTTGCCTCATTGTTGGCAAGGAATGGGAGGGAGACGCAGGCAGCCTTGAACGACAAAACCTCTCAGATTCTCAGATGTCCCTGGGAATGAAGTCGCCGACGGAAGACTGGAACTCTGCCGCCGCCAAGTTCGGCAGCAGCGACGGCCCTTCGCCTGTGGATGCGTTTCGGAGCACCATGAAGAAGAACCCCACCATGGCCAAACGGCAGTGCTTGATCTCCCGCAACTTCATGTTGTTCCACTCCTGCTCAAGAAGCAGCTTTGGAAACCGTCTCTTGGTCTATGGTCTATGGTCTATGGCCCGCCTACCCCAACAACCCCAACAACAGCGTCGCGCGATGGGTGGACATGTCCTCCGGCTGGTACGCGGCGGTGAAGGTCGGCCCGAACCTCATGCGTGGCGACCGTGGCGTGCCATCCAGTGTCAAGAGTAAGGGCTTCTCTGGGCCTGTGATGGGACGCGATGGCGACAAGGCGCCGCACAAGTGCGGGTGCGCCACACTCAGGCGCCGGCCACTTGGGGCGTGGGCTGCTCACGGGAGCGGTCGGGTTCCAGCCGAGGTCTCCAGGCTGGACTCCCTGAGAGTACTTGCTAATGACCTGGCGCCAGAGACCACTTTTCGAAACCCTTCCACAGCTTTCACACATGCCACGGCATGGTCACACAGGGTGCAGATGCCATGCTGCAGTCTGATCCATCTGCTGCCCAGAAGCGTTCTCGTAGCGCCACAGTTCAGACAGGGCGATCACGACGATGATCTGGAGCCAGCCGATGATGGGCACCTACACCATCCCGCACACAGCGTGATGCAGCTATGCAAAATACAACACCCCTCAGGCTCCAAAGGGCTCCAAGCCCGCCTTCTTTTCGAGACATGCTCTTTCACACATCTGTGCACTGGCCTTGCGCCTACGTCGGACCTGCGTACACCTTGTGCTACAGACTGCCAGCACCCCGCCTGCGTAGCCGCCTTCAGGGGGTCCGCCGAGTCCGTCGGGTAGCGGGTGATGAAGGGCTCGAACTTGGCGCCAGCAGTCTGCACCTCGGAAAGTTGCTCGCAGGGAGAGACTGTGAAGCGCCGAAGACATCTACCACGCGATACTTCCTGCAATCGGTGGCAAAGGCACGGTGTAGCCGAGCACTGCCAGCATGCAAACGCGGCCGTGCGCAAGCTCGGCTTCACGATACCAAGGCAGCAGTCGCTGGTTCTTGGCGAAGCCTGGCCGCAAGAGGAGAGATGATGACAGCACATGATACACACCGCTCGTTGTACCACTCCGATAACACTCCTATAGCGTTCCTCTCTTACGTTCCGAAAGGTTCCGAACCATGCCGGCGCATGCCAGCGCATGCCGGCCTGCAGGGTCGAAGCCCACGTCGCCCACGTAGACCGGGTTGAAGATGTCGTTGGTGAGGCCCTCCGGGATGGGGTCCCACGGGAGGGCCGTGGACTTGCCTGCGCCGGAGCCGAACTCAGCACGCAGCGCCAGGCGATCCGAGGCCTCGCGCTGAGCATAGCCACCCACGAAGGGGTTCAGATTTCCTGTGGTGAACTGCTCGACAAGGGACTGGCCGGTGGCACCGTTCTGTGCCACAATGGCGGCCATGGCAACCATCGCCAAACGTCCATTGTTGATCTCCGCCAAGAGCTTCTTCTGCTTCTCCTCTGGCTCAAGGGTGTTGATCCGACCCCAGAAGGGAGGATAGCCATAATTCTCTGGGAAGGCCTGGTTCTTGGCTTCGATGGCGCCGGCCAGAGCAAAGATCTGCAACCAGCCGAAGGTCGGGACCTTGTAGATGGCCTCAATAGTGCAGGGGATGTCCGAAAACTTGAGGCCTGCGCTGGGTGAGAGGTAGCCACCAAAACGGCCAAAGAGGTCAGGCACGATCATGCCGATGGTGGCGGCCATGCAGATCCTTCCGTGCTTCAGCTCCAGCTCGCGGTTGCGGCGGAACTTCTCCTCGTCCTGGAACGCCATCATGCCAAAGGGGTCCCAGTAGCCCAGGGGAGGGCAGGCGCCGAGCTCCTGGGAAGGGTCGAAGGCGAAGAAGCCCTGGCCATCGTTGAAGGGCGAGTAGTGGCCAGCCTGCAGCTGCTCGATCGGGGACTGGCCGGTGAGGCCATTCTGGATCAGCATCCCGGCCATGGCAATCATTGCCAGCCGCCCGTTGTTCAGCTCGGTGGTCAGCTTCAGCCGACGCTCGGCTGGGTCCTGGATCTTCCTGCCCCAGTAGCCAGTGCCGAAGTTGCCCGGCTCTGCCCCGTACTTGCCATAGGCAAAGCCTCCGAAGGACTGATCCTTGAAGAGCTGCGTCTCAATGAGCCCCGCCACCAGCAGGACCTGAAGCCATCCCTCCAGCGGAACCTTGCTGACCGCAGCAATTCCTGAGGGCACGTCCGCGAACTTCAAGTTCTGTGATGGCGACAAGTAGCCATCGAACTTGCCGAAGACGTCCGGCCAGAGCATGCCGATCGAGGCGACCATGCAGAGCCTTCCGTGCTTCAGCTCCACTGCGCGGCGGCGGTCGAAGTCCTCCTTTGTGCAGCCGTCCTGGCAGTAGCCGACTGGGTCCCAGAACAGCAGGGGGTCGCATGCACCAATCTCGCCGGAGGCGTCGTAGGCGCAGCGCACGACGCCCGCCCGCACCGCCGGCAGCGCCGGGCGCACCAGGGCCGCAGCCAGGCCCATGGCTCCAAGGCCAAGGCTAACGCCTGCTGCGCTGGTCCCTGCGGCGGACCTCTGCTGAGTGCCTCGGAGCGTTGGCTGCGTCGACTGCCTGGCCGTCTGTGGCGCTACGAAGGCCGTCGCTGCAGTCACCGCAGCTGCTCCTGTGGCAAAGGCCGATATCTTGGACATGGCGACCATCGTGGAGCACGCGAGCTACGCCGAGAACACGAGAGGTGTCCCTGGAAGGAGGCTGTCACCCCTTCTTCAGCCGAACGGACGTGCATGAACTCGGCCAACTCAAGACTTTGCTTTCGCAATGCTACATATGCCGTCACCCTACACCCTCCCCTCACTCGCCAGAGCTTTATACGTTTTTGCTTGCACAGCAGGTCGCCCGTCCGCGCGTGGCGACGACTAGTGACTCGTGAGGCCTAAGGGCACATGTGCAGGGTCTGTGGATGGCAGCAGCCTAGTGCCTGAGCACCTTGCCTGTCGACTCTCGGACAGCTTCCGACCAAGATTTTCTAAGGGAAAAAGAATGCCCCACTCCCGCGGATGGTGGGCATTGGCCGGAGCTTCGTCGACCGCTTCCACAGACATCGAAAGACGTACTTCGCTATCTATTCCTACACCAGATTTTAAATACAATTGGACAGGCTTCAAGGCTGCCGGTTTTTTTTGCACTGCGGCAGGCAGAAGAGTGCCGAAAGTGGGAGGGGGGAGTCAGAGTCAATTCCTAAGCTAGAAATCGTCGAAATCGTCCACCCAGCCCCTCAACGAAACGACCATAGTAAGCTTACAGTTTGGGTTTTCTTTTGCCTCATTGTTGGCAAGGAATGGGAGGGAGACGCAGGCAGCCTTGAACGACAAAACCTCTCAGATTCTCAGATGTCCCTGGGAATGAAGTCGCCGACGGAAGACTGGAACTCTGCCGCCGCCAAGTTCGGCAGCAGCGACGGCCCTTCGCCTGTGGATGCGTTTCGGAGCACCATGAAGAAGAACCCCACCATGGCCAAACGGCAGTGCTTGATCTCCCGCAACTTCATGTTGTTCCACTCCTGCTCAAGAAGCAGCTTTGGAAACCGTCTCTTGGTCTATGGTCTATGGTCTATGGCCCGCCTACCCCAACAACCCCAACAACAGCGTCGCGCGATGGGTGGACATGTCCTCCGGCTGGTACGCGGCGGTGAAGGTCGGCCCGAACCTCATGCGTGGCGACCGTGGCGTGCCATCCAGTGTCAAGAGTAAGGGCTTCTCTGGGCCTGTGATGGGACGCGATGGCGACAAGGCGCCGCACAAGTGCGGGTGCGCCACACTCAGGCGCCGGCCACTTGGGGCGTGGGCTGCTCACGGGAGCGGTCGGGTTCCAGCCGAGGTCTCCAGGCTGGACTCCCTGAGAGTACTTGCTAATGACCTGGCGCCAGAGACCACTTTTCGAAACCCTTCCACAGCTTTCACACATGCCACGGCATGGTCACACAGGGTGCAGATGCCATGCTGCAGTCTGATCCATCTGCTGCCCAGAAGCGTTCTCGTAGCGCCACAGTTCAGACAGGGCGATCACGACGATGATCTGGAGCCAGCCGATGATGGGCACCTACAGCTATGCAAAATACAACACCCCTCAGGCTCCAATAGGCTCCAAGCCCGCCTTCTTTTCGAGACATGCTCTTTCACACATCTGTGCACTGGCCTGGCGCCTACGTCGGACCTGCCTACACCTTGTGCTACAGACTGCCAGCACCCCGCCTGCGTAGCCGCCTTCAGGGGGTCCGCCGAGTCCGTCGGGTAGCGGGTGATGAAGGGCTCGAACTTGGCGCCAGCAGTCTGCACCTCGGAAAGTTGCTCGCAGGGAGAGACTGTGAAGCGCCGAAGACATCTACCACGCGATGCTTCCTGCAATCGGTGGCAAAGGCACGGTGTAGCCGAGCACTGCCAGCATGCAAACGCGGCCGTGCGCAAGCTCGGCTTCACGATACCAAGGCAGCAGTCGCTGGTTCTTGGCGAAGCCTGGCCCGCAAGAGGAGAGATGATGACAGCACATGATACACACCGCACGTTGTACCACTCCGATAACACTCCTATAGCGTTCCTCTCTTACGTTCCGAAATGTTCCGAACCATGCCGGCGCATGCCAGCGCATGCCGGCCTGCAGGGTCGAAGCCCACGTCGCCCACGTAGACCGGGTTGAAGATGTCGTTGGTGAGGCCCTCCGGGATGGGGTCCCACGGGAGGGCCGTGGACTTGCCTGCGCCGGAGCCGAACTCAGCACGCAGCGCCAGGCGATCCGAGGCCTCGCGCTGAGCATAGCCACCCACGAAGGGGTTCAGATTTCCTGTGGTGAACTGCTCGACAAGGGACTGGCCGGTGGCACCGTTCTGTGCCACAATGGCGGCCATGGCAACCATCGCCAAACGTCCATTGTTGATCTCCGCCAAGAGCTTCTTCTGCTTCTCCTCCGGCTCAAGGGTGTTGATCCGACCCCAGAAGGGAGGATAGCCATAATTCTCTGGGAAGGCCTGGTTCTTGGCTTCGATGGCGCCGGCCAGAGCAAAGATCTGCAACCAGCCGAAGGTCGGGACCTTGTAGATGGCCTCAATAGTGCAGGGGATGTCCGAAAACTTGAGGCCTGCGCTGGGTGAGAGGTAGCCACCAAAACGGCCAAAGAGGTCAGGCACGATCATGCCGATGGTGGCGGCCATGCAGATCCTTCCGTGCTTCAGCTCCAGCTCGCGGTTGCGGCGGAACTTCTCCTCGTCCTGGAACGCCATCATGCCAAAGGGGTCCCAGTAGCCCAGGGGAGGGCAGGCGCCGAGCTCCTGGGAAGGGTCGAAGGCGAAGAAGCCCTGGCCATCGTTGAAGGGCGAGTAGTGGCCAGCCTGCAGCTGCTCGATCGGGGACTGGCCGGTGAGGCCATTCTGGATCAGCATCCCGGCCATGGCAATCATTGCCAGCCGCCCGTTGTTCAGCTCGGTGGTCAGCTTCAGCCGACGCTCGGCTGGGTCCTGGATCTTCCTGCCCCAGTAGCCAGTGCCGAAGTTGCCCGGCTCTGCCCCGTACTTGCCATAGGCAAAGCCTCCGAAGGACTGATCCTTGAAGAGCTGCGTCTCAATGAGCCCCGCCACCAGCAGGACCTGAAGCCATCCCTCCAGCGGAACCTTGCTGACCGCAGCAATTCCTGAGGGCACGTCCGCGAACTTCAAGTTCTGTGATGGCGACAAGTAGCCATCGAACTTGCCGAAGACGTCCGGCCAGAGCATGCCGATCGAGGCGACCATGCAGAGCCTTCCGTGCTTCAGCTCCACTGCGCGGCGGCGGTCGAAGTCCTCCTTTGTGCAGCCGTCCTGGCAGTAGCCGACTGGGTCCCAGAACAGCAGAGGGTCGCATGCACCAATCTCGCCGGAGGCGTCGTAGGCGCAGCGCACGACGCCCGCCCGCACCGCCGGCAGCGCCGGGCGCACCAGGGCCGCAGCCAGGCCCATGGCTCCAAGGCCAAGGCTAACGCCTGCTGCGCTGGTCCCTGCGGCGGACCTCTGCTGAGTGCCTCGGAGCGTTGGCTGCGTCGACTGCCTGGCCGTCTGTGGCGCTACGAAGGCCGTCGCTGCAGTCACCGCAGCTGCTCCTGTGGCAAAGGCCGATATCTTGGACATGGCGACCATCGTGGAGCACGCGAGCTACGCCGAGAACACGAGAGGTGTCCCTGGAAGGAGGCTGTCACCCCTTCTTCAGCCGAACGGACGTGCATGAACTCGGCCAACTCAAGACTTTGCTTTCGCAATGCTACATATGCCGTCACCCTACACCCTCCCCTCACTCGCCAGAGCTTTATACGTTTTTGCTTGCACAGCAGGTCGCCTGTCCGCGCGTGGCGACGACTAGTGACTCGTGAGGCCTAAGGGCACATGTGCAGGGTCTGTGGATGGCAGCAGCCTAGTGCCTGAGCACCTTGCCTGTCGACTCTCGGACAGCTTCCGACCAAGATTTTCTAAGGGAAAAAGAATGCCCCACTCCCGCGGATGGTGGGCATTGGCCGGAGCTTCGTCGACCGCTTCCACAGACATCGAAAGACGTACTTCGCTATCTATTCCTACACCAGATTTTAAATACAATTGGACAGGCTTCAAGGCTGCCGGTTTTTTTGCACTGCGGCAGGCAGAAGAGTGCCGAAAGTGGGAGGGGGGAGTCAGAGTCAATTCCTAAGCTAGAAATCGTCGAAATCGTCCACCCAGCCCCTCAACGAAACGACCATAGTAAGCTTACAGTTTGGGTTTTCTTTTGCCTCATTGTTGGCAAGGAATGGGAGGGAGACGCAGGCAGCCTTGAACGACAAAACCTCTCAGATTCTCAGATGTCCCTGGGAATGAAGTCGCCGACGGAAGACTGGAACTCTGCCGCCGCCAAGTTCGGCAGCAGCGACGGCCCTTCGCCTGTGGATGCGTTTCGGAGCACCATGAAGAAGAACCCCACCATGGCCAAACGGCAGTGCTTGATCTCCCGCAACTTCATGTTGTTCCACTCCTGCTCAAGAAGCAGCTTTGGAAACCGTCTCTTGGTCTATGGTCTATGGTCTATGGCCCGCCTACCCCAACAACCCCAACAACAGTATGCGTCGCGCGATGGGTGGACATGTCCTCCGGCTGGTACGCGGCGGTGAAGGTCGGCCCGAACCTCATGCGTGGCGACCGTGGCGTGCCATCCAGTGTCAAGAGTAAGGGCTTCTCTGGGCCTGTGATGGGACGCGATGGCGACAAGGCGCCGCACAAGTGCGGGTGCGCACACTCAGGCGCCGGCCACTTGGGGCGTGGGCTGCTCACGGGAGCGGTCGGGTTCCAGCCGAGGTCTCCAGGCTGGACTCCCTGAGAGTACTTGCTAATGACCTGGCGCCAGAGACCACTTTTCGAAACCCTTCCACAGCTTTCACACATGCCACGGCATGGTCACACAGGGTGCAGATGCCATGCTGCAGTCTGATCCATCTGCTGCCCAGAAGCGTTCTCGTAGCGCCACAGTTCAGACAGGGCGATCACGACGATGATCTGGAGCCAGCCGATGATGGGCACCTACAGCTATGCAAAATACAACACCCCTCAGGCTCCAATAGGCTCCAAGCCCGCCTTCTTTTCGAGACATGCTCTTTCACACATCTGTGCACTGGCCTGGCGCCTACGTCGGACCTGCCTACACCTTGTGCTACAGACTGCCAGCACCCCGCCTGCGTAGCCGCCTTCAGGGGGTCCGCCGAGTCCGTCGGGTAGCGGGTGATGAAGGGCTCGAACTTGGCGCCAGCAGTCTGCACCTCGGAAGTTGCTCGCAGGGAGAGACTGTGAAGCGCCGAAGACATCTACCACGCGATGCTTCCTGCAATCGGTGGCAAAGGCACGGTGTAGCCGAGCACTGCCAGCATGCAAACGCGGCCGTGCGCAAGCTCGGCTTCACGATACCAAGGCAGCAGTCGCTGGTTCTTGGCGAAGCCTGGCCCGCAAGAGGAGAGATGATGACAGCACATGATGCACACCGCACGCTGTACCACTCCCATGACACTCCTATAGCGTTCCTCTCTTACGTTCCGAAATGTTCCGAACCATGCCGGCGCATGCCAGCGCATGCCGGCCTGCAGGGTCGAAGCCCACGTCGCCCACGTAGACCGGGTTGAAGATGTCGTTGGTGAGGCCCTCCGGGATGGGGTCCCACGGGAGGGCCGTGGACTTGCCTGCGCCGGAGCCGAACTCAGCACGCAGCGCCAGGCGATCCGAGGCCTCGCGCTGAGCATAGCCACCCACGAAGGGGTTCAGATTTCCTGTGGTGAACTGCTCGACAAGGGACTGGCCGGTGGCACCGTTCTGTGCCACAATGGCGGCCATGGCAACCATCGCCAAACGTCCATTGTTGATCTCCGCCAAGAGCTTCTTCTGCTTCTCCTCTGGCTCAAGGGTGTTGATCCGACCCCAGAAGGGAGGATAGCCATAATTCTCTGGGAAGGCCTGGTTCTTGGCTTCGATGGCGCCGGCCAGAGCAAAGATCTGCAACCAGCCGAAGGTCGGGACCTTGTAGATGGCCTCAATAGTGCAGGGGATGTCCGAAAACTTGAGGCCTGCGCTGGGTGAGAGGTAGCCACCAAAACGGCCAAAGAGGTCAGGCACGATCATGCCGATGGTGGCGGCCATGCAGATCCTTCCGTGCTTCAGCTCCAGCTCGCGGTTGCGGCGGAACTTCTCCTCATCCTGGAACGCCATCATGCCAAAGGGGTCCCAGTAGCCCAGGGGAGGGCAGGCGCCGAGCTCCTGGGAAGGGTCGAAGGCGAAGAAGCCCTGGCCATCGTTGAAGGGCGAGTAGTGGCCAGCCTGCAGCTGCTCGATCGGGGACTGGCCGGTGAGGCCATTCTGGATCAGCATCCCGGCCATGGCAATCATTGCCAGCCGCCCGTTGTTCAGCTCGGTGGTCAGCTTCAGCCGACGCTCGGCTGGGTCCTGGATCTTCCTGCCCCAGTAGCCAGTGCCGAAGTTGCCCGGCTCTGCCCCGTACTTGCCATAGGCAAAGCCTCCGAAGGACTGATCCTTGAAGAGCTGCGTCTCAATGAGCCCCGCCACCAGCAGGACCTGAAGCCATCCCTCCAGCGGAACCTTGCTGACCGCAGCAATTCCTGAGGGCACGTCCGCGAACTTCAAGTTCTGTGATGGCGACAAGTAGCCATCGAACTTGCCGAAGACGTCCGGCCAGAGCATGCCGATCGAGGCGACCATGCAGAGCCTTCCGTGCTTCAGCTCCACTGCGCGGCGGCGGTCGAAGTCCTCCTTTGTGCAGCCGTCCTGGCAGTAGCCGACTGGGTCCCAGAACAGCAGGGGGTCGCATGCACCAATCTCGCCGGAGGCGTCGTAGGCGCAGCGCACGACGCCCGCCCGCACCGCCGGCAGCGCCGGGCGCACCAGGGCCGCAGCCAGGCCCATGGCTCCAAGGCCAAGGCTAACGCCTGCTGCGCTGGTCCCTGCGGCGGACCTCTGCTGAGTGCCTCGGAGCGTTGGCTGCGTCGACTGCCTGGCCGTCTGTGGCGCTACGAAGGCCGTCGCTGCAGTCACCGCAGCTGCTCCTGTGGCAAAGGCCGATATCTTGGACATGGCGACCATCGTGGAGCACGCGAGCTACGCCGAGAACACGAGAGGTGTCCCTGGAAGGAGGCTGTCACCCCTTCTTCAGCCGAACGGACGTGCATGAACTCGGCCAACTCAAGACTTTGCTTTCGCAATGCTACATATGCCGTCACCCTACACCCTCCCCTCACTCGCCAGAGCTTTATACGTTTTTGCTTGCACAGCAGGTCGCCCGTCCGCGCGTGGCGACGACTAGTGACTCGTGAGGCCTAAGGGCACATGTGCAGGGTCTGTGGATGGCAGCAGCCTAGTGCCTGAGCACCTTGCCTGTCGACTCTCGGACAGCTTCCGACCAAGATTTTCTAAGGGAAAAAGAATGCCCCACTCCCGCGGATGGTGGGCATTGGCCGGAGCTTCGTCGACCGCTTCCACAGACATCGAAAGACGTACTTCGCTATCTATTCCTACACCAGATTTTAAATACAATTGGACAGGCTTCAAGGCTGCCGGTTTTTTTTGCACTGCGGCAGGCAGAAGAGTGCCGAAAGTGGGAGGGGGGAGTCAGAGTCAATTCCTAAGCTAGAAATCGTCGAAATCGTCCACCCAGCCCCTCAACGAAACGACCATAGTAAGCTTACAGTTTGGGTTTTCTTTTGCCTCATTGTTGGCAAGGAATGGGAGGGAGACGCAGGCAGCCTTGAACGACAAAACCTCTCAGATTCTCAGATGTCCCTGGGAATGAAGTCGCCGACGGAAGACTGGAACTCTGCCGCCGCCAAGTTCGGCAGCAGCGACGGCCCTTCGCCTGTGGATGCGTTTCGGAGCACCATGAAGAAGAACCCCACCATGGCCAAACGGCAGTGCTTGATCTCCCGCAACTTCATGTTGTTCCACTCCTGCTCAAGAAGCAGCTTTGGAAACCGTCTCTTGGTCTATGGTCTATGGTCTATGGCCCGCCTACCCCAACAACCCCAACAACAGCGTCGCGCGATGGGTGGACATGTCCTCCGGCTGGTACGCGGCGGTGAAGGTCGGCCCGAACCTCATGCGTGGCGACCGTGGCGTGCCATCCAGTGTCAAGAGTAAGGGCTTCTCTGGGCCTGTGATGGGACGCGATGGCGACAAGGCGCCGCACAAGTGCGGGTGCGCCACACTCAGGCGCCGGCCACTTGGGGCGTGGGCTGCTCACGGGAGCGGTCGGGTTCCAGCCGAGGTCTCCAGGCTGGACTCCCTGAGAGTACTTGCTAATGACCTGGCGCCAGAGACCACTTTTCGAAACCCTTCCACAGCTTTCACACATGCCACGGCATGGTCACACAGGGTGCAGATGCCATGCTGCAGTCTGATCCATCTGCTGCCCAGAAGCGTTCTCGTAGCGCCACAGTTCAGACAGGGCGATCACGACGATGATCTGGAGCCAGCCGATGATGGGCACCTACACCATCCCGCACACAGCGTGATGCAGCTATGCAAAATACAACACCCCTCAGGCTCCAATAGGCTCCAAGCCCGCCTTCTTTTCGAGACATGCTCTTTCACACATCTGTGCACTGGCCTTGCGCCTACGTCGGACCTGCGTACACCTTGTGCTACAGACTGCCAGCACCCCGCCTGCGTGGCCGCCTTCAGGGGGTCCGCCGAGTCCGTCGGGTAGCGGGTGATGAAGGGCTCGAACTTGGCGCCAGCAGTCTGCACCTCGGAAAGTTGCTCGCAGGGAGAGACTGTGAAGCGCCGAAGACATCTACCACGCGATACTTCCTGCAATCGGTGGCAAAGGCACGGTGTAGCCGAGCACTGCCAGCATGCAAACGCGGCCGTGCGCAAGCTCGGCTTCACGATACCAAGGCAGCAGTCGCTGGTTCTTGGCGAAGCCTGGCCCGCAAGAGGAGAGATGATGACAGCACATGATGCACACCGCACGTTGTACCACTCCCATGACACTCCTATAGCGTTCCTCTCTTACGTTCCGAAATGTTCCGAACCATGCCGGCGCATGCCAGCGCATGCCGGCCTGCAGGGTCGAAGCCCACGTCGCCCACGTAGACCGGGTTGAAGATGTCGTTGGTGAGGCCCTCCGGGATGGGGTCCCAAGGGAGGGCCGTGGACTTGCCTGCGCCGGAGCCGAACTCAGCACGCAGCGCCAGGCGATCCGAGGCCTCGCGCTGAGCATAGCCACCCACGAAGGGGTTCAGATTTCCTGTGGTGAACTGCTCGACAAGGGACTGGCCGGTGGCACCGTTCTGTGCCACAATGGCGGCCATGGCAACCATCGCCAAACGTCCATTGTTGATCTCCGCCAAGAGCTTCTTCTGCTTCTCCTCTGGCTCAAGGGTGTTGATCCGACCCCAGAAGGGAGGATAGCCATAATTCTCTGGGAAGGCCTGGTTCTTGGCTTCGATGGCGCCGGCCAGAGCAAAGATCTGCAACCAGCCGAAGGTCGGGACCTTGTAGATAGCCTCAATAGTGCAAGGGATGTCCGAGAACTTGAGGCCTGCGCTGGGTGAGAGGTAGCCACCAAAACGGCCAAAGAGGTCAGGCACGATCATGCCGATGGTGGCGGCCATGCAGATCCTTCCGTGCTTCAGCTCCAGCTCGCGGTTGCGGCGGAACTTCTCCTCGTCCTGGAACGCCATCATGCCAAAGGGGTCCCAGTAGCCCAGGGGAGGGCAGGCGCCGAGCTCCTGGGAAGGGTCGAAGGCGAAGAAGCCCTGGCCATCGTTGAAGGGCGAGTAGTGGCCAGCCTGCAGCTGCTCGATCGGGGACTGGCCGGTGAGGCCATTCTGGATCAGCATCCCGGCCATGGCAATCATTGCCAGCCGCCCGTTGTTCAGCTCGGTGGTCAGCTTCAGCCGACGCTCGGCTGGGTCCTGGATCTTCCTGCCCCAGTAGCCAGTGCCGAAGTTGCCCGGCTCTGCCCCGTACTTGCCATAGGCAAAGCCTCCGAAGGACTGATCCTTGAAGAGCTGCGTCTCAATGAGCCCCGCCACCAGCAGGACCTGAAGCCATCCCTCCAGCGGAACCTTGCTGACCGCAGCAATTCCTGAGGGCACGTCCGCGAACTTCAAGTTCTGTGACGGCGACAAGTAGCCATCGAACTTGCCGAAGACGTCCGGCCAAAGCATTCCGATCGAGGCGACCATGCAGAGCCTTCCGTGCTTCAGCTCCACTGCGCGGCGGCGGTCGAAGTCCTCCTTTGTGCAGCCGTCCTGGCAGTAGCCGACTGGGTCCCAGAACAGCAGAGGGTCGCATGCACCAATCTCGCCGGAGGCGTCGTAGGCGCAGCGCACGACGCCGGCCCGCACCGCCGGCAGCGCCGGGCGCACGAGGGCCGCAGCCAGGCCCATGGCTCCAAGGCCAAGGCTAACGCCTGCTGCGCTGGTCCCTGCGGCGGACCTCTGCTGAGTGCCTCGGAGCGTTGGCTGCGTCGACTGCCTGGCCGTCTGTGGCGCTACGAAGGCCGTCGCTGCAGTCACCGCAGCTGCTCCTGTGGCAAAGGCCGATATCTTGGACATGGCGACCATCGTGGAGCACGCGAGCTACGCCGAGAACACGAGAGGTGTCCCTGGAAGGAGGCTGTCACCCCTTCTTCAGCCCGAACGTTTCGGCGAAGCGGCGAGCAACGTGAAGCTTTGATGCTTTGCAAGAGCCGGCATGCGACAACTTCAACCAAACAGCATCACGCTTTCAGTCGCCCGCAAGTGATCCCGATTTGACCTTCTTGTGCCATGGGCTTCATCATCGCAGCAACTGTCCAACTTTGACACAGTCGGCACAAGGCTTGTTCTTGTCTAGTCTAGCAACTAGTACCGGCTTGACGATGGATCGAACAAAGGCATCTGGAATTCAGTGACCAACCCAAAGCAGCACTTGCGTTCTCTGCCCGCACGGTCCACATCTGTAAGCTGCAAGGCCTTTACTTGTGCAACTGTAATTTAATGTATACCCTGGCCCTCTCATACTCTCATGCTGTCCCCATGCCACCTCATGATCCTGAAGAAGGAAAGTCGCTTTTGGATGGTGGCAGTGGAAACCGTCCCGCCCTCCTTCTCAAGCGTCGGTGGCCCAAGCATGGGAGTGCAGTGGGTAGTGGGTCGTCGAGTTGCTGCTTGCAGGTACGGTGCTTCTGTGATCTTCGAGCACGCGCTGCAACGCACTAAGCTTTGAGTTGTCCACGTGTTGCTTGCACGATTTTTGCAAATGGAGCCGGGGTGAGTTATGCCGTGGCAAAGCCATGGAACAGTAGGGCAGGTTTGCACCCTCCTCTGCGCTGGAGCAAAGCTGCGATCAATTTTTTCCACTCAGCGCGCTTTGATCCTTGGCTGAAGCCTGGCAACGAGACACATTGAGACTTCAAGAACAGGATGAAGTGCTGTGCCCACGCAAGCGGTGTGGTTGACGCACGTCGTGATGATGTGAAATTATGTTGTTTGTTTCTTTGCAACAGTCTCCGGCGCGAATTCGTCCCAAAGAGAAGCCTGAGTAGCCTCTATACCCCCCAGGCCAGCCTCTACGCCTTGACCTTTCAAATGAACTCTGGCACAAGATTTCAGAAGGCACGAGATCCCAAGTCCCAACCCAGCTGCAGGCACCCAGGCAAGTGGCAGCCGCTGCTTTTCCTTGCCATTCCGTTCGGAATATCGTCCAAAAACAAGGCGAGGGTTCTAAAAGAGCTGCCATAGCTGCCGTTGCGGCAGCAATGCAAAGGTAGCTGTGGCGCTGCGAGTCGATCAGCAATCCCGGTGTGTGTAACTTCGGCATGAGGGGGGGGGGGAAGTGCTAGAATACCTTTCTGGCTATCTTTGATTGGGCTTGACTGGAGAACTTGTCAGAATGTGGAGAGAGAGCCTGCAGGCGCCTGAACACCCATGGCGATTTTGGGACGGCTTCCTGCCAAGGAAAAAAAGACTCCCACTTAAGGCTCGAGGCCGCTCCCAAGGCTCCCACCCGCGGTTGACGGTTTCGTCACCACGGCTCTTTTAGGGAGCTTCTCCGATGCGCGCTTGGATACTCTAGAGCCTTTTAGAGGCAGTAGGCAGAAGGATGTAGAAGGATGCAGCAGGACTTCTTAAAAGCTAAGCGCGTTTTCAAGCTGTGGGCTTTGGCAGAAGCTCGTCAACCGCTCCCACACTATAGCCAATCTCCTAAGACATGCAGTGTGCCTCATCAGTGGGGCACATCTAACTAGAGGCATTGGCGGGTGCAACATCTCGCACCCTTCAGCAAGCAAGGAACTGCAATAAACACGACTATCCATCTGCCAGCCAGAAGATTTCACAAGAAAAGTCCTGTCCAGCTCCTAAGCTGGATGCATTCTCATAGCCAGCCTTTGGCTGGCAAACGCAAGGCCACCAAGGCCACTCTACCTGGGACAGGTCTGTCATGGTCTATTAACCCGCAAAGCGACAAGATACGACAAAAGGGATTTCGAAAAGTGCTGCCCAGCTACCCATATCGATCTAGGATCCCCTCCAGCTTCTGGCTGAGGCGTGAGAATTCCTTCAACACCTTGGAGCAAGTCTCAGCACACTCGCGCTTCCAGATGAGCCTGCCAGCCCTCGAGCCAAGAGGCCATGCCGGTCTGTCGCTGGACGATTCGCCGGATATCCTTTGACAGCTTCGGCACTCCCATGCAACTGCAAGCTTTCAAGATCTTTCCAGCTTGCCAGTCAAACAGAATCCCAAGAGGTCCCAACTGTCCACGTGTTTTTTGTGCCTTCTACGGTCGGCATCGGCTAACTGCGAAAGTCGACTCCCGTCTTTGTTGTCCAAGGCGAAGGGCAGCCCGCAGCACAGAAAGCAGGGAACCCTCTTATGAATTCTTCTGTCACAGGAACAAGGCTGTACCATGGCCTGCCAATTCTCTCGTCCAAAACCACTTCGCCACACGATCTGTTACTACGCCGACCCAGGCATCACACGGCGTAAGACTTTCAGGCAAGCGTCGCAGCGAACGTCAATGATGTCCTGCAGCAACCGGGAGCTGTGGCACCCACAGCCATGCGCTTGCCGTGTGAGGCCAAGACACCTTCTGCATGGTGAGTGTACGTTGCCAGGCCTGGTTAGAGATCTCCCGGCCGCCACGAATTTTGAGAATCACCTCCAGCAACTCTTCGCCTGGGAAGAGGATGGAGAATGATGATGTGGGCGCTCCATGAGCGCTTGCTGCAAGGGCTCTCGTTGGACGCTGTTTCTCGGGGGGAAGCTGCAGCTACGTGGCGTGTGACTTCTTGCTCTCGCCCGGCATCCTGGTCTTGCTCAAAGAGGTACTCCTGACCGCAGATGTCAGTCTCCAATGCAAGTTCTGCCGTCTGTGAGCCCTCACCAATTGATCCACGGGGCGATCTCTTCCTAAGCACATCTTAGCACCTACAGGTGACCAGTATCGAGAACGCGTGATAACGTGTGCAACATCCCTGTCCGTCAGATCGATCACATCCTCAGGCTTGACCTGGCGGGTCGTGCAGAACTTGTGTACTATAGGAGGCTCGGGCAATTAGACGGATACATTCGGTCTTGTGGCAGATCGTTGACAGGACCATAGATTGCGGTAAAAAAAAAAACAGCCTCTAGCATCAGGGAAATGGGCCTGCAGCTCCGAAAGAACCTTCTGCGCCTTTTCGTCCTCAACGACTGCCGCCAGTTCCTGCATGAGGGGGGCGTGGATCCGGATCCGGGCTGACAGCAAGTGCAGCCGAGTGGCCAATTTTGAGATGTTCTCGTTACCATCCTGTCAGAAGAGCCACAATGGACCCGATCACTCTTCAGTTCAGAATGTGACCTGCCATGATCTGCCACGCCTTGTCGATCTCAGTCAGCATTGACCGGAGATGTGCTTTCATGAAGTCGATTGCAACTCCCTCCTGCGAAAGGGGCTGACAGATCTGCTTTTCGGGATGAGCAGCGGGTAGAAAGCCTAAACTTATCCTACCTGGCTGTTGAAGCCTTTTGTAAGCCGCAGGGGTCAACAAGGAAACTTCCAAAATCCCAAACTCGTGTGTTAGCTGACCACACACGGCGCCGCACCAATCAACAGTGGCTGTGAGACAGGGCTTTCCTCATGCGGGTTGAGAAGCGATTTCCCCAAGTTGTCACAGCACTTCGCAAACATCCCTCCTCGTCTTCTCGCTTCACTTCAGACACAACCTGGCATCAAGCGAGTTGGCCTGAGAGTCTTAAGGTAAAGTTGAATGGCACGAAGGGCCGGCCCTTGGGTCTCAAAGCTGCCTTCTTTCACTCAGAGTATTCAGGGTTCAGTAAGTTCAGTAGCTGTGTACTGGTTGCCCACTGGTTGCCGCCGAGAAGCTTCGCAGAGGATACCGATAAGCATGTTCATGACCTGAGCAACCCCCGAATTTCGGCAGATGGAAGCTTCCTGGCATGCTCTGGACCTGTGGCCTCGCAATGTCCAAAAGCGCTCAGTGCAGCCAGGCAGCCGTCACGTTTGTCAGCAAAACGTAGAAAGTGAAGATGGTGATCATGCCCCAGCCCAGGATCCAGGGGTGACTGGGCTGAGGCCATGTGAGGCGTGAATGAGACTTCATGCTTTCTGGCTTTTCCTTTTCTGGCTGTCATTGTGGCACTGGCTCTGTCCGTGGGCTGCGCAACTGCATGCTTCCAGAAACCCTTTGTGCTACAGACATGCGGCATACACCCAAATCCCGCCGAACAATAATGCTTGCCACGCCACTCGGTCCTGCTGTCCAGTGTCCTTCGTCAGGTTGCAAGTGCCCCACCCCCCGCCCCCGCCCCACCACAGGTCTAAACCTCAAAATTGAAGAGGCCCGTTGCTGCGCAAGGGCTGACTTCGAACTGCAAACGACATGTCTAACTCCGAGCTGCAGCTCGTCAGCTCACGAGGAACCAAACCAGAAGAAAGGAGGATTTATGCGAGTCACCTACCGTGGCTCCTCTGCTAGATAAGAATGTTCAACGTCATGGTTGATCGGCTTGACCGGGGACGGGGTCCAAAAGGGGAACGACAAATAAGCCTAGTCAACAAGTGCCTCTAGAAGGCTCCAGCGCAAGGCTAGAAGAACTACGTGCTGAATTGCTGCTGGGGCGCCTCAGGCTCTCAAAGATATCTTTGGTTCCTGTGCACATGCACTCGGTTGAAGTGCGACGTTTCGTTGCTCTGTGGCTTGCCCAGACCGCGCTGCGTGAATGCGATTCAGAAAGCAAGCAGATGACATGCCCAATGTGCTGGAATGCTGGCGCTGAGAGGTTATCTTCCGCCAAGCCACCATCCATGAACGTACCGTCCAAGGCGAGTGTCCACATACCTGAACAGAACGTGAGACATCGCTAGACTGTAGGCTGCAATGTAAATTATTGGCAAAACTCAGGAGTGGCAACCTCAATCCTTGGGCAGCTGAGGAGCAGAGACCCAAAGTCTTGAAGGACTCCTCGGCTCGATTTGCAGAAACATTGCGGAGGCCGCAACAGTGGGCCGACATGATGCCCGCCCGCAAAGAGACATTACAACCCATGCAGAAGCAAGGCGACCGCGGCAACTGCAATGTTGCACAAAAAGTCTACCAAGAGATGCCTAGAGTCTTCGGTCGCATCATCTTCCACCTGCTGCAGGAACATCAGCAGGACAATGGCAAACCTTGGCATTCGATGAAGTCTCGTGGTTGTGCCGTGACTGTAAAGACTGGCCACATGCGCAGGTGTCGCTTGGGTTCTCCAGGCAACACGTAGTTCAGCAAGACGATGAGGAGCAAGGCAGACGAGACAGCCTAGGAGGCAACTGCGACTGCATCGATAGAAAGCAACCTGAAGAAGAACCGATCCTCACCCCGATATGTGCCGAGCCCCATTTAACAACATTGAAGAATTGAAAGGAAAATTGAGCCATTCCCAGCAAGAGACCCGGGAAGCCACGCGCATGCCGTTGATGAGGGTCAGCAGCTCTGGAGCTGATCGCAGTAGGCGCACCAAGCGGCTGAGGCGCAGCAGCCGAAGGAGTCGCAGAGGGGCTGCCAGGGAAATGAACTTGCGGCTTAGGGCTTAGTAGGTTGGGCTGTTCCCCCCCTTGTTATAGTAGGGGGCACTATAATTATAATCCCGATTGACTAAGGACTGTTGGTATAAGGGCGAACATCCCAATTTACATGAATCAAAAGAAGACACAGCAAGCGCAGCACAGTCCACTTTCAACGGCCAACGACTTGCCAGATGCCGGGGCTCTTTTAGAAAAAGCGCTCATCCAAGGCAAATATCAACATGCATTCCTTTTACTCCCATCCGAATATTTGCCAAAGGCCCGCTACAAATTTAGCAGCCATTGCCTGTAGGCATGGACGTATTTGCTCCCATGGCTGCGATGACAATTGTCAAGACCTTGCACGATGCAGCATGCGTTCATGCATACTGCATACCAAGCCCACAAGTCCCGACAACCAGTGTCGCCAAGCACGTCTCACGAGGCCGCAGCCCAAGTCTCTGCAATCATGAGCAGTACCTCAGTTTGGGATCGATGAAGTTCACACTCCAGCGTGCCGGAGTCTAGCAATCACGCCCCTTGTTACCCCTTGTTGTTTGATGTGGTTCTTCCCCATGCTTTGATGAATGGCACAGGGAGACACGCAGCCAAGTGGCCAGCAATGTGTCGAAAACAAACCACCTGTCCCGAAGACAGTTCCTTTTCATCTCGAACGCTGCGAATCCTTGGATTCGTGCATGTTCTTGCCATTCAGGTACCCCGTCTTTCGTGCTCGGCAGCAGTACAAACTCTGCAGACGCGCCCTGCCAAGTGTCTAATGACAAGCTCGATGGTGAAATAGGCACAGAAAAGGTTGTCGCACACCTTTCCAGGCAGCACAAAAAGCAGTCAATTACGCTCACCGCCCTCTCACATCTCACATGCGCCGTTCCCTTTCGTCTGCATGACTGGCAGCTCATCCATCAGGCACGCAGGGTGACTATGGGGAAATTCCAGCTGCCTGGTAGGGCACGGCAGCATCCAGCATCGTATCGGCTGTATTGTTGTCAGCATCCACACCTCAAGGCCACAGCCCGATGCTCTTCAAAAGAAGTTCACCCAAGTCGAATTCTTGCTATCCAAGCTGCCGATGTAGACGGCATTGAGGCCTGGACCACTGTCAGTGGTTACTTTGGAAAGCACTTGTACAGCGCGTCTTCAATGTCAAGCGATGCACGTCCGGCCCGGCAAACGCGAATGGTATCATGGGTCTCTACCCCTGAGCAGTCAGGCGTGCATCTTTCGCACAGCCTGCTGAGCTTGGGTGCAGGAGGGGGGGGGGGGGGTGAATTCATGAGAAGGATTCAGTTCAGTCGCAAGACGAGCTGGAAGGGGTTCACGAGTGGATAGGAGGGTCACAGAAAGGGTGAATTTCTGGACGCAATGCGAGAAGAACAGAGCTTTTCTGATTGTCCATGGTCGAATAACGTGGGCTTCAAAATCCAGTTCTGATCATACTGTGAGGAGTGGGCAGTTTTGAAACGGAAAGGTGTTAAGGAGAAAGGCCAGCACATGATACGAGTAGGACTTTGACATTCTTATCCCTTTTGAGTGAGTCCTCTTCAGCTCTTCGCATGATCTGCTTGGGGCTCCCTGTGAAATCTGAGTTGCTCCGACTCCGGGCTCAAAATAAGGACCCCATGCATTGCCGACAGGAATTTTGCGCCGAAGGACTTTAAGGACTCACTGCTGCTCGTGCTGATTTTACGTAGCCCTGGAGGCAGCAATGACAAGGGGCAGCGGGCTCCTATGTTGCGAAGCAGAATCCAAAACATCACAACTTGACGCAGAAAGATGGGGCCATGGATTAAATGGATGAATTCACATCGCTAATTTCTTGAAAGCAGGACCTCAAGAAAACCGCCGACCAAGCACTCCGAATCTACAGCCTCTTGGCTCTCAATCTTCAGCTCTCAGTTGGGATGTTCGTCCTTTCTTCTACAGTCCTTCATAGGGATTTCAATAAGGGGTACGATAATTCCTTTTATCATTGATACATTTTCGAGGTCGCTTCGTGGCCATCATTTTCGGAGCCAAGGTAAAAATCTAGGAAAATCTAGCCCCAAGCACCGTTTGCTGGTCGGCTAGAGAAAACTAGAAAAAGCTAGAAAAAACTAGACTTTTCATTCGCTGAATTGCTGATATTTCCTGGCCATCAAGACTGTGGTTTCGGGTTCAAGGGGTTGGGGCTCACTACCTTGTCATGGGTTAGGATGTTGCTGCCGAACAGGGTTCAGGGATGTCTGTAATTTGGATAGCTGAAGTTTTAGTTTTCAGGTTCAGGGCTAGTGTACTGTTAGAGTTGTTTAGGGTTTAGTGCGTCAGTTGTTTTCAAGACTTTTCGGGTTCAGGGTTTAGCGTGTTTCGGATTGGACACCCCGACATCGCACTCGGAACGGTTGTTGATCAAGGCTTTTCGGGTTCAGGTCTTATTGTGTTTGGGATTGGACACCCCCCCAAGTGGCTTTTCGGGCTGAGCAAAAACTAGACTTTTCCGAGCCTCGGGGCCCCGTGTTTCCATACAACCTATGCCTCAATCTAAACGGAGCGCTGAACTTTTCTTTCACCACGTCCAATCCCATGCTCTCGAAGGTGTTTTCTTGAGCCGGGCTAAGCCTTTCCATGCCAAGGCTGGCAAAAAACTAGACTTTTCCGAGTAAAAGCTAAACTTTTCCGGGCAAATGCTAGACTTTCCCGGGTAAAAGCTAGACTTTTCCGGGTAAATGCTAGATTTTTCCAGGATTTCGGCCGGGCCTCGGGGCCCCGTGTTTCCATGCAACAACTGCCTTCATCTAACCGGAACAGCCCCACATACAAGGATGACCTACGTGCATCATGCCATATGCGCCCCATGGGCCCCAAGAACCTGACCTCAGATCCTGCCAGTCAGTAGGCAGGCTTCTCTTGCCTGGACACTTTTTTTGCAAGGACGGTATGGGCACAAAAGGTGACATTACCATTCACGCCCTTCTGATTTTCTTTTTGATTTCCAGGGCCCAAGTATTTTGGTTGTAGGGTTGAGTTCAGGGTTTGGGGTCAGGAATTGGGCTCATCTCCTACTTAGTGTCCACAGAGTTAAAGGTTTCCAGAGACAGAGTCGCCAATCACCAAGAACAAATCTTAGACATATTCTGAAAATTGAGCGAAGGAAAACTTTAGAACCTTTGGTTGCTAAGCAAAGGAAACGTACTGGAAAAATCTAGCGCCTTTCTTCGTGTTCCGGCTTCGAAGAAGACGGTCTGGAAGCAGATACTAAAGCGTTTCTAAGATTTTAGGGACCTGTTAGAATAAAGGTGATTATAATATAATAGGGTACCATTATCCCGGAATTATCCCTATTAAGGACCCCCTAAACCCTAAACCCTAAACCCTAAACCCTAAACCCTAAACCCTAAACTAAGGACCCTTGTAAGGACTGTTAGTATTTAAGGGGGGAGCATCCCCCAAGCTCTCAGCTCCAGGCTGATGATGAGCAGGGTGAGCCGCTCAAACTTCTCACTGCGCGCCTTAGATGAAGACACTTCACGTTGGGCCCAATAGGTTTTTTTTCCCACCCGTTTCCGCCCGATAGGGGGCCCGATAGGGTTTAGGGTTTTTGCCACCCGCACTGCACGCACATCCAGCGCCCGCATCCGCAGGGTCAAGTCGAGGTTACCGGAGGAAAACGCGCAAGCATTGGCGCGTGGTGGACCGATTGGTCCCCTTCCGCAGAAGGTCTGTGTCGTTAGCTGCTCCCCTTGCCTGCCCAGTACCACTGATACCCATGCGATCCTCCCAACAACCACACAGCCTAGTTAGGGTATTTAGGGTTTAGGGTTTAGGGTTGAGGGTTTAGGGTTTAGGGCTAAGTTTAGGGTTTAGGGGTCCGATATGGGTGTCTGCACCATTCTGCACTGACGCGCAAATTGCAGCTCTTGAGGTCTGAAGTTTCAACTCTTGCTGCCATGTGGCAACGGCCTGTGCGCAACCGCTGGTCTTGTAGAAGTTGGTGACATCATACCTCGGCCCGGCAGCAGATCGACTTTTCCAAACCGGGTGCCATGTCAGATGTCAATATGATGTGGCCACACCAAAAAACACATAGGGCCGGGCAAATCTTCATCCAACCGCGTTTCTTTGTCATGGGGGCCCTCATTTCATTGCCGAGTGATGAGCATCTTCGGATTCGTGCCGCGCAACATACTGTCGCACAAGGTGCATCGAGGATCTGAGCCACGCGCTGCACCGATAAATCCGTTTCTCATCCGGATGTCTCTCAGCTCCCTGTCGTCCTCCTGATTGGTGCGCGCCACTTCGTGCAGTACACAGCGAAGTCTTAACCGAGTTCACTTAATGCCTCATGGCACCTGGCACAGCCTATGCAATGTCTACAAAGCCATTAATTCGCTGAGAACGGAAGCTGAGCATTGCATCTCCTGGTCTTTCTGAGTCTTCCGAACGCTATGCCGGCGACCGTGCTCCGTCGGCCTCCCCTGCTGCACCTTTCCCCTTGGCAAGCGTCGTGGTGTGCATGGTCTGACATTTTTGCTTGGGGAGCCGGGGACTTCGACTTGAGAACCGACCTCTACAGTGACTCTCTTGACAGCCTTAATCAATCTCAAGCAGCTCGTTGGCACCCTCCTGGACGGTGCCAGGGACGAGAGCTTCCTAGGCGCAGTGAGCAAAGAGGTCAGAGATTGCCCCACCTTTATCGCAATTTAACCGCCGAAGCTGAGTGAGCTGCCGGTGGGTCACCGGTGTAGCCGCTCCCATGGTCAGGCATGACCCCTAGGAGTCCTCGGGGCTTCGGTCACGAGCAGATCGGCACCCCCATGCTACCCCTTGTGACCTTGTGATCCATCCATGCTTTACCATCTTTTACACATCTCTTTGCGGAGAAGCCGCTGCTACTGTCTGCTCTGACTGCCCACGAGTTCTCGGACGGCATCTGCTTTGCGGTGCTGGTCGGTCGAGGTGGCAGTTTAGATCCTGAAGTCAGTGCAAGCCCTGGAATGTCCTCTATTAGTGCGGCGTTGATTGCTTGACAGCTACCACTGCGAAATGTCCTTCTGGTAGAACTTCAGCGGCAAGGTCATCTGGAGGGTAGTTGGCAAACGTGTTGGGTGGCAAGTTGTCAGAGGAGACGTTGCGTTCCTGATCAATGTCGGGTCGCGGTCAAAAGCAGCAATAAAGACTCTTCGGTACCTGGCGCTTTTCAGAGGCATCCCAAAAAATGTGAAGCACAGCCACGAATATGCGTTCTATGCGTGCTCTCACAGGTTATGATGCCCAGCAGCTAAGCATGTGTACTCGTGGCGTACCTGAGAAAAGAATCAAGCCGTGATGCCGATTCGTGACTCTTCTTGTGTGAGCTGTCCGTCTCCTGAAGCCATAGTTTAGACGTTGACTGCCACCTTGCTTGCCCAGATACGTCTAGGGACGGCTGCTGCTGAACCTCAGCAGCTCAGCAGAGGATATGTCGAAGAGCAGCATGACAACAATTCAGGCCCAAAGCCTCCAACGGAAAACTACAACCACTCACTTGCGCATACCTTCTGACACAATGAAATGACCTACTCCGTGCATCCCGCAATCATGTCACAAATCCGACAAATCCATTCGCCCGTCCGACGCATAGTAGCACGAGAAGAAAGCAGCTCAGCACGAACACTGAAGCCACATATCGCGGCATGCTCGAAGACTGCAAGGTGAACATGAATGTCGGCTGCTCATCCTCTGGTTCGGGAACTTCTTGATGAAAGCAGGAGCCTCATCTCGGAAACCGGGCACAACTTCAGGAGGGCTTGGACGCGAAAGAAGCAATGACCGGCAGGTGGTCAGATGGATGCCAGCAGTTCGGCAATGTCTCCCAAGGAGGGCCATAAACCTCTTGCAGCTCTGCCTGGCTGAGCACCTCCTCCACGCCTTGAAGCTCCAGGAGTTTCGGGGTGAAGTAGATGTAGTCGAAGCGCAGCTCACAAGGACCATCTTCTGGCTTGGCCATGCCGGTACCAAGAAGCTCGCGCAGGTCATGCTCGACCCCCCAAAACTTTCCTTCTGCCAACTCGGCCGCATACAGGGAATGGAAGTCCTCACGGCTCAGGTTTCGCTGGCCCCGCTTCTCGAAGGCTGCCTCCACAAAGCGATACTCACTGCCTCTGCCCAGCTCGCGGTTGATTCGTTTCAGAAACCGCTCTGTATCTGCTTCAGACATCAACTCCGCGCCAGGTGATCGGCAGGCGTCAAAGGCTGCATCCAATGCCCGGCTCATGGCCTGAGTGAGCGACCCATCAGGCTGCACCATTTTGTGATCGATGTTTTGGGCAAGTATTGTTGCCGGCGCACGACCAGAATATGCAAGGTCGGCAGCATCTTGGAAGTTGGGGAGGTTATGCTTTCGTATCTTGGACGTAACCTGCTTGCCCTCTTGTCCCTTTTCGGTCGGATCGCCTGACTCCCGAAAGTCAGGGCTTACAACGCCATTTACAAGCAGTTCACGGACAGCAGTGCTGCCCTGAGAGTTGAAGTCTCCACAGAAGACGACTGCGACTTTATCTGGCGTGAGGCTCATCTTCTTTGCTTCCTTCTCAACCGTGTCTAAAGCCTCACTCACCTGCCGCAACCGCCGGTCAGCACTTGGTCCTGCAGAGAGGTGCACGTTCACGACGAAGACCAGCTCCTCGTTGTCCTCGCATCGCAACCCCACAACAAGGCTGCGGTCCTTGTGCTGAGCTGCAACTTGCTTCCAGTTTCCCTTCCAGCATGTGGCGGGCCGCATCCTCCCCTTCTTTTCATGCAGCAGCACCGTGTACCCAGCCTCCCCAAGGAAGCGGAAGTCCTCATCAAAGGACAGCTCGGACACTTCCTGCAAGCATAGCACGTCGGGCTGGATGCGCGCGATCTGCTTAGCCAACAAGACTTGGCGTTCGGCCCAAGATGTGTGAGTACCCCTCGAGTTCCTGTAGTACTTGTAAATCCACCAACCATCTTTGCTGTTGGGTAGCAGGACATTGTAGCTCATGCAGGTGAAGCCTTTCTTGGCTGGGTCGGTTCCTTGTTGTACATCTGCAACCCTGTTCAGCTGCTGGTCTCTTCCAGCTGGTCCAGGTGTCCATTTCAGCAGGACAGGCTCATCAAATGTGGGCACGCCACAGGCCACCAGCTCATCAAAGCTCAACATGCCCCTGCTGCACAAGACTACCCGAAATACCCTTCATGCGAGCCCATCCGCGCGCGCGAACGCTCGCACACATGTATGAAAGAGATGGCGCCAGACATGCTAGCTGAATTAGGAAAAGAAGCAAAAATGAATGAAGTTTATTCTCACCGCAGAATATGCAGACGTGCAGAGCCAAGCACAAGATGTGTCTGTGGCCTGTTGATGCCAAGGTGCAGGAGCCCTCAACATGTCTCTTATCTTGGCCTCCTGGCGCTGAAACCTGAGGCGAGGGGCCCACCCTTTCACCAGGATGAGGGTTCAGGGAGTGGTCCACACAAGGATGTCCAAGTCCACCGATTTTCGGGGGGGCAGCCAAGCGGCAAAGAAGTTAAGTCTTCGCGGAGGAGCTCGTGCAGCCTGAGTTACTTTCCCAAGTTCAGGAATAGCATCCTCAAAAATTAGCTGTAGATCAACTTTTTGAAAGACATTAGGCGCATCAATAGACCAAACAATCGCATGGGGTCCTTGCGTAGATTGACTGACAATGACTCTGATTGCATTTTCTTTCAGTGTAGTGGGAATGCTGACGCCATTCTGATGCAATTCAGCAACTTCCGCAGGTCCTGCAGCAATCCGCAATTAGCATGCGTCTTAGCTTCATTCAGAGCTGCAACAGAAGCAACTAATTACCAGCTTGCCGAGGTGCTGATGTTCTCTGACCTACATGTAACAGGGTGTTTTTCCTAGCATGGCCTCACGTTGTCTCGCTTCTATATCGAACGACCATGAGAGTCATAGTCATGATGAAGCCTTGGCAGTTCTTTTCGGGCTAAGTCCTGTGGCAGCGCGTCATCGGGTCCAAAGCGCTTCATGGTGCAACTCAGGAGAGTGTATGTCTGGCTGCCGATGCCCTACATGTTGCTTAGTCTCATAGAGCGGCGATCCTGACATCGGAAGATGCAGCCAAGTGATGAATCTTCTTCTGCTTTTATCAGCTGCAGGCAGCCTTGTGCCCAGCTTTCTGGCTGATCGAACAACTGGAGCTGCGATGAAGCAAAGTGAACAGGGTAAACGGGGTACCCTCTGCAGCCGCTACATGTCCTTCCTCCAGCAGCTCTCAGCTCAAGCAACTCAAGCAGCAACGTTGAGAAGCATCCGATTGGTTGTCCCGCCTTGAGGAGGATCAGCTTGCCTGGGCCTGGCATGCAAACTGTAGAAAAATACCGTAGATTCCCTGGAAAGCTCTGGAGTATGGCACGCAACCCCCAGGCCGCCCCTAGCAGCCCTCTGCACACTGAACGAAATGCAGCCAAACTTTTTCATCTCCGTGCTGCTACGATGCAACACACCCCCCAAGCTGGTTTTAGTGCACCAAGCTCGGAGGAAGGAGACGGCAAGGACTACATGACACTGGCTTTTCACGACTGGCTCGTTGGCCGCGCTGTACAGATGCCATGTACTGAACCTCCTCAATGTAACCCGACCAGACATACATCGCCCGCCCAAAAACTCGGCAGGCTGCAGTGCCAAATTTGGCAAATTTCTGTGGTAGCCTATATTGGTTGCACACAAAAATCACCTAATGCATCCCGTAGTGGAGTCTCTCTCTCCAATCCAGGAACCCTACTCACCTACTCAAGTCGCAGTCTTTCCATGTCTTTCCATCATAGCAACCATAGCTGGAACACGGGGGTTTCTGCACCCACTGGCCCACCCAGAAGCTTCGTGCCCAAACTCCCGAATGCTACCAACCCGAAAGGCGCGTGGAGCTGTGACCAGGTTCTGCAGGAAAGTTCCTTAAGTGCTTCGGTTTCAGTGGGATGAACTCTGCAGAAGATGTGAGCTCGAGTCTGCCGCCTTGCGTCGGTTGAGACTGCAACTTCCATGGACTCCACTGAGGTGAAGGCATGGGGAGCTTGTCCTGGGCACATTGGCAGCTTCAAGATCTACGGTTCCCCCTGAACTTCGCCACAATACCCCACAGATTGAGAAATCCCACATGGCTATCGTGATGACAGCACTGCTGCTGCGAGGAAAGCAACCCCACTCAGACGAAGCAGCCACATTGTCGTCCGCCAAGCTGCTCTACACTCAAATGCGTCCGGGTCCAGCTCGAAAAGATCTTCAAAACCTTCAGATCGTTCCGAGAGAAGAAGCTTCAAGGACACAGGAATCATCTCGCGAGGTCTATTCAGTCTATGGCAGGCCATCAAAATCATCAAACATATCAATCGCAGTGTATCGCAGAGCACCTGGGCATTGCAGGTACCACAGCACTCGCTTAGCGGTGTCTGTCTTGGCGTCCTGTGGCGTTCCTCGGTTATTTGCCACCATGTCATGATGAGGACAATGAGATAGAGCGAAGAAAAGAAACAAAACTTGATTGCAGGTTGGCCGGGCGACTGCAAAGCCGTCCGGCGAATGTGTGCGGAACACCCAAGAGCTGCAGCTGTACTAGCGCCTTGTAGCCTATGCTGGCTGACTCGCCTGCCATGCGCAATTCAGATGGCCCTGAATCTAAGGAGAATATTGCGCCGAAGGAATCATCAAGCTTCAAAGCTTTGCAGTTTCGATCCGCGCCTGTGGGGCATTCGACCTCCACACTCCAGCTGGGAGGTGCGTCCAGGAAGCTCTGGCAGTACTGGCCTCACACTTGCAGAGGCCATACCCTGGGCTAACACAACCAGGAGGACACTTAGTGACTTAGTTCACACCTCGGTGTTAATGGCTTTGTACTGCTGTAGCCCAAGCAGCTGAAGATCGTGTCCACGCAGGCTTCCATGCGCACGCATCCGTGCTCGGGCGTGACAGGCTTGAGAACCTGCATACTGCCTTCCTGAAGCAAAAGTGCACTCCACGCCCCTATGAAGAATTTCAGGCAACTGTCGGCCAGCTCTCTTTGGGCATTCTTCTTGGAGCTGTCCCATGCACCAAGGACATGGTGAGGGATGCCGTCGAGCAAGAACGCCAGACGAGCCCGGAATCGAGACTTCGAAGTCTTGGTCAATTTCACATCGTAATTCCACTGGAGCGCCGGCATGCCCTGCGGAATGCGAAAGCCTCAGCCACGCAGACGAACAACAAGGCCAGACGCATTTTTCATACCAAAGCGAGATGAAGAGAACCAAGGTGTGCGGACAGAGCGGACGACGATGCCAAACGACGACGGATTAGATACGCCGACTGCTAAGGCCGCTTGGGATGCGCAGCTGAACAGACAAGCATGACCCTCATGATGGACTCGTCATGCTGCTAGAGTTTCGCCCAAAGCTAGGCAGCCAACAGCAAGAACCGATTTCATCTGACCAGACATCCTGCATTTCCAGTTTAGCTTTGCTGGTGCCTGGTGCTGCAGATTCAGGGCTCGCTGTGCACAGGTTTTAGAGTCGAACTCAGCCAACTCAACAACTTTTATGTACGTTTTTCCCAAACCTTTCACAGGGCGGCTCGGGGAGGTCTGGACGAATTCCTGCAGCAAGGTGATGACGCCCTTCTCGTCAGGACTACTTTCGCTCGGCACGCCCGAGAATGCTTCTGGCCCATATGGCTTCACCTCATTGTTCAAACATCCTGCCATCACCCTGCCCGTTGCAAGATGCCGGATGTGCTTACGCTGATACCATCCCTCCCCGCGGAATGCTGCCGAGCTGCCTGCACCTTGACACTTGGATACATGGCCCTCGGCATGTGGGGCCCGGCCAAGGCCAGGAACAGGCAGCCCTGTACGGAGGCCATGATGCAGTGGCAGCGGATCTGAGCCGAAATCCGAAAGCGAAAGCGTGTTCTCATATCGCCCTGGAAGGACGGCTCTGTTTGACTTTGCCAGATGGGCACTTTCGGGTCACCAACACGCTTCCTCGCCTGAGGTCGCAGTACCACCTTGGAAAGGTTAGTGTGGAAGCGCTGCAAGAAAGAGACCTCGGGCACTTGCGCGCGGCTAGCGGTTAGCGGTTAGCAGCTGAAGGCTTTCAACTTCGCTGAAAGAACTGCATGCACATTCGAAAGGGGTCAGATGGCTCGAGCATCGCGGCATCTGTGGTCGCCATGGCAAGGCTTTGTTCAGTGCTTCGACAGTTCATTAACATCAAGCATGCTATAGCATGTTGTAGCATGCCGGGTGACTGCAGTCGGCGTGCTACTCGCACCGAGGCACCTCGTGAAGTTTCTAATGTCGCCTCAGACCGAGGCCGTATCTTTGATGTCACCCAGGACCTTCTCCCTGCCAGTGATCTCACTGTCCAACCTGACTTCCACTCGCTGCGTGCACACAGCTTTTGAATTCCGCGTTCTGCCTTGCGAAACTCCAACAGCCCTTATACCATGGTTACCATAATGTTACCATAACCAAAGAGGCTCCAGCTCTGTTGTCTTGTCGTCGCGGACAGCTCCCTTCTGTGGCCTAGGGGCGGGCCACTTTCACATGACTCCCTGATGGACTTGCCGCCACTGTGCAGAAAAGGCTGAGCCCCGCTCTTCTGGGAGTCTCCGCATGAAAACACGGCGATTCCATCGTCAGTGATGTCACGCCTTGACGTGGTGCTTGTCATGTCATGACGCAGCAGCGCCTCACAACCTGTCCTTCTACTGCGAGTAGCAAATCGCTCGACCCTACAGTCGAACGTGGCTCAAATCATCCTTCAGCGCACATGTAAATGAAACAGTCATTGGGCATTGACTAGAAATAACGTTGCTGGGATCTGGGAAGCACGCTGTGTTGCAGAAGCTTTTGCAGGAGGGGGGGGCAGCTGCTGCTTGTCCACTGAAATAATGATTGTCGTAGGCGGGTTTTTTCCCGGCAGTTCGTCAAACAAAGGCCCTGAACCAGAGACTTGAAATGCTTCCGCGTGCAGGCTTCCAGATGCTTGCTTCGGCATCCGGGAGCCATGGTGTGAGGGACCCGGGCTTGATGTCTTCCCCGATGGCTTCAGCACTTCGTTCTGTATCATCCAGGGTGCTGCGCTGTTTGCAACTATTCGACGGTGTGTAGGCTCTGGCATCTGCCAGGCCCGGTACAGTCTATAGCGAAGTATGCGAAAAGATACACACACACACAGAACCCAGCGCAGTGTGGTCGCCGAATATATTTCGTCAGTGGAAAGTTGTCGTGAGCTCACGCAGATTATTAAGTGTTGCAGAAGCGCAAACCCACACCAGCACCCATAGCCGCTGACATCGACCTTGAGCTGCCAGGCACTGTAAGCCGATGTCTGAGCTCTGTGCTTATGGATTGCGTTCACGATAGCGACTACAACGCCAGCAATCAGCACGGTGCCTGTCATGGGCTACGTTTACTAGGAGCTGAAGGAGGTGCAGGTTTTGAGGAGGTTCAGGCTGACAGTGCTTGCACTGCTCTTGCCCACACCTGAGTCTAGCTTTGGCTGTCGCACCTGCTATGTTTTGTGCAGTGTTGATCTCAATGCCATTGCTCCTGGTGGCCGTCAGCGAAATAAGCGATCGACTCTGTGAAACTTCAAGAAGTCAGGACACGGTGTAAAAGACTCCAACATAAAAAGACTCCAACATATCGAAGTAGTTCCTTCTGAAGAAGGCCAAACAGTGCGTCGTTGCTTCCTGAGAGCCAGAGCATGGGGAGGTATGACAGGTGCTCGTCCCTATACACAGCTGTGTGGCGTCACTTCCTGCACTGCAAGCCCAGGGGCGTCCAAAGTGACATACTTCGGACTTGTCATGCCGCAGTTGACGATATACGGCCTTTGCTGACAAGAGCTCTCCGCTCAATGCTGCCAAAGTTCACAGATCGCAGCACGCACGAAATGCAAGGGACAAGGGCCTATACAGGTGACGGCGTCTGGACTTGCACGACTTTAAGAGAGGCACCGATCGCTTCCAAAGAAGCTCCCATCACCCATCGGTGGCAGAAACAGGATGACGTAGCAAAAGCCTTCACCCCAGGTGTCAAGCCGCTCAAGTGTAGCAGCAGCAGCTCCGGAGAGCTCAAACCCCCAAAAAAGGGTTTCGGATTCATATTACCTTCATGGATATATGGTAATATAGGGATGTATAGGGTATCTGACCTCAAGTTTAGGGTTCATTTGGTCCCCAAGGTTAGGTTCGAGATCAGAGCTGTACCCCTTAAGATACCCCCGCCTGCAACAAGAGATGCCATATGGGCGACGGTGCCTACTGTATCCTTGCCAGAACCACAGAGGCTCTGGACCTGAGCATTGCACAGCCACTCCTTTCCTGATGTTCGGCCTTTGTTTAGGTACAGTCTGAAACAACTGAGGTGAAGTCAATGTCAATAATGATGTGGAATGCGATGATTCCGATGCCTGGCAAGAGGGCACACTGCTTGTGCTTGACTCGCCATGCCTATACAGTCCTATTCATCTTCTCGCGTCTAGTCAAGTACCACACTAGTCAAGCACCACACAAAAAGAAGCGGGCAAGTCAAAGCTGGGACCACGCATCCAAAAGAACGCGCCGAACTGTGGGATCCGCAGCTGCTCATCTAGCCTTCTATTGCGTTTGGTGGTCGTGAGGCATGCTGACGCTGACTTTCCGTGGGGTTCTCAGTTTTACGATGCCCTAAGCCTAGGCCTAGGCCACGAAACTTATGCTGGAGGTTTCTTAGCTTCAGCGCACCAAAGGCGTTGCAAGGACCACCAAGGACTGGGTGCGGAGCCCAGCACCCAGGAAGACGCCGTACAATGCAATGAGAGCACCGTCTACACCGAAGCAAACTGAACTCGCCTTGGGTAAACAGGGACGCGTGGAAGACGTGAAGTTGCTAAGTTGGAATTAAGCCTCAAGCGCATCTCTACATCAACCTCAGGGGGACACTCCCTGGACTAGGGCTCCGAAGTTCTTCATCGTGCCCACCCTGGGAAGCATAGGCCCACAGAGATCATCTCATACATGACGCTGCAACATGCTGCAACATGCTGCAATATGCTGCATCCTGTGGCAGGGGCAAGGCGCCGAATGCAAGCACCGTGGCCATGATACCCACAATCTGCGCGCGGATTCTCTTAAAACCCAATGGCCCAAATACAATATATAACATATATATATATATAACATATAACATATAATAATATATATATATTATATAATATATAATATATAATGTATAAAACAAGTACTAAGGCGAGGGCATTGTTCGCCCCGATGCCAATCTGTCACAGGCGTACCACTCATGGAAAGCAAGTCGCCCCAAGCATGTCGCACCACCAGGTGTCCCGGCATCCGGGTAGCATATGGAGGCGACAGGCCCATCACGGGTGCACTTCAGGGGCACACCGGGGCCTAAGCTCAAGACTTCAAGCTAGCTGTTTAGCGGACATTGTCAAAGCTTCAAAAGTTGGTGTGAACCGGGGTTCCCAGCTGACTTCAAGGTCCGGCACCCCTTCAAGATCCAGGGCGTCCATCAGGTGGAACAAGTTCACACACAGGTGCTGGCGTTCACAGGCGAGTTCGAGTCTCCGCTTCAAGCTGTGGAGTTTTTATGCAACTTAGCAAGCTTTAGAGTTTCCAGAGTGGGTGAAGGATGGCAAGCTTCCACTGTCACCTCTTGGAAGACTGGCCTGCAAGTCACTGTGCAGCATGAAGTAGGTGAAGAAGCGCCTGGGCTTGCAAGCTGATGGGCCTTTAGAATAAAATCGAGCGACGTGATTCCCCTGTAGCGACTAAGCCAGGGGCCAGAATTCGCCCTTCTTCATGCACGGTGCGTAGAAGGAGAAAAACCGGTCGAGGCGCAGGAAAGGCGCAAACACCTGTAGAAGATACCTCGGTGACAGCGCCAGCGCCAAGTAGTAACCACACGCCGTGGTGCCGGTGAAGCATGGTCGTCGTGTTTGGGTGGGGCTCGGTTGCTTGAAGTTCCAATCAGCAAGCAGAAGGCTGTGGTTCTGTGACTTGACATGCGCCTCAACACGATGCTGAAAGTTCACATAGTTCAGACAACCTTTGGTGGCCGAACCTGCTGGTTCCTGCCCCTTAGACGAGGAGGTGCACGATTTCATGAAGTTGCCAGTCTTCATAGCTCCTAGCTCCAAATCGGGGCCCTGACCCGATGATACAGAGAGCCGCAAAGATCGTAAGCGCCCTGTCGCCATTGCAGACCTCGCCGATCTACACGGTAGGGAAGGCTTTTCTGTTTGGCTTTTCTCGGCTTTGCAGTTTCGGGTGCCTAGGGTGCCTAGGTGAGTTCGGCCCCTACCGGAAAAGAAGTCTTATGGCAGGAAGCGGCCGGTGTCAGTGAACGTCCCTGCAAAAAAACACTTGTCAAGTTCAGTCCCATGAGGCCCTACAAAACCCTCCCTAGGCTAACAATACATACATACACAGATACAGTATAGCAAAAAAACACGCATATACCCACATACACGCATACTTCCTTACTTATCTATTACATATCATATAGCCGGTGCATGGTGACGAGCCTGGCCTGCCAGAAAGACTGGGGCCAATCCATGAATGACCAGAGCAGCGGCAGCAACCAGAACATTGCTCTCTGACCTCATCGTTACTCATCGTTCAGATTTTACAAGTAGGGATTTTAGGCCGGGGTCTCTTGATGCTAGGAATTGACAGGCCAGGGCTCCGACCGCTGTCCATTCCCATGGACCTACCCTCACCCACTGGAGCACAGGTCCAGCACTTTTCGCCGTTCTTCGTCCTCAGCTCAAGCTACAGCTCCGTGTCCTGGGGCAAGAATACAAGTGCATGTCGTGGTCATGTGCGGTCACGCCGCCGCATGACACGTTTGATGTCGGCAGGGTCTTCGCACTTGCATGACCTGGGCATAAAGCTGGCAGTTGCCCAGTCAAGACCGGAGTCTCAGAGTCTGCGCAGCGCCTCTTCAACGAGCAGCGGCCCATCTGTGTGGGACAGTAGGTGGAGTTGCCACCCTCTGCCACGCCAGTGCTGGCGCGCTTCTTCTCGCAGGCCCAGCCTCACCCCGAAAACGCCCGAAGCCGAACAAAACGAAACCGAAAAACTTGAGCGCTGATGTAGCCGAGTTTGGGTCCATTTTCGGGACCAGACTTACGGCATACAAGGATTTTGTAGAGGACCAAAATCGGGTCCAGAATTTAGAGGACAGCATGGCTTGCACACGAACCAACCAGACCACATTGGCATTTAGTCTTTCGAAGCTGCTGGGCGCTCGACACTTCGTGCCATCGCCTGTCATGAGCGTCTTCTTCTCCCATTCCATGTCAGGATCGCGAGACCTCGGTGGCGTTGCTGAAAAATAGCGACTGTGAGAATGAGCTTGCACTGCATGTGCCAACACAACACGCGCAGAGACATGAGGGCATACCGGGCTGCACGCGTCGGACACATGCACGGCTCTGGCGTGCAAATGCCCATCTGGCAAAGCAAGAGGACGCAGCGAAAAAGCAGCAAGCAACATGCCCATGCCAAGAAGGGCCATGTGGTGCCAGTTGCTTCATGCCAACTACCAATGCTTCTCTCTGCAAGACTCCTGCTCAGCTTCAAGGCCAAGCAGCTTGTGTCGTACACATTGTCGGGTAGCACTTGCAAATCTTGATGTCCATCCTGCGAGGCAGGGCCACAGGATGCAGGCAGTCAGGGTCGCAAGAGGCGTGGTGTGTTCCGCAACATTCGAATTCTCCCCCCCCCCCCCGTTAGTTCGCCGGGGAATCCGGAATGATGCAGAGCTGCTCGAGGCTCGCACGGCATGGGGTCGCCAAAAAGAGCCGCGGAGCAGTTCACGCTGCCATCGACCACGAGGTCGCCGGACCAAGAAAAAAGACCTCAAGGACACGTTAACTTCCAAAGAGCTTTTTCGGTGCTTCATGTCTAAATCCAGGGCGCAGGCGTCCGTAGCGCACTTTGCCAAAGCACTTGCAGAGATCCCCCTCTTTGCCACAAAACCGGCCATCTTTCTCATCCTCAGATGCTGGTCCGCAGATGTGACGAGCGAGGAGTCTGTGTAGACTGCGGTTTCCACCAAGGACTGGACCAAAGAGAGAAAGGCCTGTGTGGATGGGCTACTTGCTGATCGTCCTGGCCGCGATATGTGTGCATCTCCCATGAACGGCTCTCTCTCTGTGTGCGCGTGTGTTGAGGCCTGCAGCTACCAAAGGGTATTCCTGCTCTGCGTCCAGCTCAGTGAATCCTGCCAAGAAGAAACATGCATGAACGAGAATAGTGCGACTGTGCAGACAGTGCATAGCAGTTGCAGACAGTGCATAGAAGTATGCAGCATGCCCGAAGAAGCTGTGTGCCCTGGGTTTGCCAAAAGCATTATTGGTAGCCCCTTTAAGTTGCAACTGAGCTCTGCCGACTGCAATCCTCCAGGGTTCCTAAGGCTTTGGACGCCTGTGCAAATACGCAAAATTTACATCGCTGAGTGGAATGACCTATATATATATATACACGTTTGCAAGGTGAGCTACCGCTTCCAAACGGGACTTAGGTGAGAACCCGGTTTGAACCGGAAGGCAGCCGCGAGCACGCGTGCCGCAGCGATCCAATAACCAAGAGTCCCGCTTCGAAAGAACCCCCAAGAAATTGCAAGGACAATCTGCTTGAAGAAATACGGCTACATGGCACCTGCCTTCGGCTTCGAGCTCGAGCTCTGCTTCCCTCTCTCGCCGTCTATCGGCGCGGCTGGGGGAATTAACGGCCACGGCAACGACCTTAGCTCGAGGGCACAGAGCCGGTATAAGTACTTCCGTCATCACGACTGGGTGAGGGTATGATGTGCTCCTGCGTCAAGATAGTGACGATATGCATGTGATACCAACGGGTAGCTACACCTTATGGAGACTTTGCTTCAGCCTTGACAAAAAAAACACCAAAGAAGCCTGAATCCATCCAAGCCATGTTTACTCTGCCAAAAAAAGCTGCGCGAACCGAAAGCCTTGCTGAGGCCCGATCAGCTGCGCAGCATGCCGCTACCAAAAGGCGTCCTGGTAGGGCTGAGCACTTTTTGTTTCCCATCTTTCCCGTTCCTGCAAGAGTCTGGCCTCAGCAGAGCAAACCCTTCAATCCCCTTTCGCCGAAGCCTCTAACAAAGCCTGTCCCACCGGACTCGGAAGGCATCCCATCCAGCCTGCTGCGCCGCTGCGGCGCCGCATGTGCCGCTGAGTGCCTCCGCACAAAACGCGAGAAAACGAGAGAGGAGAGGGAGGGGGAGGGGGAGGGGGGGGTAGAGGGGGAGAGGGGCAGGAGGGGGGGGAGGGAGGGAGGGTTTTAGGAGTGACAAAAAGTGCAGTGCCCGTAGGGAAATCACTGCCGAGACCCATGCCCAGCCTTGCCCTTTCTCATCTTGTAGAGTCTTCATCTGGAGGCTCTTTGCTGGGCAACCTTCACCAAAGGCACTTTCTACGCCTGTAGATTCTTGCGTCAGAACCATTATACCTCTCTGGTCGCTTGGCGCCTCAGAGCACCGCCGCCGGCTAAGCTGAAGGCCGGCGTCGCAGAAGGTCTGCCCCCCGGGCCCCCTGAAAAAACACGCTGGTGAGCCAAGATGGGCCAAGCGATGCCCCGCGCTTCCCCTCGCCTCTGGCAAGCAATCGGGGCAGGAATGGGCTACAGGGATGCCCTGTCTGTTTCAGGATAATCTTGCAGAGAGTGAATTCAAGCCTACGCGCCGGGCTCAGATTCCTCGGTGATCTGTGTAGAGGCCTGGACGGGCTCAGTTGACACCATGTTCAAGCATCGGTAGCCAGCGCAAAAGCCACGAGGAAAAGCAAGGGTTTCAGTCCAAGGAGCCAGTTGGTAGAGCCAGACCGCGAAGAGCAGTAGGCAGCCAAGGAGGCCCTTTTTTGGGCGAAGGGATGATGGAGGTTGCAGGGGAGTACGGGAGAATGGAGCACAACTTCGGATTCCAGGAAGTAGGCGCTTCTCTTGCATAAGGGCAGAGGGCTCAGACTTGGACAGCTCATTTATCTGATTTGGTACAGTACCTCACTTCGGGCTTCCCAGCCTGTGGCCCAAGAGCTTCACCAAGGAAGAGGTATGCGAAGAAAGCGCCCCAGAGCCTGGGGGCTGTAGGGGACACAAAGCACATCGCAAGGGCACCTGGACACTTTACACTTACACTTTACACTTTTACACCCTGTTATACTAACTTGGCCCAGGGGGCGGATCCAGCGCATAAATGGCAGAGGCTGTTGTGGCTGGCACGCTTTGCTGACCTATCGTCTGGAGCCAGTTGGTGAATGCCGTCGTGAGGATGCCGAGGTAGAGCACTGACAACCTGAGTCGCCAGCGGCGGCTGTGTTTGCAAAGGGGAGCCGGAGAGCAACAGGGGAGACAAGAGAGACAAGAGGGGGAACAGCCGTGTTCGCCGATTTTGTTTTGGAACAAAAGCGAGACCAGCAAGTACACAAAAGAGGGGGACAACAGGCGACGAGAGGAGAGACAAGAGGGGAGGCAAGAAGAAGACGGGGCGTCCAGCTATGGTTCCAAAAAAGGAGCCATATCAACAGAAGGAGAAGATAAGACACAAGAAGAGGGGTCAAGTGCACCGACTCGGCTAGACAACAGGGGAGGTAACAGGGGAGAGAACAGGGCAGACAAGAAAGGGGCGTGTCCACCGATCCGGCTATGGTTCCTAAAGGGGGACAGCAATGCTTTCTAAACCAAGACTTCTTTCCCCAGTGAAGCGAGCCCATCAACAGCAGGCAGTCCCAAGCAGCGGCTGGTTGAGGACCAGATCCAGACAGCGCCCTGCCACGTTGGCCACTGACGTGGCCGCAAGGCCCTCCACGCCCCCTTCCAGCACCTAGCGATCACAGCGAGCGGAACGTGATTTGCCTGTGTGAATTTAGTCGAATCTACCATGGCCCTGTCCGTCGAGGGGAACATACCCAAGACATCCTACAAGACCTGCAGTAGCCTGCATTCTTCAGGGGCGACAATCTCAAAAACACATTGATACTCTGGCGGCCCCGAGATCTCAAAGTCCGGGGGAGTGCTTAACTTCAGTGAACACTATACGAGTCTGATCGCGACTGGGAAAAAATGATTTGGTTGGCCTGCGGTTGTGGTTCTGCTGTTTTCAACTTTGGGTTAATTTTGTTTTTTTCTCTCTCTCTCTCTCTCTCTTCTATTTTGGAGGAACGGGAGGTTCCGGATAAGAAGCAAGTCGTCTCTGGTCATGCGATCCATCCCGAAAGTAGGACGGTGACGTCCCGAAAACTGTAGAACCTCTCATTCTGCAAGTCTAATCTCTTGGTGGCAAGGTGCGGGAGAAAACGCGCAAGAGATTCCACTAACTAGGGGTGATTTTGAGCCACTTTGGGTGAGATTCTGTCCGAAAACATCCTCAAATCTACTGCTTTTCACCTTCTCATTCCCGTCTCAAAAAAAACGGCCCTATTAGGATTATTAGGGCTTTATCAGAAGCTCTCCGAAGGAGGTATCAAGCAGCGCCCTCAAAGCCCCTTCCACACCCAAAGCCATCTGACCATGAAGCCGCCATCTTTATTATCTTCTTCTTTGCTTAAATATCGATTCTCTGATTACCGTATTCTCTTGGTAGACTTTGATCTGAATCTCTTGTACGCGCACATTCCTAGATGATGAAAGTCTTGTATTGCTTTTGAGCTTGAAGCTTAATGTTGCACCCTGTTTAGTGTGGGGGCCCCCCCCCCCCCCTAAACAGTCGCGGGGGTGGATGGGATCCTGATTACACGGCCCGGGGGCTCATATGATTTAAATAGGGAGGAGTTTAGATAGGTTCAAAAGGGGCAGCGATGCCCGGTTATCTTTTTTAAAGGCGCGCCGCGTGGAATTTTCTTACGGCGCCCGGACGATTTGTCTTTAAAGAGGGACTCCCAAACAGTCAGCATGTCCTGAATAATTCGGCCAGTTTGTCTTTAAAGAGGGGGCCGATACTAAACAGGGTGCAACATTATTACCTTTTAATGATTTTATCTCCTATATGAAGTTTGTAAACATTGTAAACTCTTACTATTTCTATTTCTTGTACTGCTCTCAGCATAGCATCCTGCTAATGCCAGCTATATGATGTTCTGATATGGCTAATGCACGCTCTCGATTGTTTGGTCAACACTGGCAGCGGCAGCGTGTTTCAACCTGCTAACTGACAAGAACACGTGGCCAAGCGATTAAACGCGGAGGTTGTCCGCGATGTCAAAAAGAAGTTGCTAAGCGACCCTGCTTCCAGAAAACACACACTTGACCAAGCATCGCCCGGCTTTGACTCGTGCCACACCATCATGTTGTATTCTGATTAGTGCGGTCCCCGGGAATTGGGGAAAAAATCCAGCAATTCAGCGGGGTCTATTTGAGGAGGTCCCCCGGAATTGTGAAAACAAATTCGGGCGATGCAAAATTTCGGCCAGGCTGTTGAATAGAGTTGCTGTCTAAACATCGCTTCTGAACTGAGCCTTGAAAGAGGCCTGAGGTTGTCGGGCCCTGAAATCTTAAGTCTCCAGGCCAGTCCCAAAGCTAAGATTTCCTTCAAAAATGTTTGTGTGCCGAGGCCAGGCAATCAAATTTCAAAGGGGGTAGTCCAGCAGCTGCCCGAATGCTTCATAATTTAAAACTTTTGCTCCCCCGGAATTATACTTGTTTGGGGGCTGGTTGGGTTTGAATCCAGAGGCCTCAGGGCTGAGGCTTCCTAAATCAATCAAATTTCAAAGGTGGTAAGTTGAAAGCTTGCTCACCGGGCCATCAAACAGCCTCGCATTGGCCCCGCCCTAGCCCGAGAGGTACGCCACGCCACGTCCTTGGCATTCCTTTTCCAGCGTCGAACCTTTCCTCTGAAGCTTGCCCGCACCCATGCAGAGCTCTCTCCTTGCACCAAGCTGCCCGAACACCGTATAATATAGCGTTTGCTCCCCCGGAATTCTATTTTTCTTTGGGGGGCTGGTTTGGTTGGGATGGATGGATCCCCTTTAAATTCATAGAAGCTCGTCCCTTTTAACATCATACAAAGCCAGGCACCCCCCCCCCCCCCCCCCCTAAAAAAAAAAAAATGCCCCACGCCCCCGCACCAAACACGGAGATCCATCTGTTGATGGGGGGGGGGGGTGGACACTACTCAGCAGACCACATTACTCTATCTTGTGCCTCATGTGCGCGCATGGAGGTGTGGCTGATATTGCCAAGAACAGACGTGCACAGACACGTCAGAGAGAGAGACACGCGCAGACACACACGCACACACACACACACACACATGAAAAAATAAAATCAACTACCGTTGCAGGTTTCTCAACGAAGTCCCGCCTCCGTGGGCGCGCTTGAGCAAGCGACCACAAGCGCCCATGGCACGCAGAGCAACGCAACCTTTGAAGGATCCCCCCCAGTCCGAAGCAATCGAAGTGTAAGACGCACGGCGCACTGCTTCAAGCCACGCAAAGCAGCTAAGCCCCGCTAAGCTCGGCACAGACAGTGTGCTTACAGCATTGATGGCTTTGTCATCCGTGACCGGCGCAAAAGTTTCCAGCCGCAGGATGAACATTGCCTGAGCAGGTTGCTGTCATTTACGGAGTAGGCTTGGGCAACTTCAAGGGAAAAATTGTAGGCTGCAACAGCAAGGATGAAGACACACGGTGTAACAACAGCAGCTCTTTCAGCCCTCACCTGGTTGGAAATGTGCCTTTCGCTAAGGATATGCCTCTACCTCTGGCGAATGAGGTTACAAGGCTTCTAAGGCTCTAAGGCTTGAAGCTGGGCCTAGACCGTATCTACCCAAAGGGGTGCTGAGCCTGGGCATTTGGCCAGGTCTTCTTTAACCCTTCATCTGCTTCACTACAGTTACTACAGCTTCGCTACAGTCACTGCACCGATGTGGGACCAACCCTGACTCTTTCGTCGAACAAGTGCTGGAATGCCTTGTGAGCCCATATAATAAGCCCTTACGGCTTCTGGGGCCGTTTTTCCGGATTGCAGAAGGTTAACTGCCAACTTCTGTCGCTCCGAGACGCAGAAGCTGCAGCCGCGAGCAAGCTCAGCAGATCTCCAATGTTAGGGTCGACCCCGGCAGCATCATCCATGGCAACCAGCAAGGTTCCCAGGAAGGCGGCCAATGCAGAAAGCCAGGCTGAGAGGGGAACCGCCCTGCCGAAGATGGACCAAGCAAAGAAAGGGACGAGCTTCACATTGAGGTAAAGCAAGAGGCCGCTCCTCTGAGCAGTCGTGTACAGAAGCCCCGCAGCTTGTAAGCAAAATCCCAGGAAGAGCCAAAAGCCGAGCTCTGCCCCAGCTCGCCACTCGAGCCGAGCCCGCACTCCTTGCCGCTCTGGCTGAAAAACCGGCAACCAAGGTGAGAAGCAAAGCCCAGCCAAGCCAAAACGGACCAGATTTAAGCATGCTGCCTGCAGGCTATCGTTCGCGCCCTGCTGCAGGGTATACTTGATGATGGAATGCTGTGAACCCCACAATACGGTCACAACGCCCAGCAGAAGAACGGCGACCGACCTGGTGACCGTTGACCTCCGGCCACCAATGCTTCTCTCACTTTCGGTGAGTTGCCAAAAGTCCGGGGAGCCTTCGGGAATGCTGCCGGTGGCAGATGTGGAGTTCTCCGATAGGGGCGCTGCTAGAAGCGTCTCCTTCATCACGTCTTGGGCCTCTGCTCGTGCCGCCCGACTTGTGCGTGGGAGCTTCGGCCAGGTGGAATTGTACGCGAAGGCAGACAAGGCCGGTAGACAAAGCCTACAGGAGGCCCAGCCAAGGATCAAAATAAGGACGAAACCTCGAGACCTCAGTTTGAGGGACCTGCGCCATGGCATTGCACTTGAAGACCCAGATATCAAGTTGGCCACATGGTGGAATTAGTGTGCTCCAAGATATGCTGAGGGTGATAGTTCCTAGTTCGCAAGACCGGAGCCACTGTTTCAACACAAGCTTGGCTGCACTGGGAGACTGCCATGTTTTGATTCAGATGCCTGCTGCGGGACTACACGCGCCATCACACACCATTCTTGCACTCTCGACAAGGGCGTTTTGGGGACCTGGTTCGTTTCAGATTCGAGCTCAGAGACCATGAAATTCATTCTTATCATAAGTAAACCATATAGAATCTTCGTCCTGCTGCGTCAGCCGGACTCACCACTGCAGGAGCAGGCATCCCTTTCTTGACAGCGGCCTTCGCCTGCTGTGTTAATGGGCAAGAGCCCAGATACCAGGCACCGCTGGTATAATGCCAGCATGCTTTGCAGGTGGCAAAATTCCGTCCGGGGAGTGTCCCCAGCACTGCCTATGAGATGCCATGAGGCTGGATGTTGGAGGCACTCCACAGCGAAACTGGCGTTCGGTCGAATGTGAAACATAATTACAGACTTACAAGACAAACCCCGCGCTTCATTTCGGGGGTCTTGGCTACGCCGGCGCACAAACACTCAAGATTAAACGATGCCTATGAACAGAATGACCTCTTCTTCATTTCGAAGACTGATCCATGTCTGACTCCAGAGAAGCGCTGCCCAGTGAGGTTCTCATGGAGCACATCCAGCTTCTCGTTCAGAACTGAACACTCCAAAAGCAGCATGTGCACATCAATGCCTTTCGCCTCCCCCTTCATCCGCTCGCAGCCAGCTATGAATTCATTCAGCGAGATGTCTCCAGAGCCATCGCGATCGAGGAGCTCGGCGAGGAGCGCAGCGTCCCCTGCACGGAACCCGATCATGTCGAAGTAGGCCTGGTCTGCCAGTGACGACCGGGAAACTGGGGTGTGGGTTGTGGGAGGAGCTGACACAGGGCTTGCAAGTAGGGCATCCGTTGAGTTGCCATTCGGGGCGACAGCAATCTCAACTGCAAACCCCCCGGGAAGGCCTTTAGAAGTCAGAGGCTCAGGTGGCTTGAAAAACAAACCAGAAAACTCAGCGGAAAGGATCAGGCCGCTCACTCCCGGCGGCCTTCCCCCGATCCTTCTCATTGCAGAGCAGGCCTTATAACCCCCAACTTCAACATCTTGCCCCACAAAACTGTAGGAGAGGAAGATGTGTCCGCAACCAAGGGTGGAAAGGGCTACCCTTCTGAATTGTCGGGGAGGCTGGCTATTCAACATGATTTTTGACCTGCGAGCCCACTAGCCCACTATCCTATTGGGGCTCACCGAGACGGAGAGAGCAACACCCCACGAATTTTCAAGACCTACTGCGTGTGAGCGCCACCTTTCGGAAACTCACGCATGGGCGCGCCGGCACCCCTGCGCACTCGCCGAGAGGCGCTCATTACGGGATCCTGCAGAAGCATCTGTATCTCTTCCAGGCTGATGGCGCCATCACCTGGGCTACACCGTCCCATTCGCTGCAAGCTTTTGCCTTGCCTCAGGCCCTGGCCGTTCGAGTCAGTCGCAGCGAAGAACTCGATCATGTGGTCTAAACTGGTGCGCTTCTTGTCCATCGTTTCTTCCTGGGCTTGATGGTCTGCGTACTGTCAAATTATTATTACGTAATCAAACTGTGCAATTCAGAGCGCGGCATTTTGTCAACTCGCACTTATGACAAGCGCTGATTTCCAGGATCCCCACCAGCATGGCTCTGAACAGGGAACCAAGTTTCGAGTTGAACTTTTCGCTGCTTCTTCGAGTTCTGCACCGCGTTGTCAACGAAGACGCCTAAATCCGTGAATGCCCCACACGCTAGAGAAAGAACCCTGCAAAGACTTCTTACCCTGTCCAGCCCTTCACTGAAGCCCGGACCTGTGAACACATTCATTAACGCCAGGAGAGTGAAGATGATGTATGCGAACATCAAGCTGAACGACAGCCTTGCAATGAAAACTGCTCTGGTGGAAGAGACCTGCTGATGCTGCTTCGTCTAAAATTGCGTCGTCCCAGAATAGCTGACGTAAACTTATTCGCCTTCCCTGAACAAATCCGGGCAACATGTCGACGTGCGCTAACGCATCTGTCACTTCGAACCAACTGATGCCACCCAGCGTGGTCTGAAACAACGTATACACACTCCGTGGAATGTTGCCAAAGAAGTGGTGCACATCCTTGACACCTTTCAGAGACAGGATTGCCCGACCCTGCTTTCAAAAGCGTGTGCTGCAGGCACATAAAGAAGCCCGATTCATGCATGACTTCTCGGACCAGTTAACGTACTCCCTGCCTGCGCCATGCGTACCTTCCAAGATCTTCTGCTCCCAGTCAGATACCTGGAAGTCGACCCGCTCCTTGAGCCAATCCGTGCAAGAACTGGTCAGGGTTATCGCGAACACATACCTGGGCTCAGAAAGGCCGTGGCAAGGAGCCGACTTCTACTGGCAGCCCAAGCGACGTGGTGCCCCTAAGCAACACTTTAAGGCAAACCGCATCAGGCAGCCGAGCAAGCACTACGAGTATCCCATATATATATATATATATATGTATGCAAATTTGTATTTCTACATATATGTACATATTATATATGGCCTTTTTGTATTTTGTATACGTCATTGGGTCGGTAATGCTTGTAGGCCGGCTTTCCGCGCCGGGCTGGCCTGAAACCTTTTGGACGACCGGAAAAGCATGCACAAAATCACCCAAAGCCACGCTCCTCTCCTGCACAACACCTACAGAAGCCTTCACTTGAATGCCCCAAAGAGATATCAGACTGCAATAGCACTGCAGTGAGGCGCATGATCAGGAGGAACATGACCAGGGCCCACAGCAGCTGTCTCACCGAATCGGCCACCATGAGTGCCAAAGTGGAGAGCTGCCGGAAGAAGCGGAACACACGGAAGAGCCGCACGACACGCAAGATCTTCACAGCCTTGAGCCCCAAGATCCACAAAAGATCCCAGATCCGAATCTTATCTATGTTTGCAACTTCCTGGGTGACCCTTGTTCGACGCTCTCGCGCGTTCGACCCGCCTGACTACAGTTTCAAGTTTCGAAGGCTCGCGGCCGCCTTCGTGTATTCTTGCTGAGACATGGGGAATTCTGCGGCAAGTTGAATTCCTGCTTGGCGTTTCGGGGAGACAAGAGTGTCAATATCATTTTCAAAGTATTAATAGTATTATTCGCCCTATTGCTTGTAATCATACTTAAAAATATTCTTACTACCAATATTAGTGACATGATTCCAAAAAGGAAACAATAACATGACTAATATCAAATGATTAATAAGCTTCAGCGTGGCCTTGATGGTGGAGAAGGGCGTCTTAGCATTGCCCGCGAAAAGCAGAATTAGCTCGACGATGCTGACTGCCACCAACCCCAAGTCGCAGATGTTCCAGAGGTGGTCATCGTTGCAGAAGAAGGGGATGACGCCTACCACGCGAAGACGCACCAAGACTTCCAGAATAAACCAGATGGCAAAGACAATGCTGCACGTCGTCAGCGCCGTTGAGATTTCCATGTTGCTGGACATGTACTGAACCTCCCAGCCAAGCATGATCGAGTTGGCCTGGCAGAGCACGCGGAACGTCGTGGAATAAGTCCGTTTCAAATGGCACAACGCATTCTCTACATATATATATATATATACATATATATATATATACACACACTGAGGCCAGCACAAAGATCATGAATGCAGCAAGGGCTTCAAACAGCAGCCATCGCACTTCGAAAGGCGGACCAGTCTCTTGTGTTGGCGACGTCCTTCCCAAGCCCACCTTTCCAACTCGCGAAAGTGTCTCTCTCGCCAGCCACACACGCCCAACCCCCCCAAAACTACCTAAGTGTATAGTGATGTATACCAAAAGGGCTGAGCTGGAGCTGGCTCGAACGGCTTGAAGGGCCAGCACGGCTAGTTTTTCTTTGGAGAGCCAAGAAGTGCCTTGAGGAACTGCTCTATCTTCTTGAGCATCGAGGTCTCTCGGTAAGTCTCCAGCTTCGACTTCGCCACCTGGGGCGGATGTGAATTCGGATCGCGATTTTTTCGTCTTTCGGACGACTGTTTTGGGGCTTTTTTGGAATCGTGTATACACGTATCGTTCGGAAAACCATGGCAAACCTTGAGAACCCCCCCCCCCACCTCCAGTCGCCGCTCGATGCTACCCTGGTGCTGGTGAGCGGTGAGGACCGCCATCACAGCATCCTCATCCCCACTTGTCATGGCACCTGACGAAGCGGGGTCTTACGCGCCAATGGTTGTAGTTGGGACGGTTTTTTCGCAAGCCTGAAAACAAGGTCCGAAGAACAAAGCCGTTGGAGGATGAAACCGTTTCAACCTGCCCCCGGCACGGCTCTTGTAGCGCAGGGAATCCATCGTCTTTCGCGTCTGGGTCGAGACCATGGCCATGGTGGACTTCCGAGAGTAAGCGGGCCCTAGGAGTCCCTGGGTAGTGGATCTCCAAACTTCCGGGCCATCAGCCATGGCAGTTGGGGCCTCCACCTCCAGGTGGCGGATGCCAGGTTGTAGGGGGCTGGAAGCTTCCTTGGAGCTGCCACAAGCGTCATATGCAGTGTGCGCAACATTCGGGCGCGGTTTAAGGAGCAAATGTGAACTGCACATGGCAAAGCAGCATGGACGAGCAAAACCGTCTGAGTGTCAGGTTAACACAGTAGCATATTACGACATTAAGATCTCATTCTCAAAAATTCGTATGTCTATAGAGAGAGAGAGACATATACATGAATGTGTTAATACTTCGATATAGTAATATATGGTCCGCAGTATAACAGATTGTCCACGATAAAGCAAAATATTCGTGATCTTCATATGTGAAAATGGTCACATAATTTCACATATTTGTAAACTAACATTTGAAAGGTTCTAAATTATTAGCAGACAATTTATGAATACATTTTCTGCATCCGATCTTGTGCCCTCAGCCGGGAGTTAGGAGAAGCAGAAAACCGATGTGCAATGAAATGCAAAAACACACGAACTGAACCCTAAACCCTAAACCCTAAACCCTAAACCCTACACCCTAAACCCTGGTAAACAGAAAGAGGTCAGGATTTGTTAAACATAGCTCCTCTGCGGCGCTCAGGTCTGGAGCTTTCAGCTTCTTGCCCTTGCTCCGCTTCTTCTTGACCCTCACTCTGGCCTGGCACAGAGGGAAACGTTTTTGTGTGTGGTTCCATATTCCCTTCAACCCTTTGTCGAAATCCCAAACCAAAGCCAACATACCTTCCTGACGTTTCCCTTTGCCCGCACGGCCGCGCCAGCTCATTCTCCAACCTGCGCGACACCTCCACTTCTAACTCCTGCATGAGATTGGGGCATAGAAACTACAGGGTAGAGAATCTGGAGGTCTACGGTTCCCGAGATTTTTTTCACACAATGGACCAGGCAAGATCTCACGTCCACTTTTCATGCTCAATATCACACTCGCACACAAGCACAGGACTGTCTACCTCGAATGATAGTTGCTGTTGTCACCGCACAGCTGGCCCCTGGACAGTTCACAAGCCTTTTCATCCGGGCTTGGCACAACCCTAAAAACCCTAAACCCCAACCCTAAACCCATGCACAACCTGCAGTCACTGAGCTCTCCTCAGAGTGTCTGTCCGCTAGGCATGAGATCTGCTGCTGGAGCTCAGCACAACGGCTCTGCACCTCAAAGCCCAGTGAAACTGTGGAACCAGCCATCGGTGAATGTGTCGGCTTGGTTCGTGGGAATACGAGCACATGCCTCAAGGTGCTCGCTCTTGCTTCTAAATACCAAGCGTCGTATTTTCACAGCACATCAGAGCGCAGATACCCTCCCCGCCTGTTTACTTGTGTCATCGGCCCCCTCACCCTCACAAGCTACGAGAAGGGGATGAAGCTGGAGATCTTCTGTGAGCAACACCATAGCGACATCGTAGCCCTATGACTACAAGCAATTCGGCGGAATTCCGGAAGCCTGGATGTTAAGCGCTACGGGATCTCCTTTCGGCTCCTTGGTTGAATGCCGAATGGCCTGCTCCAGCTGTTCCCTGAAGCCCAAACCGCTCTCCGACACACAGGTTTCCGCGACCTCCGATATGCCTGAGCTGATTCTTGGCGGCAGGCTGCAGAGATCACACGGAGTTGCCAAGCTTACCATAACATTGCGGACATGTGACCAACTCTTTTCCGGACTGCGCCGTCCCCACAGTGCTCTTCATCCGAATTGGCCATGGCTGCTTGCTAGCGCCTTTACTGTTGGGCAACGTACTCTTTGCGAACTGATGATTTGGCGGGGAGGATGGGCCTCTAGTTGAATGAATGGGAATTTCACAGCGACGACCGCCTGCCCGGCACCTGAGCGGCTGCAGGCCGTGGAGCCGGGGAAAATGGGTGTGGATTGGTTTTGGAGCTGGTGATTGAGGTGCCCGTGGCTATTCAATGATGCGCCCTCTCCGTGAACACCTACCATCGCTCTTTTGTCGCCTGCATTCCAGCATGGTATAGGATCTTGTCTTTGTCTGTAGATCGAGTGCGCACCGCGATCAGCTGATCAAGCATCCAGCTACTGCCCAAGAACTGAAACAGTTGCAACAGCATAAGGCTGTTGCGATTGTTCTGATACCTAGCGGCACCGTTCTTGACAGCTGGAGGCTTGAAAGCCTACAGCCGGGAGCTTGCACGCGAATCTCAGGACAGGACTCCGTAACGGAAATCCCAAAAGCAAAAAGAAAGCAACATTTCTGCCAATTTTGGCATGCAGCATACGTTGCTGCGCTGCTGCCTGGTCTGACCATAGGGGCTGCGCTGTAACCCGAAATTCGCGGACCCTGACACTCCTCAATATCATAGCAACTTTACGCCCATTGGCAGACTGCAGGGCAGGCAGGAAACGCATGAGGAAACGCATGAGGAGCTTCCGGGAATGCCTTTACAGTGTCTGGTCACAGGAGGCTCCATTGATTTGAGAATAGCGTAGGGCCGCCGTGCTTGAAAGAGCACTGCCCCACCCTCATTGAAAATAGCTCGACTCACGGATACGGCGCGACTAGAGGCTGATAAGCAGTTGTGCACCTGGTCGCCTCAGAAAGGTTTCATATGCAGAGCGAGGCTTTGGTGGCGATTGGTGGCATCTGCAAGATAGCATGGCCATTACTGGGGCCTCGTATGGCTCAACCTTTAGTAGATGCTTGTTGCCTGCGAGCTTCTGAGGCAGAGTGTCACCCAGAGCCCACACACGGCGGACAGGTTCCTCTTCCTTGCCTCAGACAGGATCCATCTGCATCTTTCAGCTGCAACTCTCACACCTGCAAGATCCCGAGCTATTCGCTTTGCATGCCGAACACTTGCTCCAGATTCACATCTGTGCAACCCACCTGACCTAACCTGCCGACACCACCACAATTGAACATGACTGAACAAAACGATGAAAACAATTAACAACTCCCTGCCCCAGTTGCAAGGGTTGGCATTTGCTGTCACATCCTCGCTGGACCTCAGGACGCTTCCTATGTGCAGCGCATTTCAATTCTCTTCTGGGAGTCTGCTATCTTTTTGACCCTTTGTGCAAGCCATCCTTCACACTGATGCATACCGGGCGGCCACCTGCGCGCACACGCGCGCAACGGAACATGAGATTGCTCAAATCACTTGTGTAATCGTGCGGCAATCCAAGCGTGACATCTCGGTGGATAGTGGTCCGACAGTCCGGTCCGCATCAACATGTGCATGGCCCCCCCTTTGTCGGGCTGGCGACCATGTACATGTCCAGCCAACCCCGCTGTTGAAAGCTTAGTTGAGGAGTCATACAGCAATACAGCATAGCTGAGCGGGGGACTCTATTTGAAAGGTCAATCCGGGTGACCATTCCAAATCTTTCAACTGCAAGTGCGTGGAGAATGCGTCGCTTGCACGGTGGGTGTCGTCAAACGGAACTTGTCCTTCCGGCCTGCTTGGACTGCGGTGCCCCGGGTTGCTTTCCGGCGGCACTGCTTCTTGGCCGTCTCGATGTGTGGAACCGGAGAGGAGGCCCAGCGAGATTCTGCACAGAAGAGGAGGCCCGCGAGATTGCATGGCCGCTGTGCATGCGCTTCAGCAAGAGAATGCTGGCCAGTGCTGGGGGAATCAGGAGGCCCCGCAGATGCAGAATGTAAGAACCTCTAAAGAACCTACCAGTTGCCCGGAACATGAACAACTAAAACTGCTGCCATGGTCCCCCATAGCAAGAGCGAGGCAACAGAGAACTACAGGGCCCGATGCCAGACAACCAAAAGATGCCAAACGCACATGTAACCGCCATACGCTCTACAATCATTCAGGCATCGGCTTGCAGCCCGAAAAGACGTGGGCAACCTGCCAACAAGAATTTTCGGGAAATGTTTTGCTCTCCATCGGCTGGCTGATCAAACGTGTTTGCCTGTTCATGCACAATCATCCCGGAGGTCACTGAAGTTTGGCTGCAGATTGAGCTCTCGGATGCGCTTGACAGGAATCTCCTGGGCCACTCGCAGCAGAGCACCCAAAGACACAGGAACACACTGCCTTGGCAGGTTCATGCTCAGCGAAAGGGACATGCAGACAGGTTGCTCCACAGCTAAACCCCTGCCGGACTCCTCATTGTTGTGAGTGAGAAAGGTAAAATGAGCACAGCTGGCATGTTTTGTTGAGCCGCTGAAGTTACAAATCGCAAGATCTGACACGTCAGTGGCATAGCAGGTCAGAAGGTCACCTCTCAACCCAGCCACCTCCCGAAACTTGAGGCACATGCGGTCTGTCCTTTGAAGGAGGATCCTGCAAGAGCTCTTCGATGGCCTGCTGCTCTGTGTAAGCCTTCTCCATCCTGACGACAGCTTAAGGCAACCACTTAGCGGCGGCACCCGCACAACGCCCTCAAACTTCGTTCTGCTCGCTTCCTTCAAGCTGCTTGCGTACACGTAAACAAATTCTGCTAGTTACAAAAGGCAACAAACAATGATGATAAGAGAGCTAGAGGTAGAGAAAGCAGAGTGCAGAAGAGCCGAGGAGACCGACATCGTTCGGGCATTGGTGCTCTGAGGACAGGGACGTGGTCGCAGTTCGAATCATCGCAAAAGTCGACAATGCCAAGAGCACGTGGAACGTCGCCATTATGTGCTGCGCTGACAGTGTCATCGTTCAAAATCGGCAATGCTCTACGTATTTATGTGCGGCGTCTCAACATCAATATCCGACTTGTTTGAACAGCATTTGCCCACTCCAGCTGGCGGCAGCCGGCAGCAGCAGCAGCAGCAGCGGCAGTAGTAGCAGCAGCAGCAGCAGCAGCAGCGGCAGCAGCGGCGGCAGCAGCAGCAGCAGCGGCAGCAGCGGCAGCAGCGGCAGCAGCGGCAGCAGCGGCAGCAGCGGCAGCAGCGGCAGCAGCGGCAGCAGCGGCAGCGCCACCCCCCACTTTCAGGATAATCGTTTACAGTGCTGGAAGTCAGTAGAACACAGTACAATTCCGCAAGGAAGGCTAAGCATCTCGCGCGGCCCTTCGGATCTTGCAGCCAAGGTGCTCGCGGTCGAACATCTGTCTCTTCTCACTGGCTTTGGACGCATTGTCTTTCCGCTGCTGCTTTAGCCTCTCCTGAGTAGATCTTAGTAGGAGGTGCTTCAGAGTTGCAATGCACAGGGGCTCTGGTTCACCTATGTTCACAAGGAGCCTTCTCATCCCAAACGACAAAAGAGAGACTATCGGCAGACATGCAATACACATCAATGCATTCAGCAGAACCCTCGCACCGTTTCTGTCAAGTTGCCTTTCTTGCCTGTCAAAATGGCAAATCACAAGCAGGGAAACTGACGTTTGGGAGGAGGCTGCATTCTCAGATAAACCAAGGCATCCAAGTCCATGCAATGACAGATGCGGACTGCCTTGTAGGCTGCCTCGATCGAGACGAGGCGCGATTTAACATGCATGCTGCATCATGCCGCAAGCCAAATCTCGCCAAGCAACGAGCTTCTCCTCCATCGTAGGCCCGCTCGTAGCTGCATTCTTCTGTTCTTGCTCCCCGCTGGACAGCATCATGCAGTATTCGCCAGAAGAGTTCACCGAGGCGCTCTCTAGCTGAACAAACGGAGGCCGCGAAGGATATCCACCCACGCCAACATCTCTGATAATGACGCTTGTTGCCATCGCTTCCGGGTCTCGCACTATAGGTGAAACACGCTTTCTGGATCGAGGGCCGATTCAACAACCTAAACTGCAACTGCAAGTTCGTGGTGGTGGTTCTGGTGGTGGTGGTGGTGGTGGCATGTGTGAGTGTGTGTGAGTGAGTGTGTGAGCCGCGCCTGTGCACTTAGGTCCGATCCTCAGGATATGAAAGTAGGTGAACTGTGTACAGCCCTTATGACTTTACAATACTTTACAGTTACCTCACCAAGCAGCCAGCCTTGCTCCACCCTCTTGGTCGAAGAAACTCGCCAAGAGGAGTGGAGGAGGCCAAGCTAGCTGCAAGCGAGTAACTTCTACTTGATTCTGCTGCAGTAGTTGTGAACCATCAGGAAAAAATCGCATCAACACGCGCATGTGGTCTTGCGACTCAGACAGCATGTGCGTGAAGCAAAGCTGCAACATCCAGAGCAAGCCCCCCATAAGCCCCCTCCCCTGATGTTGCTTTATGTTGCTTTCGCTGCCTTTCCCTGACACCTGGCCGTTGATGGTGAAACATGCACATGGACCGTGTTGCCTTTTGTGCAGCAAGACTGCTTTTTACAGCTCACTTTGGCTGTCAGACAGCAAGATCCCAACAACCTGAGGCGACGCATTCAAATCGCTCATGGCTGCTCTGCGAATTGGCGAGAAGCCCTGTGGTGGCTCAAATGCGAATCGCCCGTCCAAGCGGACTCCCAACGTCCCGGTAAAACTCCATGCGGGCAGCCACCCTGTGGTGGTGTCAATGTGCACCTGCTGCGTGGCAACCCCGTCAACCATGAACATCAGCGTACCATCCTTAGCTGCAGCAGTGGCAAGGAACGCTGCAAGCCAGGCGAGACAGGCGAGACTGCGCTGGCGCGCACGCTTCCGTCTCACAGCTCGTCACCAAGCATCGTCCAAGTCCAGCAGCGCACCCACAACTGAAGGTTCCCGATGGGTCCTTCAGTGGCGAGTGATGCTCTATCGCAGTTCATGCCTCGAACACAGGGGCGGGGTGGGGAAGCCACTCAACTCCGTCCTGTTTTGCACCAGCTCGTCTCCATGCCACAAGCCTTCGTCACCGAAACCCCAGCTTTTTGAATCACCTGCCAGGGTTGAACGATGCATGTCGCTCCTGCCGGGTGCCGACTCTTGCTTTTCAAAACAAAACCTGTCCGTCCATCGTTCTTACAGGTAAGCCCGGTAAGCATTGATTTGTGCAGGTTCCGGCCTCCCAGCTGGCCAGTCATGCTCGACCCCACTTGCACGAAACCTGTGTACGGTCACAGGTTCGCAAAGTCGGCAAGACGGAGCAACACTCTGCCTTGAAAGTTACTTGAAAGCTTGACAATGCTACGAGTACTGCAGCAGGCACCTGTCCGACAATTCCGGGCATGCGGTCCGACAACTGTCTCGAAATACCACTTGCCCTTTGTGCAAGAGCACTGGAGGCTGGCCACCAAACTCTGCTCGTCCGCTCTGGCTTCGAAGGTGCCCATGCCAACTCCTATGGGAGATAGAAGAAGGAACTTCTTAGAACAACTTGAAGCAGCTTGTACTGGAGGAAACGTCCTACAAGACATTTTTTGACCATGGCCACAGCCTAAGTTCACCCCACATGAGGTTGTCGGTCTTCTCTTGATTCTTATTCTCGCCGCTTCCATATTCTGTCCACCTCCCTGCTGTTTGTTGCGCGTTTCGTGCCTAATGCTTCGGCATGGGTCGTGGGCAGGGCACCCGGGAAGGCTGAATCGACCTGAAGCCGAAGCCGAAATAGTGAAGCTGCATTGCCGTAGGTGGCGCCGCATTCTGACGACGCATTGTGATCCGAATTACGCCCTGACGCCAAGTTGTCAAGCCGAATTACCCCCTGACGCCGAATGAGTTCCTGATGCCACCCCCAGAATGGCCTGGGGCAGCTTTTACGAAGAGCAGCTTTTGGAGTCTTTTGGGTTGAATTTGTGCCCCAACGAACACCCCAAAGCTTGCCAATGGTGGCGGTCACTCGGGGAACTAACTCTTCCCACAAGAGAGCCCTTGTAGTGAGTGCATTATCTCATCATTCCACATCTCACGACCAAAGTGCGCGCTTGCAGGACTTGCCCAGCGTCGCTTCGAGCTGTTCCCATATGACAGCACATCTTGGGGAGCCATTTTGGGGCCAAAAACTAGAGCAGCTTTTGGACTCTGGAAGCTTTTTGGAAGGTCTTTTGAGTTGAGTTCGTGCCCCAAAGACCGCCCCCTGCAAGCCTCCGAATTCGACTTCGCAATGTTCGCCTTCGCCTCCCAATTCGGCTTAGCAAGGCGTCAGCGCACACAAATTCATCTTCGCAATGCGTCTTCGCCTGCCAATGCGTCTTCGCCTCCCAATGCGTCTTCGCCCAATCCGGCTTCGCAATTCATTTCAGCACGAATTCGGCTTCGCAAAGCGATTTCGGCTTCAGGTCGATTCAAACCCTCCCCGCACTGCTGCAATGGGCATTTTGTCGCATTTCGGGAGGTTCAGCACGGTACTTTCTGGAGGTTCCACCCACCTACGGGCTTGGTGCACCCTTGTTTGTCGGACTGAAGAGAGTCTTGCCTGTCGAAGCTAAGCGGAAATATTCTACCTTCACGCAGCACTACGAATGCCGTCCTCGGACTTGCGTGGCCTCACCGACTAAAGGCTCCAGTACTCCGCCAGCGTGCGAGTCCACTGGAATCAAGTAGGGTGGGGCTGTCTTTGGCGCCCATCCACAAACACCTGCATCTCAAGAAAGCGAAGTGCAAGGAGCACTCTGCAGAAAGCTAAATAGTTCATTGGCAGAATTGTGAAAAGCACAGGTAAATGCATCTGCCAGGTCCTTCGTTTTCCCTGGCAGGTGTGTATGCGTGTGTGACTTGTAGGTGAATGGCATCCCGGAGAGCAGATCACCCCATGTAGGTGTGCGTGCAGTATGGTCCGAACCTTTCATCTCCGTGCAAAAGTCTTGCCCTGGCTTCTGTCGAACTTGCGGCACCCTTGCCCTGCCATGTCAGGTTGTCCTCGTGCATGCGGTTGTTTTTGCAAGCCACCCGTCGTGCGAACGCCGCAACTCGCAACACCTGAGCGCTCTCCTAGTTACTCTTCTCAACGCAACGTGCGGGTGGTTTTGCGGACGCGGGCTGCTCAGACTGGGCATGGCAGGTGTCGAAATGCATGTTCTGTAGTCTCAGATCTTTTGACAAGCAAACTTGCAGACTTGACCTGCATCTGAACACCTAGCCCAGCTGTCAGGCTTTGGCTCGAAAAAAGGGCCTTAAGGGGTGTCCCTCCGCAGATGCAGCCATGTGAAGCCCTGGCGCCCTAACATCCCTTTCGACGCGAAAGCCACGAACCTAAAAACGCAGGCCCCGGCACGTAAACTGAGAAAATGCACACGCAATGATCGCGCAAACGGCCTTGACAGCAGCAGCAGCAGTGGGGGGCTTCGACGAGTCCTGGCTCGTCACGGACTGCTGGCCTATGCCTTCAATGTAACATGCAACTGGCGCAATGATGTGCAAGGATGTGCGGATGACGACAGCCACTGCAAGTCCTGATTTGATCAGATCGTGGACGTTCAGTGTGGGGAACTGCTGTCGCACCAGGGCCATCCGCAAGATGCAAACGGCACTCACGGCCACCACGAGCATCAAAGCGAGGCCAAGCCACAGGTTTACGTACTGGCACCTTAAGATCCAAAAAGCCCCCACACATGTACCCCGCCGATCCCCGCCGCCTCTAAACTTCTTCTGCTTGCCGCCTCTAAACTTCTTCTGCTTGCCTTTCGGCAAGTATGAAAGCATGAACGATGAGTAGACTTGAGGTAATTTCGATGTGACATCGATTTGTTGTCTGCCTGTCTATTCAGTCTATTCCTTTCTAGACGCTAGAATTCAGCTTAGCTTTGCCAGGGCGCACTGCGATGGAAAAGTTGTGACTGCCGTGGAGGAGGATGGGCAGCATCGGTGTGAGCATGAAGGATGGACAGCGGCGCTTCAACTTCAATGAAAAGCGCTGCTCCGAGAGGAATGCCCCATGCAGCAATCCGTACATCAAATGGTTTGGCACAGCCGTCCCGGCCCGCAGCAGAGCCGTAAACAAGCTGCCGGAACCCACGTAAAGTGCATTCTCCAGTGCGGCAAAGCCAAGACCAGCACAGCCACCGTAGCAGCACAGGGCCCAAGGGTCGGCAACAAAGGGAAACCAGAGGATGCGTCGAACACAGATGTATTTGAGAAGTTCCTCCAGGAAGGCCGTCATCAGGTAGGCTTGGAGAGCCCTCTTGCCCAGGCAATCCGCATTTACCACATTTTCCTCTGCTGATGATACCTCCTGGCAGTTGCTCACCCAGTCTTGCCAGCCAAGTGGGAAATAGATGATGAGAATGGCTCCTGCCAATGGAAGAATCCAAGCAATGGCCTCGAAGAAGGAGATCACCATTTGCGACAACTTCACAGAATCCTGGAAGTAGAATTGTACAAACGACCCGAACACCAGCACCGGCACGAGGCTGAGCAGGGCCAGGCCCAAGGGCGGCAGCAATACATAGGGTAGTACACACAAGCCAGTGCATAAGGTCAGGATGCTGAAGAGGCCTGCCCCCCAGCCGAAACAGGCAGAGGTGCAGAAGCGCGGGGGGCATGGCTCCACCTTAATTCCGGGATGCAGGACCCCATCATCAAGCTCGTAGAAGGCCGTGAGGGAACTTCCAGGCTCCCACTCCCTGGAAGGAGGGAGTCTGACCCAAAGGCGCTTTCGGCCCTCCGATCCCTCAGGCCATAGCTCCACCATGGAGCCTGGCTTGGCCCAGGAGCGCACGGTAAGGGCGTGGATGAGGCCATGCTCGCCCAGCTGTGTGTCACTCAGCTCGGGTCCGACCCAAAGCCGCTCAGGTGACGGGTGCACCGAGCCCACGAGGGCCTTCTGGGAGTCGCCATCGTGCTTCATTTGGGGGAGTTGCTTTGAGGTTGGAATGTCTATAGTTTCTAGGTTCCCTTTTGCGGGGCTCCTGTCTGGAAGATCTTCAGCCAATTGCATGCTTGTGCTGGGGATGGGGATGGGGCCTTCACGTGTCTATGCCAACTGGAAGCCTGGAGGGCCAGCATAGCACAACATCGGGCTCCAGGAATTTGTGTCAACAAGTCCTCCTGACTTACTGAAGAAAGCACATGCAAGTCAGAGCCCAGGAGGCTGGCGTCTCAAAGTCTCTCGGTACCAGGATTGAAGCGCACCCACATCCTCACGCGCGCGCGCACGCGCGCGCGACCCCCATGTACACATGGACTGCCTATGACCGCCTAGTCTCGAACCGATCTTGAGGGCACAGACTCTACGCATCTGGGCCCTTTTTGTGGTACTATCTCATGCTGATCGTGACACCGGGCGCACCGCGAGACCGCACCTTCATGAAATGTGCCCCTATGACCTATGAACACGAAGCTGCCCTCTCGTACTGTTCTGAAGCCCTACAGTAGCCTGTGGCTACAGCTAAGCCCGAACCCCTTTTCTTACGAACGCGGAGGTTCGGGCTCTATGCACACCACAATGGCAGTGATGTCATCCAAGTCGGGGCACTCTGCCTCCCATGCACGCTGCGCACGCAGGACCAGAGCTGCGCACACGTCATCCAGACTCTCCGGTACCCCGGTCTTATCGGTCTGCTGCCTCCGTCTTGCTTCAAGCTTCTGGCCCACGAGCTGCGCTGCCTCGTCACAAGCGGTGAAGTCCCAAACGCCATCCGAGGCGGCAACCAGAAATTGCAGGTTCAAGCCGATTGACTCTGGGTGCTGGCCATCACTCTGGCCACCTGCGCTTTCCAGAAACACGGTTGCAACGTCAGGTACGTGAGAGACACCGACGGCATGTAGCTTCGCATCCCCCAGGCTCCTAGACATGTTCAAGCCAACGTAGGGCCACTCATCCAAGTACACTCGCTGCCGCGCGACGATGCCGCCCAACTGCTCGATGCGAAGCCGCTCGTCTGGGTCTTCGGGTTTGTGGTCCCGTGTGAGAACACGGCAGTCACACACTCCAGACACTCTGCACTCGCCTGAACTTTCGGCTGCACTTTCGCGTGGACTCTTTGGACTATTTGGACTTTCACCTGGCTCGCACTGGCCACTGGCAGAACTTGCACTTGGAGCGGGCAGCGTGCCCAGAATCATCCGTGAGTCCCCGACGTTCGCTGTGTGCAGCAGCCCATGTGCACAAAAAGCCAGTGTGCACGTTGCGCCACTGTAGCCACGCGGTCCCCAGCCAGTCTCGGACGCCTTCTGCATCAGCCGCCCGATTTTTTGAAAGGCTGCCTGAATTGCCGTAAACACAGTCTGTGGATCAGATGGGATCAAGCGCCCAGCATCAGTGGCCAGCAAAGGCTCGCGAAGGATCAGCAAAGGAAGCCACTGCATACCCAGAGCCGACATCTCATGCCCTAACGGTCCATGGCCATCCAATACGCAGGCGCACCATATCCGAGACCCATCCGAGTCCACAAAGTGGAAGTAGAAAGCCGAGTCTTGGTTGGGTTGAAGCTTGTTCCCCTTCTGGGAGACCATGCCCGCAGGAAGCATGCCCGTCTCTTGCAGCGGTGTAGACTCAGAACACCGGAGAGTCTTTACTTCCTTTCGCAAGTGCCGCTGCGGACCGGGCAACTCTTGATCCGAGGTGTACATAAGAACAGCCTGGTGACAAGGCTGGAAAAGCACATCCATCAAGGACCTCCAGTCCAAGGAGTCCGGCACTCCTTTGGCGAAGCGCTCCGCCGGCAATGTTGGATGATTGTTGCTCGCACCCATGATTTGATCTCACGGCGCAGGTTCTATACGTGCGTAAAGCCTTGCTGTTTAACATGTTCCAACTAGTAGCACGTGAGCTGGCTGTTTGGGGTTGACTCAAGTTCGCCTACAATGCTGCATCACAGTCCAAGTGGTCATGCAATCCTAGAAGCATGTTGAATGGTGGGGTCAACAGCTCCTTCGACATCAGTATCGCTGTAGCCCTCGTCGCCATACGAACAACAAAGTCAAGCTAAATTTCTGCCAAGCAGTGTAAAGGCCCTCTGAGAAGCACAAGACCTCCGCACTGAGAAAAAAAAACGATCCTGGCACTGTCTTGCACCTTCGACTCTGATGCAAGCATGGAATGCCCCGCCACAGAGTCTGAGGGGACAACTACAATGAGTATCTACTAGAATCAAAAGCGCTGCTCTTCTGCTCAGCCTTCTCAGCCATCATCAACGCACCTAGACGCAACTGTGTGCTTAAAGACTTCTTCTCCTATGCCCACCGCATGGGAATGGGTGCTTGAGCATGATTGGCCTGTCGCTTCCGACTGCACTGCACAAAGCTTCGCTCTCCCAGCCTCTGTGGGGTCGTCAAATGCCCAGCACCTCCGCAGCCCAACCCATAAACCCTAAACCCTAAGCCCTAAACCCTAACCCCCAACCCCTAACCCCTAAACACTAACCTACACCGCAAAGCCGCAAGAAGCCGTGGGCTGAGGATGTGGACTCAAGATCTCCGATGACGAAGCTGGTCTCACAGGAAAGCACCTGAAAGCTGAAAGCTCCCAAAGCGGTCCTAGGGTTTGGGTTTTAGGACCTTTTTGGGATTTCGGGTTTAGGGCAAGACGATCCCTACACCCTAGACCCTAGAATCAGGACATGCTCCTCTACCCGCAGCCCTGCTCCTCAGCAGCTTCTGCAAGCTTGAACTTTGCTACTTAGCATTTGGGCCTCCGAGTTGAAAGTGGTGGACGGATCGCTTCTTCCATGCAGCAGATCCTCCATGAATCATGACCACATTTCACGAAGACTATCTGACTGATGACGTCTGGTGCGCCTTCTCTACATACAAGGCAAAGCCAGAGCCGCCACCCATGGCCAGGCACCTGCTGGAGAAATCACACCGCGTAGCCTCCACAATCCTCTCCACGTGTCGGAATAGCGGTCGCAAACCCCTTGAGGAAATAACGTCGAGTCGGAGAAAAGGAAGAAGTCGTCTCCGGAAGACTCGTGATGGAAAACCTGGCACGCCCGCATCAACATGTCAGCTTCGATATCTGAGTCCCCACTAATTATCTTGAGATCAGAGACCTAGGCACACAAACACATCGATGGCCTCAATCTCCAAGTCCTCCTCCAGCATTACGAAGCACATGAAATGCCAGACATTCGAAGTATGGTGCAACATGCGCAAGCGCAGAAGGATGTAACAACAGCTACTGTAATCAATGTCCGTATTGATCAGAACTAATGCCGAACACCGGCATTCTCCAACAAGTGGTTCAAATCATGTTCTTCACGAGGCAGTGCGGGTCGCGATTCATGGCTTCACATTGAATCTCACCCTCAATCCGCTTCCAAACATGTGCGTGGTCACCTTAGCATAAGCATAACGGTAAGCAAGCACCAGTCCTGCGGCACTTCCTGCTGGCTGCCCTCAAGGCCGGCCTGTTCACCGCTTCGAGCCACTCGAACCATCACAAATCCTAACATGCCAATACAAAGACTGCGCCTCTATGCGCCTCTGACCCCCAAGGTGCTGATGTGCTTTGGAACTCTTTTCTGAGTCTTTCATGCCCACCCTCAACCAGAAAACCATAAACCCGAAACCCACGGTTGTGTATGAGGACGTTCTTTGCCTCCAAGTCGGCCGTCGTTCCGGTGAGGGCCCTGGGAGGCGGCTCGAGCGGAAGCGCTCCCGCACCAAGGATCTCGTCGAGGGCCTGTGTGGGCTCAGGTCGGGACGAAACTTCTTTGCAACAGGCATTTGAACAATGATGACTTAAAAACGGATGCGGTGGTTCAAGTTCTTCTGACCCAGCGTTACCTGCCAGATCTTCCGGGACACCATCAGAGATCTTTGGCTATTCTATTGTTGAAATGTTGTGAATGCGCCAGCTCCGGGGAACGACTGCAATGTTCGCGTCTTGCCTCGAAAACCTAGGGCCTAGCAGCCTAGCATCTGCAGTCGAGCTCTGAAAAACCCTGGATGCAAATTCCCCACAGCAGTGTAGCGTTACACAGTGCAGCGTTACACATTGCTGCCGACAGGCCTCCGTCGCGGAAGTGATGCAGTCGCTTTGCAACACCTGGCACAGGACTGTTTTGCAGAGGGTAAAATAACTGGACTGAGTGCAACCAAAAGCAATTGCTTCAGACGGCAAATGTGTGGACCTGGCAAGGTTCGATGGTTGAAGTGTACGAATGTCTGCATCTGGATGGGTTACTGCATGTTACTGTTACTGCAGCATTGCTTACGAAGATCTTGGCATCACTACCTCTGGTCTTGGGATGAATTGCTTTGTGATAGTGCTCTGGACTGGCTCTGGACAGGGTGTGCTTAGGCTTCTCTCGCTGCTAGTTAACGTATTGTCAACGATCCGTCGTGGCTTGAACGAATTCCCAGGTAGCAGTGCCACTTCAGCTGTTTTGGGTTCCCTGTTTAAGGGACAACCCCCCCCCCCAAACCCCCCCCCCCCCACACTCAGAGCAGCTCCGGGAGGCAGCCATGGCTGCTCTCTGCCAAGGTTTCGATTGTGGCGGCAAAGTAGTGCAGCCAAACAGGGGTCAGGAACCCGGGAGGAGGGATGTGTGGTAAGGAGGGGGCGGGGAAAGACGGAGGTGGGAGTGGCAGGGCCGAAATACTCATGTTGCTCCAGATTCTCCAAGTCGAGCAGTGGAATAGTGACCCCGCAGGAGAGAGCAGGGACCCTGATGAAAACCGCATGTTCTTGCTGGCTTTGAAGTTCAAGAAGGCAGCCTGGCTGCATAAGCCTCAATTACCACAACAGGAACGGAACTGTTTACAACATGGACGACAGCGACCTCGAATGATAAGAGTGTGCCGATAAAAATCATCGCAAGCATTGAGAAATTAGAAAGACTGAAGCCGTAACCAACTCCCACTGTACTGCAAGATTGAAAGCCGTGGTAGGGTATTACAAACAAACACGCAGGACAACTGCTTCTCACAGAACTCAGCTCATCACCGTGCAAGATGTACAAGCCAGAGAGCATGAGGCACAAACTGTCGCTCAAGACGTGTCTCCACGACTGTTTGAATACCAACCACTGGAAACCACTGAAGGTAAGACCCCAGGAAAGTGCCGGCCTTTCACAACTCACTGCTTACTGGAACAGGAGGTTAGATTATCGACGTCAACGTGCTTTACTTTGGGCTTTCCTTCCAGGCTGAAGCTGTCTGGCAATGGCAATGGGACTATGCGCTGAATGCATCTCAGCTAAAAACCAAGTTTTTTGTATCAGAAGATGAGAGTTCATTCATCCCTGGACTATCTTCGGTGCTTCACTGAAGGCTAAATTCGGTCCACGCTGTGCCTGACAATGTCCCTGACGCCTTGCGCCTGACCCCTAACATGCCCCTGACGCTTAATTTCGGCGCTCAAATTCCCTGGGCTGGGTGGTGATGAATTTCGTCTTCAATGTTTTGTGAGACCAAATCTCGCCATCACCTGAGTTTTGTCTTCAAACTTCGTCTTCGCGCGCAATTTGAGCTTCAGCCCTTGCATCCACTATCGTCTTCATCGTTCTCGGAAGTTGAGCTTCGGGGGGGGGGGGGGGGGGGGGAACGAGATGCCAGCTGTTTCTGGCTCAATGCAAGTGTGCCAACTTGTGTTCTTGATGCTGCCGGACTTACGTCCGCAGACTTCGCATTCAACAGCAACTCAGCAACCCCAAATTCTGGGGTTCTGAAGCCCATATCCAAGTCAAGCCTATAGCTCCGATGCAACAAGATGCCACCTCACGCTCCGACTTCTTGGCCTGCTCCTTGACCTGGACACTCTGCAGAGTCATTTTATGCTTCTTGAGTTGTTACGCCTGCCAATAGTCCACAGTCTGCCTTGGGACGCCAAGACTCCAGGAGCTTCACAGCCTGGAAAGAAGGTGGAATCTGGAGGCGAGTGGCCTTCGAGCATTCCGTTACACGCCTCGTCCACGGCTTGCTGCGCTGCCAGCGCGCTGGCAGACTGGCCAGGGCCTGCACACAACGACAACTAGATTTAATCGTGCCGACTGACAAGCTTAGTTGGCCAGCTTGATCTCACGCAGGAACTTCGGGAGTTCTTGCATGCTCAGAATCAGCGCTTGCCTGACTTTGCCTCTTGTTGAGCTGCATTGAGATGCTGCAGCCTTGCATAAACTGCAGGCCACCCTTCTCTACTGGGCCAGACTCGTAGTTGAGCAATTAAGCCTCCCGCTGCTGTGCCAGTGACACGACTGGCTTCGGCATGGGATGCCTGACACATTGCAGATACCCTAGTTACTGCTATACTCACTGCACAACTGCTTAAGTCGAGCCTAAAGCGGAACACGAAGCTCTCCCCTGTTCCATAGTACCTCAGCAAAAGGCAAAGATGCTCAGAATAGGTCAAATAGGGACCTCAACAAGTCAAATGGGAATTAATCTCACCACATGTGCTCAGCATCTGGGAGCAGGCCTATCGGCCACGCGCCAAGCAGAAGAGGCAAATCCTCCGAAAGCGTGGCCCTCGTGATCCTGCAGACTGGAAGTTCTACAGCAGAAATACCTTCAGCAGTTGGGATGATGTGGGTCAGGCTCAACATGGTACATATTATGAGCACTCATACGAATGCTTCAACTTGTTGGGGCATCCCTCCCAGACCTGGATGAAGCATTTCTAACATTCGAGGACAAAACTGGCCCAAACCTCAAGTTCTACACCCGGTGACATGGAATACTCGGTAATGGTCCGAAAACGTGCACCACATATCTTGAAGCCACCCCGAGTGCATGGCCAATCTCCTGAACAAGAAGCAGGGTGGGGCCCTCCCCCTGCATTCTCCGGTAAAACGTCTTCAAGGATACTCCATGCAAACCTCGGCATACCAAGGCACGACAGGTTGCATGAATAACTACTGTGTACTCACTGAGCCGTCATCGCCGCCCCCTACCGTAGCCCTGAGTTGCAGGCGAGGTGAGTAGATGAGCCGCCAAGCCGTCTTCCACTGCAGCTGCGCCTGATGGGAAAGATCGAAGTCGGGGCTTGCGGCGGCAGAAGGCTTGAGCGTGGCAAGAGCTCTCATGATGACTGTCAAGATCTCTCATGCAGTGCTGTAGACATAGTCAGGGGGTCAGAGGTCATGAGGTGAGTAGAGAACCGAGGCCCCTTTCCAATTTCGAGTGTGCACGGATGTACAGCTTGGGAACGTTGCGTGGCTGTTTGCACCAAGGTGCAGTGAGCTCACATCAACCTGCACACCTGCACCTGCATTTCCGCAAGCTTTCCACTTGCTTCTGCAAGTCTGGGGCCTTTGTGCGCAGGAGATATGGCCAAAACTTTGCAGCCCTCGCAGCTCAAGACATAACTCAACTCCTTGGACACTCCCTTGCGGGTCTCCTCGAAGCTACCGGGAGCTGAGCTACCGGAACCAGCCCCTCTTCTTTTTTGGCTCTGGAGGAGGAACTTTCAAGGCAACGTGGCGCAGCATCTCCTCCAACTGCGCGCCATCGACAAAGCCCGCGTGCACGATGGGCTCGACTCTGGGCCGGCCAAAGATCCAAAGAGTGGGAAAGGCCTGAACCTGGAAGCCCTCCGCCAGCTGCGGGAATTCCTCAGCATCGAGGAGGAAGACCCGAAGCGGTGCGAAGAGCATGTTTCCGCCACTGCCGGCATTGGCAAAGGCCAAGCCGGGTGAGGGCGCAAGCCCACCGCTAGCAGCAGCTCTCCGCTGCACAGCTTCCTTCAGAACTGGCAGCTGCTTGTGGCAGAACGTGCATCCCCGCCGGGTGAACTCAAGAACGACCTGCGCGTTGCCAGACACCAGCCTTGGTCTGCGACTTTCAGATTCTCATTTCGGCAACACTCCTTGGACATGTGCAGAAGTCAGGCCGATTACCGACTCGTTGGCTTGTTGCTTCCTTGCGGGGGTATCTTGCTACCACTTTTGCCAGAGGTTAGGCAAACAAGTAGGGCTGTCAGCACAAAGCCACGATTGCTGAATCGACTGCGCCAGATAATCCGGCCAGTCTCCGGGCACCACGCTGCCCGGATCCGCTTGCGGGTGAGCTCGGACTGCTACCTGCACATCTTTTTCAGAAGCTACCCTAGCCAGAATCGAATCCCCTTTTAGTACGTTTAGCCACGCTTCAGACATGCCACACGCCCTCAACAGTTCAGACAAAAGCGAGAATAGTCGAACACCGTTCATGTTTCGAGAGAGTTCCGCGGCAGGCTGTTGTTGAGAACACATTGCACCTCCCCAGTCTGCATCAAAACCAGCTCACCACTGCGGATCTCTCTGCCGGTCTCGTCTCTGTTTAATGTTCCATCCTCGACCTGGCAGAGGCAAAGCAACACACCTCGACGTGCGTCGTCATCCCTCTACGTACCCTGCATGGACTTGGCTATGCTTGGGCACGACATGCTTGGCTGATCTTGACAGCAAAGCCGCTGGCTGGCCCATCTTTGTCCCTATCCTGATCAGGCCATAAGTCAGGAGCATCGCCAGCGTGAGGAGAAAGACCGTGCGGCGATTCCACGCGTTGGCTTTGGTAAGGCGGTAGATCGCGTAGCAGACTAGGACAATCGCCATTCCAGGAATCATGGCGTGGATTACTCTGAGCAAGATGCTGAAGGTAACAAGCAAAACTCCTACCACGCCGTTTTGAAGAGCGCGGAGCATGCCCGAAGCCTTAAGACTTAAGACCAACTGAGGCAACACCGGAACACAAACTGCTTGTTGTTGCATCGCTACTCTGTCTTTGAGACGGTCTCTATATCTGAAAAAACACCTTGCTGAAGTGGTGGGCACAGCTTCCTGCGTCTCGAAGGAGGAAGCTGCCGTAGTCAAGTCACTGGCAGCAAATGCTCGGACACTCGAGGACCACACCCATACTCCAAAACAACAAGCCTCAGCCAGGGAAGCTCGCAGACGTTTCTTTCTCCTGATTTCGTCGATTTTGACTGATTTGTTGGCAAGGTGCAAGGAACCCTGCTTGGCTGGCACTTGAAAGACCGGCCAAGGCTCTGTTGGACAAAAAGCAAAATTGCCAAGTAATAACTGTGTCTGGCAAGGCACAGCAAGTATACCACACCGCTTCGACGCCATTTGCAGGGGCAGGTGCCTGCTATAGGGTAGGGGCTTGAGCCAAACCGAGTGGTTGCAGGATAGAAATGTTGGAACATGGCGCAGGCAAAGCGCAATCTAGAAAGCACATGGTGAGCACGTTACACAGCATAACCCCCCGCCGGCAGATGTTCAGCCAGCGCCGCTGCCATCAGAGGACTTAGCAGTGTGGTGCGTGACCACTCTCCATCCTCCTTGTTTCACGGCATTCCAAAGATGCTTTCTCTCTGCTTTGCCGCTCAGGGTTCTCGTGAAGGCTTGTTTAGCGACTACCGTCGTTGCATAACACACTCTGCGCCTCAGGCCCGTGCAGAGGACAGGCGAACCCGTTTTCCAGTGCCGTCGTCGACCTCAGGGCAAGTGACAGTTGCTCCAAGTTCCGGTCATGACCGGTCCAAAGACTCTCAGGTCACTGCAACGGCAAGGCATGGTTGCTCACTTAGATTGGCCGGGATGACATACCTTTCCTGCAGAAGAGACTTCAAATGCTCTGCTTGGCCCACAGCGTGTGAGAGTCTCTGAGCAATCACATGACCATGCCCGGTTCCTGACCCTTCTTCTCCCTTTCCACGCCTTGCCACACAGAGACGATACAGAACACGCTGCGCACGCTCGTTCTGGCGTAGACTTCTGACCCATGTTATGCCAAGCCGCAGCTGCCCACCCAGATGCCTTTCTGCTTCTTTGGGGCCTTCGAGGGCACTGCTATGCTAAGCATTTCAAGCTGAGGGTGACATTCTGACCTCCTTTGGCTGGCGGGCCGGAGGTAGGATCATAGCCTGCATGATTGTGAGGCGCACACACTCCTCTTCACAAGACCACGGGCTGTGCATGCTGAAGTTGCCTGTTGCAACGGCGAATGTGTTGACCGAAACAGAAAAACACCCAACCAAGACTTCCCTCAGCTCCTGGCTGAACATCTCTAGGACGGCTATTGCGGCACAGGTGCTCTTGCAAGCGCGGTCTTTGCCGCTTGCTCGTCTCCACTTCCAGAGCTCCTGTCAGATGCGAAAAACACCAAATGAGCCCTCCATATGCCCCCTGGCTCTGAAGTCCTCTGGCTCTGCGCAGGGGCCACCACAAGTTGTAGGCCAGCACCCAATCGTCTGCGCCAGCCCTGCTTAAAAACAACTCTGCAGGTGTGATGCTACAATGACGGTGTTTTTAGCCACTCCTACACCCAACAAGACCTCGAAATGAGCTCAAGTGCTGCGATCCTTTCAAGAAAGCCAGCGGCCCGGCCAAAGCACGGAGCCCAAGCCATGAACAATGCTACACAAGTCTTGGTTCCTGCACATCCCAATCCGTGATCGGCCAGGGGAGGGGTACCACCTGGGCGCAGGTGCACTGGTCTAACGATCTATTCGACTGACCCAGTTGTATGCCCGCAGAAGTTTGGCCTATAGGAACTCCAGTTGACCATCGTCGCGTGTTACGAGCGCGGCTGTAGGACACCCACGAACTCGAACACGACCAGCGTGGCCGCCTGATGGTCAACGAAATGGTGGCGAGAGCTACAAGTCCCTGCCCGATTCTGTTTGCAGCTTCAGCGAACTCTAGCGGCCTCTGCAATGAAGGAAGAAGGTGTTGCGTCGAGTATTCGCGACTGTCGAGGTGACAGATTTCACAACTAAGTGGCTGAGCGAGCACTGCATTGTGTCCTTCATTTGCGACGGTCGTTGCAGTTGCACGAGCCTCAAGGAGAATCTTCCGGTTTACCAGGGGATCAATGATGTGAGTCTGCCTTGCTTTGCTGCAGCTTTCGTGCCAAGTCTGAAGTCTGCCATTGGCCGTGCAGCAAAAAGCAGCCACTTGCAAGCGGGCAGCACTTTCGCCATCACATCAGCATGGGCGCCTGGCAAGCAGGGCTCAGACAGAAGCAAGGAGAGAAGAGAAGCCGGCAGTGTGCCATGAGCATCCGCTGGTCCAGCATCAGGCAGAAAGCAGGATGAAAGTAGGATGCACACGTCAGCAGAGCCGACGCTACCCGCAAGTGTGACAATCAACGAAGAGCTTATGCAGCTCGCGAGCGGAGCTCCAAAAGAGGAGGATGGTGGTTGCCTCTTGTTGCGGAGTAGGATCTGATGTTCTATGCTAGCTTTGGCCTTGGCTGGCGGCTTGAGGTCGCCTTAGCCTTCTTGCATTGGGTTTCTGGCATGCCGATGCGCCGGCAGCTTGTTTGCGGTGGAACTGCTCTGTCCACTGTGCAGTGATCGTCGTGGCTACAGCAGCCACCCATGGTCCGTTTGGCAGCAGAAGAGGCCAGAAGTCACCCGATCGTGCTCGCCAGCTCTCGAAGTTAAGCCGTTTCAAGCTCTGCAAGGTTGATGATGTACTCTGGCTTTTCCCATGCAATGCGGCATGTCTGGCCCTCGTGCAAGTAGCAATGCACTGTCTGCCATGGTTGGATCTAGCTTTTGCTGTTCCGCTGCGTCAACCCAGGCGCATATCAGATGAGAATTGAGAAGACTGGCATGGTGGCATAGAGGCCATTGCATCAGCATGGGCAATCTCGTCCCAACCCATCGGTGCACGAAACATCCCGCTAACAACTGGCGCAAGTGCGACATGCTTCGCCGCAGGCACGATTCAACAACGCTGCGTGAAGGCCTGGCTCATTTGTGACCACGACGAAGTGCACAGGCACCTGACATCTGCGCGTGCCACTGTTGTTTTGGCAAATCTGTGTGTCCCAGTCTCTCCGGACAGGTGGCCAAAACATGACTACAGCGCCTGAGTGGCGCCAGGGCTGTCATCGTCATTAGCAGCCTCTACGACATCCTGGCGCAGCAAGGAGCAGCGTACATGCAGACTAGATCACAATATTATACACTGGCATAAACATGACATACTAGGTACGTAGGCTTCGCTAAGCACAAAGTTGCTTAAGCTGCTTGCTGTGCCTGTGGCGAGCTCTCAACATACTCCTGATTACGCCTGTCGTAGACTCCAACCAGAGGTACTTGGGGGGGGCTAAGGCGATTATGACTAACGGTGACTAACGAACCCGAGCCTGGTCCATCGCGTGCGCTCGTCAATGAGTTCCGGCCTTGGATACAATCGACATGAGATCGAAACAAACCATCCTCGGAATGGATCAGTTCCTTGTTTCCTCTCTTGAGGGGTTGCGGCTGCCCGCTGTGGCCGGGTACCCTGCCCAACGCGAGCATGGACCTCATCTCCATGGCCCGGCTGCCTTTGGCCGGCAAATTCACGGATTGCTTATGGAAAGATGTGGGCTGATTCCAAGGGCCGAGGATTCTAGAGCCAGCATGTGTAGTGAGTGAGTGGTGCCGCTTTACTCTGCCATATTCTGCCACTATGACAGAAGTATGTACTTGTATTTCTTGTTCGTCGCCAGTTCTGTTTCGAACAAAGCTGCAGATAGGTCTGACCAGTGGACGTGCGGTCTGCCAAGCATCTAGACTACTAGTAGCTGCTTCGAAAACATATTGAGTATCGAGTACTTCGCGGAGCGGAAGCAGACACAAAGCAGGAGGGTTCGCAGCACTGGTTGCTCTCATTCATGCGAAAACCGGGCATGCAGTCAGCTGTCTCCAGCAGTTCTTGGGACTGAGGGCCAGCAACGAATTTCGAACAAAAAGTTTATGGACATGTGAGACCAAGGCAATGTTACCTTAGACAAGAGCTGCTCGGTTAACGGTGTCGGTCTCTGGCTCAGCCGGAAACGCAGCTGACACACCTCTGATGGGACACGGCTGTACTTTCGACAAAGCGTACCAACTCCGCCAGCCTTCTGCATTGACAAGGCTCTACCTGGACTCTACCTACTGATCAGCCTACTGATCGTAAAAATCTCTCAGGTATAGCCGCCGGGCTGGGAGGCTCTTTTGTAGCCTGGAACATAGGCTGTGCGTGCCACCGTGCATCCATGGCCAAATCCCCGTGTACTTCTCGAGCCTCCGGCAGATGTGCTCGCTTCACTTCTTTTTTCTCACGTCTAAGCTGATGCGCATCAGGCGGACTTGTTTTGCCTGCCTGGCAGCACTGCATGTCATCGAACAAATGCAGAAAGGGCCAAAGCAGCAGTCGGTAGTGCGCATCAGTGCGGTCTCCGTGGGCTTCCCGATGCACCTCGAGTCGGTGCCGACAGCCAGGCATGGAGGAACCACCTTCGCACATGGCCAAATCATGTCAATGTGCATGCCCCAGCTAGAGTGTAGCCAACCTGCTATTGCCTGCAGCAGCTCTACTTGAGCCACGACTACAACCGGCGTTGCTGCAACCATGCTTGCACCTTCTCTCTCTTCTCGATGGAGCGGCCTTGGCTCAGGGAAGTCAAACCTTTCAACTCAGAATGTTTTAAAAAATTCTAGCAGTTTTCACATCGAAGGCCCGGACCCGCAGCCTCTGCAGCGCGCATGATGTCTTCGATGGCCGCGCCCAGAACCTTGGAGACGGTCCGTCCCTGCGTACGTGAGGTATCTAAATATTTGCTTTATATATGTATACGCACCTGTGTAATGTAAGCAAATGCAACATGCACGTGTGCGTGCGGTCCCGTCCCTTGCTCCGAGGCGGAGGCCAAAGGACGCAGAACACGTGCAACCGATCCGTTCAAGGACCTTGCAAAGCACTTGCATAGGAAAGAACCGCCAGCAGGTGCCAGCAACACGCACAGGTAAAGAGCCATCGCAAACCCTCCTTGACAACCTTTCAGTTGAGAAGCCCCCTATCGGTTTAATTTTCACAATGCTGGTTTTTCGGTATACTCTGGTAGTACATCTGAATATTGTTTGGGGTTGATCGCTTCGAGAGCGTCCCTGTCATTTTACAGCTTGCATCAAGCTCTCTCTCCCCTGACAAGTCGCTAAGTAGCTACTCCAGACTGCCAGAAGCGTCGCGTATTGTGCCAAGTCTTTTGCATATCGCTGTGTGCGTTACAAACATACTGGCCCGGTACCTTCCCCCCCCCCCCCCGCAATTCCCAATCCAAGTGATGGAGTCGATAAAGAAAATGAACGATTCTGAGCTTCCGATTGCTTCACTTTTGCCGAGTGGCACAGACTGGCGCAATTCCAATGTCACAGTGCTCCAAAGCCGTATCCGGGACTCAGAGAAAGCCTGCAAGCAGAAATGAAAGGGTCAAGATTGATTCCCGTCCGAACTCGTGTTTCGCAGCAAGGAATAGCAAACCCAATGCCTCTAGGCCATTGCGAACTTCACCCGCAGTCACCACCTCAGGTGACACCGGTGTCACTGTCTCTTTGCTCAATTTTGAATAAACAAACTACTGACCCACTATAGTGATCTTGCACAGTAACCCTACTTATAAGTTTTGGGGCGCCTTCTTCCAAATGCAGGTTGAGGCACACAGCCAAGGGGTGGCAAGACAGCAATGGCGCTGACGGGTACCGCATGTGCCTGGCCAACGGCTCTGATCTACGGTCAAAGTTTCGGCGTTCCGCTGGATTGGATCGAAAGGTGCTGATATGTGCTGATGCTAACAGCATGCATACTGACATCCACAAGAACAGCATGTCATGCTAGCTTCAGTTCTGCAAGTAGGTATTTTCTAAGCTTATTTCGTCTGCTTTTTGAAGATGATCAGATAATCCATGCGCGCGCCTGGAACTGGTGGAGAGGACCCCCATGCCCCGAAGCATCCCAGATGAAGACGTTGCCATCCTAGGGGTCTCTGACACGATCAGATTGCTCAGAGCAAAGTCTAAAGGAACTGAGAGTTTAGGGCCGTTTCGGGTTCAGGGCTCACTCCCTTGTGTCCGAGTACGAAGATCCAAGGAGGGAGAGCTTCAAGAAATCGTGCTCTGTTCTGCAACAGTGGCCTCGTAGCCTGCAACGATGGAATTCCTTAGTCTAAAAAGGCGAGGACCCCGCCTTTGCACGCGTGGCAGCACGGTGCAGCATGGCGAGACTGTCTGAGCCACCCGGCGCCAATGTGGCAATGCACCTATCTCCACCACTGTGCAAACTTACTCAACACCGCAACATGTACGATGACAAAAAACCATCTCGCGAGCTGGTTGTGAAAGCACGCTTGCTCTGCCTCACTGCAGATGGTGCTTGCATGGGCACCGATGGGGGGCTGCGGCTCCTGAGCGGTGGTTGCCAACAGAACCGCAGCCAAAGGAGATAGCTGAGGAGTGCAGGCTGTCAAGCTTTCTCTAGTTTGCTCCGGTTCGGGCATCCTCTGAGACCGAGACCCTCTGGCAAGGCCTTTCCAGCGAGAGACAACCTGCCACGTCAATCAGACACCCGTGTAGCAGCATGTTGCAGCCATGAGGTCTCGGAAAAGCTCGGTCCACGCCTGGAAGCGCACGTGCAGCTCCATGTCATCAGTGCCTAGCCGGCATGTGATCGCCCTTAAGCTGATGAAAAGTAACAGCAAAAAAGCCGGGCCTCGATCGACACGCTCGGTGTTGTTTCGCAATCCCAAAGTAACCAAGGCACTGCCAATTGCTTCGCCCACCTAGTGGCAGCATGCGATAGCTGCGGAGTCTACAGAGGGGCGATTCGTCCTTGAAATTTGCTCCCTGTCTCAGGCCTGCTTCCGCTTGGGCTTGACGCTTGACATGTCCACTTCGCCCTGATCCTTAAATGAGCACAGGAAGTTGAGACGGAATCGGCTTCGGGTACTGAGTCGCACCCGCTCTTATACCACAGCCAACAATGTCCATAAAGGGGCCTACAGTAACAGGCCTGGCTGATCCTAGATGGCCAAGATGAATTGAGCAACGCGCAGTCGTACAAATCTGGGATGTGGGCCAGCGCTGCTTTGTAGGGTTTGTCCAGCTGCTTCAAGACAATCTTCCGAAGGACAGACCCACACCTGGCACGTGGCACGCTCCACACCTTGAAAGACGCGACGGACTCACCTTGAGCGCTGCCGCGCCATGCGGCGCCCTGCATCGTGTTCGCATTTGGTCTTGGCGAGCCTTTCTTCGTCTGCAAACGGATCGGGAGTGGACGGCTTCTGCAGCAATGATTTGGATTCCTTGCGAAGAGGTGGAGATGACTTCACACAGCATACGCCGGACATGCTTTGCAACAAAACTCCTCCAACTTTTCACGGATGGTGTACCGCGTCACCTCGCATCGCCTTGCAAAGTAGCATGCATTGCAGAATGTGCTCACGTGAGGCCTCGCTCTTGCTAGCTGGACTCGCCCAAAGGTCCGATTCATTCATTCATGTCATACTTGTCTTGCCACCTGCCTAGCTGACTTGGTGCCACAATGCAGAGTAATAAGCCAGAAGCCCTGCCAGCTAAGCTAAGAGTGGGGCCCCTCAGTACGGCAAATGTCGTCCAGCATCTGCAGCATTCCAATTTTCCAAACATATCATGGAATCAGTCCACAGGAAGATTCAACAGCTGCAAGACACTGTGCTGTCCTCCAGCACAGAGATACTTCCGGAGCAGAGCACGACCTCTCGAGTTGATAGACAAGCAGCCTGTGCAGGCTGGAGCAAGTCCGAGCCTGTTTCTTCATGTCGATCAAATCGACCTGATAATGCCAGCTTGCCCGGGCCTGGCACGTCACCGCATACCAAATCGCCACCGCTGGCTGCTATGGAATCTCTTTTCCAATGAAAAGTGGAACTCGGTACTGAGGCCCATGAAAAACACAGAAAATGTCGCCCTCAGGCTGCAACAGCTCCGCAGCCCGGGTGGCGCCGAAAATTTGGAAAGCGGAACATGGGCAGCTTGGCTGCCCAAAGAAAAGCTGGAGACGCAATGCACGTCCAAAGCCGGCCCCATCCTCATGCGGGAGTGACCTCCTCTTGCATCTCCTGACATGGCCAGCCCAGCCCCACACGGGTTCGAGTTCGTCACCGCATGGTGCCCTCAGAAAGACACAGGCGCCCCATCTCCTCTCCTCTTCAGGCACCAGGAGCCAAGCGACCAAACCGAAGAAGGGCACCTCGGCAATTTGGCCCCGATATGTCTCCATAACTTGATGGCAGCAAGTCAAGTTAACCCTCATTGTCCCTAAACCTTTTTGAAGCCGGGCTTGATGACTCCCAGCACTCTCTAAACCCTTTTACCTAAAAAACCCTGTGCAACAAGGCACAAAGCGCCAGGCCGGCCCGGCAGTCTCTGCAAACACATACCTAAGCCACTGCCAGCATGGGGCAAGGTGCACAGAATTGCCGCAAACACTATAATCAAGACCTTATGGTAGAGAGAATGATATCTTTGTAGTGAGTACACGGCGGCAAACAAACGTCGGAAGCTGCTGCGAGTGCCGCTACATGCCTGGCGGGCAACGCTTGCAGCATGGCGAAAAGGGTGCAGTCCACTGCAAAGGCGAAGGCGACTCGGTCCCCCAGCACAAGGCCGAGGAAGTTGCCCTTCGTTCGCAGGGGATGCTCATATGCAGTGCTCCTGCTTCGTGTAGGAATTGATTTGGTGCGGCACAGTGTCTAAGAAAGCAAGCCGAGAAGCCCATAGTCCCCAAGACTGCCACAGCGCCACGAAGGACACGAGCAGGGCGCTGACGCCCACAAGAGGTCTTAGCCCAAGACATCTCTTGCAACGGGGTAGCAGAACCTAAATCATGTTGCGCATCGGCCGAATCCTGCCAAGCGACGCCCAACTGGGCTTGGCTCTGGAAACAGGACAAGGTCCTGCCTCGGACATGAAAAACACTTCTGTGGAACGGTAGCTGCATGTGGCTGTGTTACACAAGTACGCTTCCACAAGATTCAACCCAGCAGCGACAGAGCGAACTGCGAAATATGGGAGCAGAATCCTTAGTACTACGATTGCAACTTGTGTGTTAGAACTGAGGCCTGTACAGAGAACAACAATACATACAGATGCAGCCACCCGGCATTGCGAACATGTCTAGGGGGATGCAAGAGCGTCAACGGAGCGTCATTCGCTGATACACTGCAATGGACTGAAAAGGCAATGGCGGCTTTACGTGGCTCATGAACTGATGCAGATAATTGATTCGACTAGCCTCACGCTGCCACTGAGGCATCCTTAAAACCTCACACCAAACAGTTGCTGGCACACAAGCTTCAGCCTTGCGTCGCATTGGTCAGAAACATGGCCGGGGCCCACCAGTTGTAAACATCCCGTCGTGAAGGTCGGTCCCAAAGCAGCAGTGGCAGCATCATGAAGGCAAAAGCTTCCTGGGAACAAGCCAAAGGGTTGCCCGCACCAAGGCCACTCAACATTCTACCATGAATAGGGCAATAGGGAACTCGGGTTCGGTTCAGGGGGCCTATGAATTGTTCCAAAAGCGTGCCAAGCAGCAGCAATGTTGAAGAGAGCCTCGGCCAGCAACTGTGACCGAGTTGGCTTTCGGGCTTCAGCGCATCTGGAGGCTATACAGGATTAAGGTCCCCATTAGAAAACTGAATTCCCAGCACGTTCTATAGTTTGCTATACTAGCTGTCGATACAACCAGCACTACAAGGGGAATCTGCTTGCAAGCAACCAGACGCAGTGGGTCCACACTTGGCAGGTCAATGCCAAGGCTTGTGGGGCTCGGCAAACCGAGGCTATCCAAGCCAGGCCAGATGTAGAAGAAGTTCACAGACTCGTCCTCAGGTCGGACGTGCAGCGCCTGCACCTTTATGAGCTCTATCTTCGAAGATTCGCACCTGAACCGTATGGAACCACATGATGCCATATGGACAATCTTGACCCAGAGGCAATGACGTTCGTCAGGGTTACCTCATCAATCGCCCATGCTGGAGGGCCTCCTAGAAAGGAGAACTGGCCCTGAGGTGACAGAAGCAAAATGTACCTCAGTGGAGTGACTGCAGCACTTAAAGCGAAACATACTCAGACCGCAATTCGGCCGCAGATTATGCGTTGTTGGGAGAAACGACCATGGACATGTCAAGGTCACTCGAGTGGCGTAAGGTGCTGTTAAGGGCCGAATTGTAGCGAAAAGGTTTCCGGGAGGTCAGAGGTTGCCGGATTGAGTGATCCTACCTGCTTGTGAGGAGTAGAAAGTTCTTCTACTACGTATATGTTACTCTTATCTTGTTATGCTATTCGCCTGGCTCGGGATCTCAGACGTCCCCTGGTTTCAAGTACAAGAAGAGTGGTTCTTGGTGTTGGAAGGCGATTTTCCCCCCAAATTGAGTCTTGGTGTTCGTTGCCAGACACAGTTCGGGAGGTTGAAGCACCGGAAGGTGTTAGTCTGACAATGAAGATCTCAACCTGACAAACATGTGCCAAGCACCCAGGGGCATCTTAAAATGTACGGCCTATTTACGAGCCGAGGAATGGGTGGTTTGTCGAGCTTGTAGACCGCAACAAGGAAGCAACAAGCAATGCGTTTTGGGAGTGGACATTGTCTAGCGCCTCAAAGGACCAAGTAGGCCTGGAAATGCAGGAAAATGCAGACTTGCAGGCCGTCACCATGAAGAGGGGGGTCTTAAGTCCCGTGCCCGCCTATTCTCACATATTGTTGCATGTTTATACCCTGAGATACCTTTACTAGTCTCTGAAACTCTGAGATTGGGCCGCTCGCGGGTAGATTGTACCAGGTGGCCAGTAGAGAGCCCCCAGAATCGCAAATATCAGTGCCGGCGCCAAATCGGCGAGGGACCCGCGCTGCAAAGCCCTGATGCGAGTGTGCACATGTGTGTGTGGATACTATAGTACTGTAGCTGCGAATGGCTTCTTACGAATGGAATCTGCATGCTGGCACCCAATTTGTAGGAAATGCCGACACCACCGTGGCCGAAACCTTTGCAGGCCTGATGATCGGAGCAATGAAGCCCACGATGCCCAGCGCGGCACCACCCAATTTCAGCGGTGATTCAACGATGTCGCCTCTTTAACTCCAGGGAATGATCCGAGCTAGGCCCAGGACTCTAGGCATCTGGCTAGTCCATCTCTAGACTTGAGATTTGAAGTCAGGGTTGATTTTGTGGGTCAGGACAAGTCACGGGCATAAACCAGCTTGCCGCCGCGGGTTTTGTAGAGCGAAGCTCCGCGGCTGTTTGGCAGAGGAACACCATCAAACTCTACGTGCCAGGTCATCCCAACGGAGTCATCCCCGCCCCAGGCTTCCCCACCAGCTGTCTCATCAATGACAAAATCCAGCCCTTTAGGCAAGCTCATCGCATCTTGAAGCAACTCTCGCACGCCGTCCTTTCCTATGAATGGTTCCTGAAAAGTAAAGTCTTCGTAAGTGGCATCATCGTCCACCATCTCCATGGCCCTCTCCAGGTCGCGGCTGTTTACAGCAGAATAGAAAGATTGCATGATGTCCTTGGCACCTTTCCTGCTAACCTTCGTTCTGGTAGACTTGGATGACTGGTGCACGTTGCAGAAGCAGGAGGCCACATGGGCCACACCCAAACTCAGCAGCCCAGCGCAAGCAGCACGCTGCAGAGGCTGGCGTCTCGTTACGTGCGGCATGGCCGCCATGACCGCAGTATGGCGGGCGTGTCTCTCTAGTTTGCGAAGACTAGCATGCATGTTCAAGAAGCTTTTCTGCCACTCCAGCTAGCTTAGCACGGATCCGCTACTCGCGGCCGAAGCTGTTGCAGTGCTTGCATTGTCTTGCCTGGACCGGACTGAGATATGTGAACCGTCAAATGGCTGTGGATGGGACACGGAAACCATGCCTCTTGTTTCTCTTAAGCAAGTTCAAGCTAAGACCCAGGACGACGGCTTATACGAAACACATTGGGCCGCATAAAACGACTTTAAAAGCAGGCAGCAGTCTGAGCAGCGTGCTGCAACCATGCCTTCTGCGAGCGCCTTGGGCTTTTGTCGGCCAACATGTTTGCACGGCCCGTTGTGGAACCGGCGCCAACAAATCGGGTGGTGTTTGTTGGCCTGTCGTGATCTGTTTAATTTCTATCTGCAACATGTCGCACAACTCAGGAATCTCAACTTCAGCGGTTCGGGTGTTTGGAGTTGCGGCCCTAGCCATTTACAAAAAGACGGATCAGATGCATGTCAGATTCCAACAAATGCGGGGGCATTTTTGGTTGTTGAGGGGGCGTGGTTGGGGGGGGGGGGGGGGGGGGGGGTTTTGGGCCCCCCACCGTCCCTCCCCCACTTTATTATCACTCCTCCACCCCCGATTTGCCAACAATTTGCTAACAGAACGATCCGACGACAGTGTTTGAGGCAAGCATGGCACAAGCCAGAGGGGCCGGGTGTGGGATCTAACTGAGGATTGATGCTCTGCGAACCGGGCCACGCAGACAAAAGAAAGGACACAAAACTACGTAATCAAGTCGTCCGAGCAGGCATACCAAAGCAGAAAACAACAACGAAAGCGACGGGAAGAACACAAGCAACCGAAACAACGGATGGGGGCAACAGGAGGCCTGGAGCAGGGATTCCTTCGTCATCAAGAATACTTTACTTCTGAAATATTTCCTTGATGTGTCTTACTGTCTTACTGTTTCCATCTGTCTGTCGCTACTCATGAGTGTAGTGGAAGCAAGTGCCGACTCGGGCCGACTCGCAGTCGAGTACGAAAGGAAGAATTCTGCCTCTGCTTGGCATGGATGCTACTCGGAGCCGATGCCGATGCAGTGCTTTGCATTGACACGCCAAGTTGCTTCAACATACAGGGCGTGTGTGCTCTCGACGACCCACCTTACGCAAATCCCACCACACATTCACCAACATCGGCTGCACACCTCCCTGGCTCGGGCACAGCGTCCCTCATTACGGTGATGGGTGCAGTTTCGGTTGCTCACTCGCCTGCAGTGCCCATCCTGCAACATGGTAGTTGGGTGGGGTGCTGTAGTTCCCATTCTGTGGAGAATCTTGTGGCTATTGCCATCCTTGACGAATGCAACACGTGGTCTCGTTTGATTCTACCTGGTGGCCATGATGGGCGCGTTGGCGAATATTGTTCCCTGAAAGCTTCCCAGGGCACGCTATCCACAAACAGCATTTCAATCCATCTCCATCGCCCAATTTCTGAATGACTGACACTTCGGCTATGTTATGCCAATGGAGAATACAAAATTGTGACTTGGCGGCTGCTTCATGAACATCATGAGCATATAGGTTCTTTCGCAGCATTTCCCGGAAATCATTCCATCACGCGTGCTGCTAATCTCGCGAACGGAAGTGGTTTGGGCCACCTGCATCTCCACACTGACAAGCTCGACAAGGCAGCGACTCATGCCGATTCTACATCGGGACTTGCCACTACGTGCTCGAAGCACCCCTTTACCCGGACGAGAGACGAAAAGTGACAGCGACAGGAACCTGAGGCATTAACGCCAGGAAGCTCCAAGACTTCCTTCGCTCGCAAGAAATTTAGGTTCAAAAGGCATTCGGCATGACACGTTTGAGCTCAAGTCAGAAAACTCGCCCTCTCCTCATGCTGAAAGAACAAGCTGTCCGCACCGCCTCGCAACTCGCCAGCAGGCGTGGTCACCTTGTCTTCCGGGAACCATGGGTCCATGGGTCCCGCAACATCCCGCAGACGAGGTTCGCCATGTGCAGTATACGTGGCAACCCTCAAACCCATTCGCAGCCATTCAACAGGAGAAAGAGTGGAAAACGGGTGCAGCCTGGTGCAGCCAAAACGTCTTAGGCACGGACAAAAGGCAAATTCACAGATGCCTCCGCTGCGCCATATGCTTTCCCGGCTTCCATTTCCCGGCTTCCATGCTCGCACTGCATCGCACTGCATTACAGGCCATCGCCTGGTCAGTGGGCTCCCCGAGCTGGCCGATGAACGCCAACCGGACAATGCAGAACCTAACAACGTTGGTGAGATTACCCCGCGAGAAGGAGACAAAGGAAAAAAAACACAGGTTGCACTCAACCTTGCTACCATGCTACGTACAGCACACGAGCGCGCAGGACCAGAAATGTGTTACGTCATGTTATACCATGCCCTGTATCTTCCTTTACCCAAATCCTGTAGGCGCGGTGGCGCTGAGGGCCCCACGGGTCCGCGAGCCCTGAGGTTGCGCCTCTCAAGTCTTTGGAGACCCAACTTCCGCTTCGAAGCCGCATGATGAACCTATACGGTGCATACTCGGGCCTTAGCAAGGGTTCCGAAAATAGTAGCTTTGGGCAAGTATATACTATGTAGGTACATGGACCCTTCGGGTAATATCTCGAAGTAAGCTCCGCGCGTCCGGGAAGCTTCTCCGCCCCTAGTATGTGCACGTTCAATTGGTCCTGCTCGGAGTGGAGGTTTGACCAAGGCTTCAGTTTGACCATACCTGCCATACCTGTACATTCTCACAAGGCAGCGGTGAACATTCACAAAGCCACCTCTCCCTCGGACTCTCGTACTGCCATCGGTTGCTTTGCTTTGCGTTGCTTTTCCCTTTGCCCTTGTTCATCCTTGTTCGGCATTTCGGTCGCTTGCGTGCGGGGAAGGCCCGCAGAACTTCAATGGGCTGTCTTTCGCCCCCCAAAAACGAATGCGCTTGCCAGAGCCGGCGGCAACAAACAAACCTTGCAAAGATTGGCTTTGAACCCCCAAGACCCGCCCCCCTTGTGCCCTCTGCATGCTCCTGAAGCCCCGGCAAACGAACTAGGCTAGTGAACAAAAAGCCTCTTGAAACAAGCCATCTCTGATTTCCCAGCTTGCGTCCTTGGATGAATTGGTGGAAAACCCCACCTGCAATCGAGCACCGGCTGAAGGCCTCGCAGAGAAAGCCATGATGGAAGCTCCCCAAACCACGTGCAAAGCCTGCGCGACGCTTGCTAGGCGACTTAAGGCCCCTGCACCAGGCTCACCTCAGCCACTCAGCCGTTGCTAAAGCTCAATCAGAGAAAACAACCCGCTCCCAGATGCCACGCCAGCAAGCCATGCGAGGCGCGTACCCACTGTGGAGACACCAGGCTGCGCCCTTTGGTGGCAGCCTTTTTTTGACTTTGTTTTTACACTTTTTGCTTCATTTTGCACAATGGGTGCACTATTTTGTCTGCCTCCCACGCAGTCCGAAGGGGCACATGACCACCTCATGGGTTGTTGCTGTAAAGAGCATTCCACGCCAGTGCTACAAAATTTGCACGCAACTTGTGCTAGAATTTCTGCTACATTCCCCCTCTTCAGCCCAGCTGCGGCACATGAAGCTGTCGGTGCCATTGATCGCATCACCTCAACTGCACAATGCGTCACAACGCGGCCGCAGACATGCAAACTCCTGACTGGCTTGACCGGGGGCTACTGTGCATCAGACCCGGCAAACGCTGCACAGCATTGTGGAAGTTGCGTTGCGGCACGTGCATCGCAAAGCAAATTCATACAAGCCACATCAACACGGTGACGAACTATATAAACTATAAGCTATGAATCCAAGGCACACCACCTTGCACTGGGGGCGCCACGGTCGCAGACGTCAATGCACACGGCCATGCTGGACTGATTGGCCTCCCTGGTGCAGTTTTTGTGAAAAGCTGTCAATGCGCATGGGAGAGGTGGGAAATCATGGCTTCGGACCTGGCAGGAGCAACGTACCTTTTCTTCAAAAGCACTTGCAGGTGTCCGAGCTGCCGCGATGCTTCCGGAAACGGCGGAAGCCAAGTCATGTGAATATACACGTCTCACGGGAAAGTCATGTTGACGGCAACTGACCACAAGCGAGGATAGCGTGCGCATGGCACGCTATCGCCGGTGAAACGAATACATTTTCTACTTGAGCAGAATCCAACAGGCCCTTGAGATCCACGTCTGTGGCTGTGGGGCCAGCATATGCTTGGAGCTTGCGTGGAACGGCAACTGCTTTGCAGGTGCATGTCCTGTGCGCCTGCCAACCTCTGAGAAGCATCCTTTGCAGCAAGCACAGTTCGTAAGCGGCAGGAGACCGCTGGATGCTGGTTTAGTACTCATTTGCTTGAGCTCATGGATCCACCTCACACTGTGTTTAGTATCCTAGAGCGAGATGGTGAGACGTGGAGACACTAGAACGGCCGCAGCGGCTCGAATGCTGTTCGGTATTCTCCGGCCTTTCCTGCTTTCAATGAAAGCACCCAGCTGCTGCGAACGTTGTCCGCTCAAACGTGTCAAAGATTGCCTAAGCCCTACTTGAGTATTGAATTACAGCCGAAGGCTGTCAGTGTTTCTTTGCATGTATGTCCGGAAGAGAAACCTCGGGCAAAGCACTAGATTCACTAGATGAAGCCATAGGAGCCCGCAGCAAGTACCCTCTCTGAGCGAGGCACGGCCCCCGCCATGGCATAGACCTCACAAGCGGGCAGGGGAAACCTAAGAGTAAGCTACCGAGCCCGTCAGGGCACTTGCAAGTCGCTGGGTACCTTCCTTTATCAGTCTGCAACGGCTAAAGATTATCATAAACATCATGGAAGGTAAGGACAATTGAGGCGGGAGTACTCTGCCCAGGCTCCGTGAAGGAGTGGTGTCATAGTGCCAGCAAGGTGCTGCATCTGATTTGCCCACTCCCCTCGGTTTGCTCTTCTGGTGCAAGCGCCCAGATGAATCTCCACCTCCTTCCTTGTCAACTTCTTTCAAGCCTCCCAGACTGAGCATGATGCACACGCCGCCAGTCACTCAGAAAAATACGTGCGGCATCCAAACTCGAGCTTTGCCATGCTTGCGACCCTTTGGCCGGAGAACGCACGGGTTTCCTTCGAAAAATAGCCCAGAATAACCCCAAGGCGCAAGGACCTGACCACGCCAGGGGACGCCCGCAGTCCCACTGTCAAAGCTTTTCGAGAGCCAGGCGATGCTTTCGACATGGATTCTACGTTATGCCTGTTATGCTCTACACGCCTGTAAGTGACAGAGTGGGAGCCTGATTCAAGCTCTTCAGCAAAACTCTTGAAGAGCATCTGGACGCTGGCCAACTGCTTCCTCTTGCTGTCAATCTTTACACTGTAGTACTTCTCCTCAGATGCAAGATGCTGACCAGCATCACTGACCAAGGCCCAGCGCATCAACAGAGCGAAAGTGCCTGAGTTGCAGTTACATTGCCGGCCGAGCTGCTATTCTGCTGGTCTTAGCCTCGATCTGCCAGGCCATCCAACACTGATACCTTGTTGCATGCAGTGACCACATGACACGAAGCACAACGGCCAACAAATTGGCATGTGTTCAATCTTCGTCATTTTCACATTGGCTGAGGCGCAGAGAATTCAGGTCTATTTGGTCGCCGACGCGGCCTGGCGAGCGGGCACTGTCGAACGGATGCGCGCAGGTCTTATATGCATCCCCATTCATGCCTCGCATCACAATGAACTTCACACTTCTGTCTGCATATGGCGCAGCGACGCCTGACACAGAGCTGCCAATCTCCCTGTGCACAGTCTTGATGGAGACCATCCTCAGTCGCCAACGAGGTCCAACCCTGGTGATCCAAGCAAGGAGCGACGAGAATTTTCTGGGGCATGGGCACGTCATCGTTTCCCTCAACCTTCAAAGCTCCGTCGGGTTACGCATGGCCACAGGTGCCTTAAGTCGGGAGCACCTTGTCCTCCAAATCCCGCAGCCTCTTTCCATCAAATGCATAGCCAGTCCTTGGGCACAAGTAGTTGGACCATGTTGGACCCTGAAACCCCGCAAACCTCGGCTTGAGGATGCCAGCATGTATATATATATATATACATATATATATCTAGATCTATACATATGTATATATATATAGACATATGGTCACGCTCCACGCCCCCCCCCCTCCCGGTGCCCCCCATACACATTTTCATACACATGTGCATGTCACAGCTATTAGAACTGCAGATGCCTGCCTCTCACCCTTGGTCATATGAGGCGAGCTATCGCCGCGAAGCTTGACAAGCACTCGGTCAAACCACGGCAAGGAGATGGGCCGGCCAACTGCTGGGAAAGCTTCCACGCCATCAAGGCCTGCTGGACGAGGCCCGTGTCTGTGGCGGCCTGTCGCTTGTGGCGGAGCATTTCCAAAGTTCAGGGACTAAAGCAGGGACCCTTATGAGGGGCCTTAGGGATTCTTTAGAGGGTTGTTTAGGCGCCTACTTAGGTATATAGGGACTAGCTAAGGTATGTTTGGCACTCTAGGCGTTGCAAAAGCATCGTGAGCATCTTGGACGCTTCGTAGCTTCGTGCGGGACGCGTGGAAGAGTACTGGGGCAAGGACCGTCACCCTTGACAGCATAACCTTGGCATCCTCCTTCTTTTTCTCCATATACACCTGAAGTCAGTTGAAAGCTCATAAGATCATATAAGATCAGCTTGCTCTGCTCTGGCAACCTGGGTGAATGTACACCTAGCCTTCATCTGCTGCTCGGACTTTTTGACGCTGTCCTCGAAGTCTTTGTCCTTCTTGTAGGCGTCACTGAACTGGACCTGGAAATAAGCGTAAGCCTACATGCAGCGAGAGGTTGCGACCAGCGCGAAGGCAAGCCGTAGTCCTGACTTTAGGCCCATGGCCCATGCAGCAAAGGCGGCTGAAGCTGAAGATCCCTTGTAGTCTAAAAGTATTCGCACCATCACCTCGTGCAGAAAGGATGGAATTCCGACGCAATGGCTGACTGTGGGCTCGAAGCGGCCTTCTTGACCTTTTCGCACATATCCTTCGCCGTCCTTGCAGTTGGCATCTCCGACAGGTATGCCAGGATATGCATGTATCTGTGCAAAAATCATGGGCGCACTATGCTGCACATGTCATATGCCTGCGGCATGCTAGCGGAGCTTGTTAATTATCCGGTGCCTGCCAATGGTCATCTGCAGCGCTTTGACACGATCAGCAGTCCATGCCTCAGCCTGCGGCGCGTAGGTCGATCTTGCTGTATTAAGCTACACAGCGCGTGCCGCGGCGCACGAGTATGGGCGACCATGAGTATCACCGCAGCACTCGGAGAGTTGCCTGCCTTGTGGTGCAAAACCATGCTTTTCCATCCGGAAACTACTGTCAGCAAGAGCTCCTGCACAGGGGCAGCATGGCCCAGAGACAGCAAATACGAAAGTCGAACTCACCGGGCAGTGCCGGATGCCCGCTCTGCGGGCTCAAGATAATTTCAGAGTTCCCGTCCAGTTCTTCTCGACTCGCCGCTTGGAACATGACCCCGCGGATGTGGTTCAGATGTGCTACCTGGATCCAATCTGCTGTGAAGATCAGGCAGCGCAGGCGACGCAGGCGCACACAGGCGCATGGAGCACAAAAGATCCAGTGGATGCACGGCCGGCATTGCCAAGCATTGCCATGTCAAGCTTCCGAGGTGCCTTGAACTCTGCTAAGCCCCTCTCTGCATCCTGCAAGGCATATGCACAGCAGCTGCCATCAAAGGCAGAACACAAAACTTCCCGCGAAGCTCCTCCACTTCGCGGGTGTAGCGCTCGCGCAGGTTGCGTTCACCCTGCTTATGCAGACGCTGCAGACGCTGAAAAACACACAAAACAACCAGCCCTCAGCATCAAGGCACACGATTGTGCAACATCAGCTCCGGGCAGCTCGAGGAGTTGACGGTATCTAATGTGACGTAGAACTGTTTGCCACCCAGGATTCCCAAAACCAACTCTGACTCGCATCCCTCGCTGGCCTTGGCCTTCAGCATAGCGCCATGCCAGGAGGCCCAGGCCTGGAAACTCAGATTGAGACAAGTTGTGCGGATGAAATTGAAATTGTCTGGTTGAGCAAAGGTCGCGACAGGCTTTGCCAGCCGGTCGCGCAAGTGTTTTGTTTGCAACTTCTGACATCGTCTTGCTGAGGAGCGGGCCGCTTCCTTGAGTGCCTGCGTGTTGGTTCCCACAAAGCCCATGAGTGCCTCGCTGCTGCGCTGCAGAGAGGTGGGCTCGGTGCTGACGGTAGCAAGTAAGCTAAGTAAGCGCTATAAGGGAACTCCACTCTCATCGCACATGGTGGTGAACAGATGAATGGAGATTGGCCTGCTTAGCCTTCTGCGTGCGCTGCTCGGGCAGCTCATTCAACTGCGCCTGATGTTTTGGGAGAACTTGTGTGTGAGAGGCAACAGTGGCTTTCACTGGCCAATGCCCCTCCGGACAAAAGGAAAACACGGCCATGCCTCGACCACAAGAAGCCTCGCGCATATGCGTCTCAGTTTTCCTACGACATCTACTACTACTAAGTTACTACTGCACTACAATACTAGCTGTTCTGCATCCTATGCCTAGCTTTGCGTGCTGTCATTGCACAAGCCAGCACCATCCGCATGAGGGGGGAGGATTTCATGAGGGTACGATAAGTTGCTGCTTGCATCTGAGAGCCTCTGGTTCCACAAGGTTTCAGGACGGGCCTCTTGTTGGACTCCTCCGCAATTTCTGCAGACCGATTCAGGCGATCCAGTCGCTGCGCCATATTCGGGGCCTCGGCAAAGGCCCCGAAGCCCTACACTCCTAAACTCTGGAGCCTGGTGAGAACTCTGAGCTCCTCTGTAACTAGCAGCAGGTAATTACAAGCAAAACGTAGTCCCCACGTTCCACAGC